CTAAACTATGCTTTTTTTATAGAGAATTAGCTATATTAGCTATAATTATAAGCTAAGAGAACTCTTTTTATATAACTAGCTTAAGTATATATATAATAATTACCTACTCTTTAGCGCTAGTTAGATTATGTAAGTTAGCTATAGTATTAATATATAAGGGTTATTCTATATATTAATAGTCTAGTATAGTTTAAAAGACTCTATAAATAGCTATAGCATATTATACTAGAAGTTTTATATTTTATTTAAAAGCTTAAAGTATAAGCTAGATCTAATACTCTTTTAATGCGTTAAAATAGAGTTAGTAGGAGAGTATTTAGATAGTAATAGTATTTTAGTATAGTCTTAGTAAAAGTAGCCTACTTAGTATACTAGCCTGCTTGCTATATACCTATGTTATCTTAAGAGTAAAAGTAATAATAAGTAGTAACGTACCCTATAGGCAAGTTAGATAATAGGCAAGTTAGATACTTTTGCTAAGCCCCTACTAAACACCTTCTCCTATACTAATATCTTCTTAATAATACTATTTAGACGCGTTAAAAGAAGCATAGATATAGCTTGCGCTCTAGGCTCTTAAATAAGATATAACTCTATCTCTATAATACGCTGCTACTATCTATAAAGTCTCTTAAAGCACACTAAGTAACTAGCGCACTAGATAACCTTTATGCGCTAATTCTATAGCTAACTTATAGAAGCTAGATAATAATAAGGAGGAGGTAATTATTAAACATGTTCTTAAGCTAGATGCATAAGGGTTTTCCCCTTAGCTCTTAGATATAGCTACTATAGCTAATTCTTTGTATACTAAGTATAATCTAGGTTCTATTAGTATAAACTAGCCTAGTATATTTATTAAGTAATATCTAGAACTTAAAGTTAAGTTTAATTATAAGTATAACTATAAGAGAGCTCTCTATAAGGATCCTAAGGTTCTATAGGGCTAGTTTAGCCTAGTAGCTAATACTAAAGCTAAGTATAGCATCTAGAATAAAGATATATATAACTTTAATAAGATAGGCTTTATAATAGGCTAGATCTCCCTAGGAGCAGTTATTATAGCTTTAGAATAATAAGGTTAGCTAAAAGCTATCTAGCTAGGTAACTAGGAGTAGGCTATAGCTATAGTAGGTATTAATGCTAAAGAATAGGCTATTCCTATCTTCCTTATCTTTAAGGCCTACTACTACCTCTCTGCCTAGTATAAGGAGGAAGAACTGCCTTAAGACTAGGTTATTAGAGTCTCTAATAATAGCTAGACTACTAATAAGCTTAGTATAGACTAGATAAACTACTTTAATAGGTATATAAAGGAGTATACTATTAGCACCTACTATTTACTTATTATTAATAGTTATAAGAGCTATAACTCTCTTAAATTCTAGTAATACTATAAGGATAATAAGATTATTACTCTTTGCTTGCCTTCTTACTTATTGCACCTTATATAGCCTCTTAATATAGCTTATTTTACTACTTTAAAGAAGGTATATAGATACTAAGCTAAAATACTTATATATAACTAGATTAACTATATTATAAAGATAGAGTTGCTACTATACTTTATATGCGCCTATAATGCTATAATTACTTCTAGTAATATTTAGAGAGGGTTCTAAGGCGCTAGACTAGTCCTGTTTAATCTATAATAGGTTATAAGCAGCCTTAATATAAAGCTATGCATGCTATTACTACTACTACCTATTAATAATAAGCTCTAGTAGTTATAAACTCTAAGCAATACTCTTAAACTTAGGTTATAATTAATGCTTATAAAGATAAGGATTTAGAGGTATATAGATAGCTTGCCTACCTCTATAGTTAAGGCGTTTAAGAAGGTAGTAAAGAGAGTAGTAATAATTGCGCATAAGCTAGTATTAGTATAATAGGAGATTACTTAGCTTTAAGCTACTAATAAGGTAGCTATATAATAAAAATTATATAAAAGATAGTAAGTTAAGAAAGAAGGTACTCTAGTAGTTAAAGAGGGCTAGTAATTAATAGCTCTAAAAGAGTTTAGGGCGCATAGTAATAGTAAGAAGGCAAAGAAGCAGGTATGCGCTAAAGTAGGTAAGCCCTCTTAAAGGCGCTATAGATAGTATAATTAGACAGGATATAATGCGTAAATATATAAGAAAGAGATAGAAGTAGTTTCTAAATAGTATTATAGACTATACTATATATTATAGTACTAAACTAGGTTATTTTATATTATAATAGGGTAGAGTTTAGTAGGGGCTTAGTAAAAGTATCTAACTTGCCTATTATCTAACTTGCCTATAGGGTATATTAAAGAGTAAACTATCTAGCTTAAAAGTTAAGTTAAAATCTAATATTATAGATTAATACTTAGGTTAAATATAAACTATAAGAGTTATATTTCTACTTACTATATACTTAAAGATATTCTATAGTTATTCTAGTATTCCATAATATACTAATATTGAAATACTTTAAGATATTATAGAATTCTTAGAATAATATATAATAGATTTTATAGTAGCGTTCTACTAAGGCTTTTAAAATAGAAGAAGTTATATTATTATTAGTTTAAAATACTAACCTTTTTAAAAACTTTTAAAGTACTTTTAAGTATTATTACTTCTTCTATCTCTTATCTTCTACTATACCTCTTTATTAAGGTTATACTTTAAGCAAAGCTTATAAGCACTATTTAATTAGTTCTTAGAGAATAATACTATTAGAGAAACTAAAGAGGTCTTATACTAAGGAGTATAGATATAATCTATCTATCTTAAAGGCAAGAGGTAATAATAAGTAGTATAGAGTAGACTATCTAGCTTAAAGGTTAGGTTAAGATCTAATATTATAGATTAATACTTAGGTTAAACATAAACTATAAAGGTTATATTTCTACTTGCTATATACTAATACTAAGGCTTGCTTATTAATAAGTATTTAATAAGTATTTAATAAAAGGTAATAAGAGTACTTATTAATTAGTAGAGTTATACTATACTTATTAATAAGTAGTAGTCTATATGCTTACTTATTAATAAGTAAGTTATATAACTATAATTGTAAGTCTTACTTGCTATGCCCCTATAACCTAGAAGAAACCTAGTTAGTTACTTATTATACTGTGCTATACTCCTTTGCAGGATTATAACACTCTTCTAAGGTTTATAGCAGCCTATAATAACTTAGAAATAGAGTTAAAAGCATCTTTCTATTACTATTAGATAGTAGGTAAAGCAAGTTATAGCTATTTATTATATTTATTACTTAAAAGACCTAATAGTAATTTATATATTAAGGTTATACTTTTAAGCAAAGCTTATAAGCACTATTTAATTAGTTCTTAAGAAGAACTACTATTAGAGAAACTAAAGAAGAGACTTATACTAAAAAGTATAGATATAATCTATCTATCTTAAAAGTAAGAGTAATAATAAATAGTATAGAGTAGACTATTTAGCTTAAAAGTTAGATTAAAAAGTAATATTAAAGATTAATACTTAGGTTAAATATAAACTATAAGAGTTATATTTCTACTAGCTATATACTAAAAAGTATTCTATATATCTTATATATTCTTATAGTTTCCTATAAAGGGCCTTGTAAGAACTATAGAACGTTTATAGAAAGTAAAAGATATATTCTATACTTATCTTATAGTCTTAGTATAAGGCCTTCTATAAGAACTATAGGACATTATATAATTATTTAGTCTAGCGTTACTAATCTGTTGCGTTCTATTAGTTATAAGCCTTTAGCTCTGCATGCATCCTTTAAGATTATAACACTATATTACTAGAGATAAAGAGAGATATTTTTAGTGCTATTATTTTAATATATATAAAGCATATTCTATTAAAGCTAAGACTTGCATAAAGTAAGCAAGGCCTACTAAAGTAAAGTATCTAGTAAGTCCTTAGTTATATAGTTAAATGCCTTAGTAAACTTTATATTATAATATTAGATCTATATTATAAGCTATTATATTCTTTTATTAAAAAGGTAATGCTTATTATTAGGCTAACTAACAATTAGGCCAAGTATTAGACTCTTGCATAACTTAAAGAATTAGTTACTTCTATCTTATGTTAATAGCGTGTAGTAGATACTAAGATGTTATCTAGTAGTATAACATCTTAAGATATAGGCACTACTAGCTAGAAAAGTTTTATAAACATTATTAACAAAGTTGCACAACATAGTAATATAGCCTACTACTTATACTACATATTAAAAAAGGATTGTTGTCTTGCTAGATAACACTAATAACTATTAACCTGCTAACAGAGGCTTATGTTTGGCCCCCAAGGGTTTCTGCCACACCAACACTAGAACGTGTTCTTGCGCGAAATCAGCAATCCTGTCACAATGTTGACATCACTCGTATCTGTCATCTGATCGATGCAAAGAGCCTGAGTGTCAACTCTCAATTTGCAGGCCATGTGATGAAGAATCTCACAGAATCAAAGATACATGCCGAAATTCAAATAATAGGAGTCCTGTGTATTAGATTTTGGTCGCGCAAGGAGGTGCAGGAAGCGCGGCTAGCTATTAGTGGAAGTGTGTAGCTGTCTATATACGGTAGCACAGTTTTATTTTGAATCTCTAACGCGAATTTTACGGGCTAAGACTCCCCAGGCTTGTCGAAATCGCGTCGCTTGGGGCTTACACGGCGCTGAAAAGTGATACCGGATGCGTACGCAAGGAGGGACGCGGCCCGTTCGCGCTTGCCCGTGCGAGGGCGTGGCGCAACATCGTGTCTGGGATGGCGGGCCCTGTGCGTGGAATCAAAGCGAGTTTCTGTCTCCTATCGCAGTGCATCTCCACAAGTCGTGAGAGTTGAGCCGTGGTAGCGTTACTCGCAAGTATCGTATAGTTCAGAAATTCGTCTAGTCAGCAGCTGTAATCACCATGGTGACTGGGCACCGCACGGCTCGCCACCCGCACAATGCGTGTGGGGCGCCCCGCCCCGCGAGCGCGTACCAGACGCGCACGCGTCTCTCGTATCTCAGCCCTCACGTTCGCTATTGCAGCCGTCAGTTCGATGGCTTTGCAACCAAGCAGAGCGGACCAATATATATATCTTACATATCGCGATACTTTTTGTGGCAGCAAAGCCCGTGTGCGGGATCGCAAGGTCATCCGTAATATCGTCCTTAAACACTGGGCTCAATCTGGGACTCCTCCTGACGAACAACATCTCGACAAGACAATCTCTGTGTTGAAGACGCTTCTTAAAGACCGCGTCTTCGAGTTCGAAAGGCGAGCAAGGAAGGCTTTCCCAGATCTCTTTGCCAAATCGCCTCAATCACCGCATGCTGTCGCGCGTTCAAGCATTAATGGCGTAACGTCGAATGAATCCAAGAACACTGATCACAGAAGGTGCAAAGACAACATCACAAGTCTAGACCCTCAAGTATCATATGGTATGTCGCATGCAAACCATATGTTGTGCGTTGAGTGGACTCATGAAATCGCGCCTAGGAGCTCCAACCGTTGAGTCGCAACTTATACAATTCCCTTACGAAGCCCAGCACCATGTGCTATCACGGGTACAGCGACTGCTGGAAGAAACCTGCTTCTGCTTCATGGAAAGATGGTTTCCTTCCACGCTCGTTCTGAACAATTGGACCTGTGCAGCTGCCATCGAGCTGACGAAATCCCTCTCAATCATCAAAAATTATCTCCACATGCTTCCTCCCGGCTGCATGGATATTCCAAAACAATCTTTATTCCTGGAAATCGCTCCAGACATTGCCCAACTTCGTCATACTGCGGTACATCGGCTGCACCTACAACAAGATAAATTCTTGCAACAGATTGACTGTGCCCGTACACTAGCAGGTCTCCTGCAACATTCTGATAACCAGAATTTACTGCAAACTTTGCACAGCCAAGTGGACGCACAAGCTAAGAAGCTGGAGTACGATTCAAAAATTGTGAAGCAAAAGGCGGACTGCATACTTTCTCAGCTGTCAACCCAAAGAGAGGTACTTGCGCAGAGGGAACAGCAATTGCGCGACTTTGTTGCAAAAAGATTTGTTGAACTTGCAGCGGTAGCGGGAAGGGAGCTTTTGGAACCTTACAAAGCTGTCCCATCTACTGGCGGTTCAAAAAACTTGCAAAAGTGTGATGGAGCTCACAAGACAATTGGTTTTGGAGCGGTTGTTGACGAAAATGATATTGAAAGTGATGAGGATCGATTGCAAGCGGAGCTAGGGTGAATGATTACTCGTGCGAGGCTCCAACCCTTTCGGTGTACGGAAGTTGTGAGGATAAATACGCCAATCAACTACCTTTCACTCACTCGCTTCTAAGAGTCGGGATTCAAACGACTATGTTACCTAAGGCTATGAAATTCATTTAGGTTGCGCAATGTGAACCCTTGGCCTGAACGGCGATCGCAATTTGCCAAAAGGATTTCGTTTTGGAATACCGGTAGACCAAAAGCCGTTACTGTTTGCGTTGCGCAACGCGACGTTCTAACATTCAAGCTAGCTCTGCCTCAATAACACTTTCCACAGAGTGAGGTGGCCTCCAGATGTTAAGCACCTTTAGCCCCGCACTCTCCACCAGCGCCCGCCACTCAGCCTCCGTCCTCTCCTTCGCACCAAGGCACGCCATCATGGTGATGTCGGACGTTGTCACACGAGCGAGCGGCTTCACAGAGCTAACCAAGCTTTCGTGGATGAGCAGCTTCGAGTACCCAGGTTCCATAGCTTCGGCAAGGTGAGAGAGAATCTGATTCGCCTGTGTGTCTTCCCAGTCGTGCAGAACGTTGTGCATGAAGTAGACACGGGCACCTTTCACGGGCTGTGGTTCAAAAAAGTCATGAGGGTAGATGGAGATGGTGTCGTCAATGGTCAACTTCTTGAGGATATTGGGGAGGTCTTGGAGCACCAAGCTGCTCTTGGGGATATCAGGATGACGCAGATGAAATTTAGTCAGGTCGTGGCCTTTGCTGCCACCAACGTCGACGACTAGGGGCCGGTCAGGCTTGGAGTCTCTCACAAGAGTCTCAGTGGGGTAAACATCAACCCAGGGCGTCAAGTTATGCTTGGAGTGACTCTCCATGGCATCGTTGAATTCCCTTGCGGCGACAGGGTTCTCGCTCAGGGACTGGAACAGGTTTTTATTTGATTCTCTCATGAACTGCCAGTTACAGTCGTTGGGATTAGTGGGGACCTTGTATCCTGTGTTCCGGAGGTAGGCTGGCAAAGTTCTGAACATGGGAGAATTGACAAAGCCATAGAATTCACCATAGACGTTGGCGAGGGCCTGATCCTCAGCGAGAGCGCGTACCCAGGGTGTAGGCTTATAGGTGTCCTCGGCGGTCTCAATGGCAAGATTTTGTCCAGAAATTTGCCGAATCATGCGTCCTGTATTGCCGTTAGAATGCGCATCATGAGTGAAGCTGAGCAGATGTGTAACCTACGAATAAGCACCACATCGGCACCTGTTAACTCGGCCAGTTCCGCGCAGGACTTGTCTCCGCCTCCGGTTTCAATCCATCTGCTGAAGACACCCGCGTCAATCAACGTCTTGACGCATGCGTTGGTGGCCGGATTGACCCAACAGTGCTGCCAAACAATGTCCCATGGCTTTTGTACTTTGCTTAAAGCTAGGGTCAGCGCGTCCATAGCACGCATGCGCTCTGCTTCGTTAACAAAAGAGTTCGCGTCAAGGCCTTTCAGGGCTCCGATAAGTTGGTCTGCTGTTGCCATGTTGGGTATGGGTATCAGCCGTTGAGGAGAGATGTAAATGGAAACAACCTGCGGTTTACTAATTGATAAAGGAAATGTTTTCATCTACCGTGAAATCCTGGTAACCGGTTGACTAGAGGGCCTCAAAACTATAGTAGTTAGTAAATCTCTTGTAACAGATAAGCGCATCCTAAGATCCACTTTTCTTACATGCACTTTTCCTGATACGTAATCTGTCCTCAACGACCCGGTGTGGCCAAGATTATACAGTGCTGTTTGATCACGCGGCTACTCGATAGAGTAATGAGCCCCGGAGGACGTTAAAAGCGGCACAGTCTGCGGGTTGACTTGGTTAGCAATGATTTGTCAAGGTTGCGGTATCCGAGATCAGAATGAGCAAGGATATCTCAGGGGCAGACCCACCTGTTCGGCCGCTCTTCTCACGCCACTTTTGGCAGGTCGTGTTCGGCATGCAGCCCGTCGGACCTGTGCAAGTAATCTTACCAGGACCCACCAGTTGGACAGATTGTAGCAGTTTTACTTTGGTGTTGCTGGATGGTTTGTATGAAGAACTCGAATCTCAACAACATCATATCAACAATACCAAAGCTTGCCCTATCAGACCATGATCACGATACCGCTGCCCTGTGTTGCGTGTAGATACTTAAGGAAAACGACACCAGGCTATGTGTCACGATCATCAATCGGCTTCGCCCTTTGATCACCCTTTGCGCTCATAATCACCTTATACTCAAGTGTCTTGTAAATGATCCGAGGCGTGGAAAACAAGCGGAATGTCATCAATGCTCTCATCTGCATGGCTCAATGCCCTCTCTTTGTCATCCAACTGAGGCCCTTGGAGCTTGTCCCATCTTCCGCTGGTGCAGGATTGACCTCGGTGGATAACGCTGCTGCGTCTTCCCTGGCTGACGGTCCTACTGTCATCGCCATTGCGACTAAGGATCCGAACTTTGCCTCTGGCTGAGCGGAAGAGCGGGCCCAGTGTGGGTAAAGGGGAGCAGACTACGAGAATACAACCCTCTCCTAGACCAAGTATATCGAGAAGCGGGACCGGCTCTTACCAAGTTAATTCCGTGCTGAGGAACATGTGGGGCGAATACCTCACAAGTAGGGTCCTCCGCCAGTACCGCAAAAATATCTCCAAAAATTGTGAGTCTGTAGATGGCGAGCGTGAAGGCCAGGATACTGAGACCCGGCGCGATCGAGACCAGGATGCGGTTTTTGAGTGGCATGTTGAGGCATATGATGAATGGAATTAGGTACATAGCGAAGGACACATCTAGGAAGGCAGAATAAGCCGAATTGAACTAGCCTAAATCTGTGTCCATCGCACGATAGTCGGCCAAGTCAGGAAGCTGCGCCTCCAGGCGCGAATTGAGACGGCGCAGCCAAGTCTCAGGACGACATGAATCTCCTAGCAAAGTTGCCCTCACAGTCTTGTACATGTCCTCAAAGATCATTGATTTGTTGAAGTTGTTGTGCGAATAATGCTCGCCTGTTCTGTACACCAGGTCAGCAAACTTAACATCCGAACCGTCCACGTGCTGTCTGTGTGTCAAGCTGGTCCCAATAGATACGAACCAATCGGGATGACTCAAATCGGGCGCAATTTTGTGGCACTCTCGAAATGCGATGTCGCAAGGGTTGCGTTGGCTCAGTTCTGGTCAGTTCTACCAAATTGGAAGGTCTCGATGACGATACGCCAATTTTCTGGGCTAGTTTTGCTGTCCCTCCTACGCCATCCCAGATAGAATATTGGGACCAAGTAAGGAAAGTTTGACTGAGGATTGACTTCCGCATTAGTCACAGATTTGTACTGTCTTTCGGGAACCCAAATCACTGTTCCTAACACCCTCAAGGGTGGTGACTGTAGGTCTTTGCACATCGGGCGCCATAACAAGGTGTCGCTCGTTCCGTCTTTAGTCGTTTCACTTGCCATAGAGCTTCCCCGGCAGCCAGAATATGCAACATTAGCTACTCTGTTGGATTTTAACCTTTGGATGACCTTAATGAAATGCTCGCAAATTGGACATAGTGCACAATTCTCTGAAGAAGCGTTAGGCTGTAGCGTTATTCAGATAATATCCCTAATGCGAGTGCCTTTGGCCACATGAATCGCAGTAGAAGCCACAGGATCAATACCAAAGATTGAATCTTTACAGTAACTGGACCAGTCGCTCTCTGGGTTGGGGTAAACTCAGTTGGTAGTTTTTGTTCATCAATGATCTGTACGAGTAAGCTGCTAACTTTGGAGTGTACCAGATGAAGCACAGGACCGAGCCCCTGATGTTGAACACCGAGAAATGGCAAAGGTTGGTCTTCTCCACGCCATTCTTTCGAGCGCCGTCCCAGCCTCTGACAAGAAGTTCAAGCGCATGACCAGTGAGAACTCCCTTTTCTCACTGCACCTAGCAACATCATTGTACGCATCCTGTCGGCTGTTATGTACTACTTGCACGCCAACCCTTCGAGTCTTCATTGTCTCAGGCAGATTCTCGTGCAGGACATATCGGGCGCATGCAGTAGACCCGACCTCGCAGAGATCGAAACACTGCCCTATTTACCCTCAGCCCTCGAAGATTGCCTCCTTATCTCCGCGTTCATCACTACCCGCGCGACTCTTATTGCGCCAACTAAGCTGCTCTACTACAATGACAGTCATCATGCCGAGCACCCCGGTTCGCACAACGCTTTCCCCTCTCACTGAGATGCATCTTCATCTTATTTCCCAGCACTTCCAAGCAGAGCTCAAGTCAGGCCCGGGCCGGTATCCCAACTTCGTTGACAGTGTGCCTTTGCGTCGTGGACATAGGGATTGCAACGGCATCGTTTTGACCGGGTATCGGATGTATTTGTTGAACTGATGAGGAGGCTCGACTTCACACTGTTTGACGCAACTAAGGAGGGACGTCAATCACCGTTGCAGTCGTGTCCCGGACGAGCGACGATATGATGCTATGGGTGTCAGAGTGCGGGCGCAGGATCGACTTGGGGGGTGTTTGAGATGCGATGACGGGTAATAACGGTGCTGTCACGGCATGGCGCGAATAAGGTGCGTGGCTGGGGATGGGGGAGTCATGGTATGACAGCGGCAAGACGCACCTGAGACTGCTAATTGGACCTACAAGCGTGGTCGGATTACGCAACTGCACTCACTGGATGTTCAAGGCACTGTTGAGTGGTGGGAATTGATGGTTGCATCTACGAACGCAATGACCAGACCGACTTTACCTGGGTATCTCACTGTCCAAAAAATTGCGAGCAAGGCCTTGCAACCACCACCAAATCCAATTGGACTGTAGGTCGATATCTCTTCCTGGCTGGCATTCTTTCCGTTCGTCGAGCGTTTCGCGCGTCGGCTCCCGCAAGATTGGTCAAAGTATTGCTCTAGAGATTGATGCCACTACCTCATGAACGGTGTCCCTCTGGCTGCACAACTGCATTGGATCATTTACCCAGCTGTAGAAGGCGACTCCTGGGGTCGGGCGACTGTGACGACCCGCCATGGGTGCCTTACTGGGGTCAGAAGGTCGGCCTCGAAGGGTGAAAGATGTGAGCTGCTCATGCGGTGGGGTGAGCCTGGCCTGTACACAAAAGCCACCTGAGCTGCCTTTCTGCATCCCGGTGGCTCTTTTGCCAGGCACGCAGTGGCTGGTCCGACGTCCTCTCCCGCCTCCCCTGCGCTCTGCATCCACCCTTTGCCTTCCTTACTCCCCTCGAGCGACTCTCACCACGGACGTCTGGCCGCCCCAATTGCCGCGCAAGCTCGCACTCCACAAGTGTTCTGAATGGCTGTGCATTGACGTTCTTGATGAGACTCTTCAGTGCCTGCCTTTCGAGGGCTTCGAGTCTTTGCCTGAAACGCTCTGCCGCAGCATTCGCTATATCGTCCGCTGCACTGCTTACCTCTGCAGAAAAACGGAACGCGATATCATTGCCTTCGTCTTCTAGGTCCTGTTGTAAGCCTTCGGTTTTCTCGTCAATCATCCGCATCATCTCCATCTCGCCATCCTCCTTGACTGTGACCAGGCCCAGCCTCAAGTCGTCAATGTGCTCTTCAAACTCAAGCATGGCCGCTTCTCGCTGCTCACCTGTGCGGCTCATCGCACGTTCCATCAAGTCCTGGATCTGCGGCTGCAGATGCGCAACGAGATGCGGAACAAAGGCTGCGCCAGCGGCGGTCAGCTCTAGTTTTGAAAATGTGGAGGCATCGGAGGCGAAGCAGTTGATATCCGAATCAGGGACGGCAAAGATGGTAGGAAGGACGGCGGGAAGGGTGGAGGCAAGGATAGCGGGGAGCTCGCGGAGGACGACGCGTCGGATGGCGAGAGTCTGGTAGTCTGCTTCAGAGCCCGGCTTGGCGTACTCGGGCGGCGAGGAGGCGACTTCGGTGGGGGACGGGGCAATAGGGTTGTCGGCAAGCGGGCGTTTGGCGGGCGGCGAGGGCGTGGACAAGCCGGAGACTGTTCTGTCAGCTGAGGCGATCTGGTGCTTCTGTCGGTGTGTGCCTACCCGATCTTGCGCGCTTGTTCGAAGCCTCTGGTGTAGGAGAATGCGCAGTGGCAGACGCGGGTGCAAAGTGAGTCCAGTCCTTCCTTTCCCAGGTCTTGGCAAAGTACTTGGTGAGCGGAAAGCCGTGGAGGGCCAACTTCCCTTTGATCAGACGCTGGACTGCGGCACGAGCGGCACCAGTGAGCCACTTGTAGTCGAACACAAGGTGAACGGTTGTGGCTCTAGCCAGCTCCACGAGCTCATCGAAGGCGACTACAGAATCAGCGCTGGCTTGAGGGGCCATGATTTGGTCTCGTGGGCACCAGACTGGTGCAGGTTGCATGAGACTCAGGGTCAAGGTGGTGGTCTCAGGATCGACGTGCCGAGCATATTCTGCCAGGCGATCTATGGGGATGTGTTTGGAGATGGGAGGGTGAGATGCAGCGGGGCGATTCTCTCGGTGATTGTCAGCGTCGTACTGCATGACAAAGACCTGCTGTTCCGCGGCGCGATGCAGTGTTACTGTTACATAAAGCGCAATGGAGAGGTTGCTGTCGTTGTTGTGAAAGATGCGCATACGACACGATTGTGACAGAGGCTGCGATGAGAGATACGCCAGGACAGGCACGCTGTCCTTTGGTCTTGGATTCGTCATAGCTACTGGGGTCCAACAGGTGTATGTATGTATGATACTTACCAAAATCCCCCTTGCAGCGACTCACTGTAAGGGATCCCGCCCGCCCAGGCTTCTTGCGAGCAGCCTTGACTCGTGTGCTGACAGCAGATGCCTGCGTCCACCGCTGCCGTGCCGCGTCCGCGCGCCGGAGCAAGCCTGAGAACCTCCCCCCCGACGGCCACTTGCCCGACGCCTGTGCTGTGCGGAGTCACGCGACGCAGAGACGCCGAGTGTTTGCCGCCTGGGGCCAAATTGGATGGAGGACTGAGGACGAGCGAGCGGGTTGCGGAGTTGGCGGTCGGCAGCGGCTTCGGAAGACGTGCACTGTGTGGTGTTTCTGGCGTGTATCATGCAGCGCGATGAGTTGTGCAGTGTGTGTTGGTTGAGAATAGGTGTGTTGGTTGAAGATAGGGTGGCGGTGGTGGTGTGGTGGTGGTGTCGCGGTGGTGGGGCTGGAGGTGGCCGAGAGCAGAAGCAAACGCGCCAAGACTCGTCGCGTCGCGTGCACGTACTAGCGCTATCACGTGCAGACCAGATAGCCGAGATGTGCAGCTGTGGCAGCTGGAGCCGAGTAGCCGACGATTCACCGCAACATCAAAAGTCGATCCGCAGCATCATCAAAGGCGTCTCGACCACAGGTCCGAAGAGAGTGTGAAGCACGCCCGGTATGCAGCAACAGGCTGTCCAGAATGTGATGGCTGTAGGAATGGCGTCTCCGTGAGCAAGATGTATGCGCACGCAGTCAAATCGCCCCAGAACACGCAGAGTGAAATTGTCTCGACGATGCAGCCACATATCCACCATCCAGTCTCGTGCAAACATTCGACCACGGCCTTTCCGGCCCGGACGGAGCGGCGCGAACAACCGTCAAACGTCTTTGCTAGCCTCAGGGTTGCGGCTCAATGTGGGGCAAGCAGCCCCTAAGCTCACAACCCTAACCCAGGGTCCTGCGATATCTGCCTCAGCCTGACTGCAACATAGCGGCCGTCTTTGAGCCTGCTCCTACCAGCAACAATGACGTGTGCGTCGACTCAGAGGGCACGGACCTCGCGTGCTCCGCAGCGACTTGCAACATAGCGACCGGGCCGTCCACGCATCTGCCGTGCCTCGACAGTTTCCTTACCGACGTCGATGACATCAATTTGGTGCTTGTAGTCGACTAAGAGTGTCCCGCGCCAGACTTGGAGGATGCTCTATCGTTGCTGTAGTACACTTGATCTTAGTGAGTGAGTGATTGACTATCTTCTTCCAGGGAGACACGCTAACGAATCGGGCAGCACCTTCCGCATCGACGCTGTCGAAACTGCTTACAAAAAGCACTACATTAGCTCCCCAACACCTAGAGCGCCCGTAAGCGTACTGGGAGAGCGCGCCCCGTTTGCGACACCAGCCCGTGCGATTGCCCTCGTCCACATCGAGACCTGCAAGTACGAACAGCCTCCACGGACGGCATCATGTTCGCTCCACGACAGCAAGAGTGCCCTCAAGCCTGGTGAAGGGGCGCGCCATACGATTGGCACAGGCGAGAGCAGTGGACTCACATAAGATATCGACAATCTGCCGAAGTCGAGCAGCAATTGTTGTGGACAGTCGAGGACGTCGAGGCACGTTGGCCTATTTTCCCATGGCCCCGAATTCATGGCTAGTTCCAGTCCAAGCATAAGGCTATACTTCGCCACAAGCGGAATGATACTGGCTTAGGCGAGTCGGAAGGGCCTGATCCAGGAAGGAAACCCGTCAGCCAACGTCTTACTTGTATATGTCTTGAGTACGCGTCGAGCTACCAAGTGTGGCGACTCCAATGAGCTCACGAGCAAGGAAGGGGCCGGACATGATGAAATCGGTTCTAGATTGCATTATACTGGCAGCCGGCGACAGAATAAACCTCTTAGCTCGAAATGCTCGCCAACAACAAAACGACCTGCCAACACAAACGAGGGAGACGGTCATTGTTCCATTTGTCGTTGCCAACGCAGTTCAGCCACTGGCTGGCCTAGACGTGGCTTGTCTTGTCCGGTGCTTGCAACAACCTGAGGTCCTTCTCGAATACTGCGCAACCCTGGCTATGTGTAGTACCAATCTCCCATCAAAGCAAGGGTGTTACGTTATGCGCCGGGGTCGCATTTACGATCATGGTTACTGGTTGCCACAAAGACATCTCGGCTCGTGTTTCTGACTGTCTTAATTGATCTGACTGTCTTGATTGACAATTTGGAAGATGAATTTCTCACAGTTACATCAATCGTCACCGAGATTCGTACTTTGTACCTTCACCGTGAGAAGTCACTTGCCTTGTGTGAACCGTGTAATGGCGATGCTTGCCTCCTACCCAACCCTTTGGCAGCCTTCTCACTCATCCCGCCGCTTTCTAGAGCGATTCTGTCCGAATGGTTCCGGTGGTACCTCCGCTGCCTTTGCCTTCGAGCGGAGGTGAAGCTCGCTAGCGCTACACGTGTTCCCGGCACTTACATCGCTACAGACACTTCCCACAGCTCTTTTCGAGTTCAACAGCATCAATATAGTCAGTGTGAGTCCAGCCTTCAGAAACATACCTGAACGTACGGCGAATCATGTCGAGGCTGTATTGAAAGCACTAAGAGCTAGACATATCCCAAAGAAGCACGCATCCTGCTGTTCGGATCTGTTTTCCCCGCCTGCATCGCAATCGATGGACTGACAAGCTGACGAACTCGCGAGTCCAGAGATTGGTCTCCATCAATTCACCATGCCGCCCAACAAGGACGTGTGTCTGCGCAAGAAGGCACTGCAAGCCACGCTCCAGCACTCCGCTTTGCCGAAAGCCATTCTAGACATTCTGAACGGTGCAGCAGCGCCCAAGTCAAACAGCACCACCCAGAGTATCGACGCGCCTGCCGGTTCAGCAACGAAATGCGCGCTTTGCCCCAACGACCTCAGCGACAAGGACCAGATTGTCGTGAGCTGCTGTAGTATGAGTCCGCTCCGCCACGTTCACAATGATGATGCTAACATTACCAAGAGGAACGGATACACAGCGCCTGCTACGATAAGCTCATCCTCGCGAATCGGAGGAACATGCCTCTTCCCCCGTGCCGCATCTGTGCAGATCGCAGGAAGCACGCCGAGGAGATGGATGTTGAGAGAGCGCGGCAGGAAGCGGGCCATTCGAACGGCAATGAGTCCAGGGAGAATGAACAACTGGAGCGGGAGCACATGGATCAGATTGACTTCATTGAATCGATCTCGGGCGAACGTTGATGGCGGCGGACCAGCGCAAGCGGGCCGTGACTGTGAGATATGGATATCCCGGCATCAACACTATTAAGGAGCGGCCTCGGAGTGCCTGGGAGACATGATTCAATATTTTCACAAGCGCTGAGGATCTGCAGGGGCGCTATGGACCCTGCTTAGTCGACGAGGTGGCGTTCGGGCTTGGATTTGGTACCTGGGAATGAGAGTCTAGCATTGAAGACTCCTATCAGCGTGCTGAAGCAATCTAGTACTTCGGCGCAACGCTCTCGACTTCGCTGGACTTTGGCCAACGATGCTGCAAGCTCGGCACGACTGGTTCCAGACTTCCGAGGCAGCTTCGGTAGAGTCTATGGCTGTGTTTATCTGGACACGTAGCTTCGTGAAGAAATCCTATCTCGCTGTTTTGACACTTCTTGAGTAGCCTTGCAGATGTGATCGGTGCTCAACAAAGATTTGCAGTGGTACGCAGGCCGCACAGCATAGCAGAGCTCCACGTCAACAGCCTACGTAGATGTCGGCCCCTCTTCCCATCCATGGCTCTGGCCAACTGAATCATCCCGAGAGCGGCTGCGCTTCGACTTGTCTAGCGGCCTTTTCTTTTTCAGGAAGTGCCTGTAGCTTGCGTTGCTCTCCTTCTACGCTCCGTCAGCACCTGCGTACAAGGCAAGATCAGCATTACCCACTTTGCGCCGGTGCTCGGGTCTGACGAACCGCTCTGTACCCTCGAAACCGGAACCTCGCGGTGGTGCCGTCTTAGTCTGGCGACGCTTGTGTGCATTGTTTGTCTGCCGCGACGAAGTAATACTGTATGCGAGGTTGTTCGTGGCATGATGCTCAGCCTTCACCAAAGCAGCCTCGAAAGATGAGGGGACCTTGTCAAATTCTTCTTCTTCGTTGATTTCGTCCACCCAGTTCGCTTCGTCCTGATCTCGCTCGTTTTGAAGTAGCCGTGACAAACTTTTTGGATCAAGTACCGTTGCCTCGACGTTGTGGGGACAGCCAACTAGGCCGCTGCATCCACCATTCTGCTCAATGCTAGAAGAATCGGCAAAGGGACACTCGCCATAGTCGGACTCATAAGTGTTTTCTTGGGACACGAAGGTGGAAATAAAGGGCATGATGGCAATATCTTCGGTCTCGAGGGACTCTGTAACGTCGGCGTCTGTACTGACTGTGCTGATGTTCTGCCTCGTGAGTTGTGTTTGGTAGACAGTGTCATCGGTGAGTATCTTCTCCGGAGTCTTGCGCATCATGCTACAGCATGGAATTTGTCTTGACCTGCTGCGAAGTAGATCAAGAGCGAGGAGGCCTGTCCTTAGCATTTGCGCGAAGGGAAGTCACACGCGCTAGTACGGGAGCTTAGCAGAGACAAGTGAAAGAAGGGTTCAACTTTTGTTGCACAGATGCTTCTACTATGACAGAGGCTGTTTCCATCCCCATGGTCTTTCCTCATGCTACTCGTCAGATGACAGCTGACCGGTCACTGTGCAGACCACGCGTAGAACTCCACCTCGATGATGTGCCAAGGCCGTTCCTACGCGCAGCGGCCTTTCATCCTAGGGCTCGATCTGATCCTCCACAATCGTAGTCTCAATGCCTGAGGTCTCATGATCGCCTTACATCTCAATCGTTTCCCGCGGGCCCGGTTCTTGGGCGATCTCAAAGCGCCCACCTCTTCCTCACTAGTCATCTCCCAGCAAACTTGTCCCATGACACAACATGTGTGAGGGTCGGTGCATCATGTATCTTCTTCAAGATTTTACTACTTTGCCGTACCAGGACAAATAAGAAGATGTCAAGTTTGCGAAGAAGCACGGGGTCGTTGAGCCCTCAGCTGCGGCCTGTTTGCTTTCGTGGTGCAACGCTTGCCCAAGCCAGCCTGGTCCTTCCTGCCGTAGTGGGCCGGTCCAGCACGAGCCCAGGAAAGCCTAGAGGAGGCAGATTCAGGAGACTAGGTGTAGAGGAGTCTGCTGCAATGTTTAGATACGTGTTGCAGCGTTGCCACAGCTGCAGGCTTGCAGGTGTAGCTGTTTGGGCGCTGTTGTGGTGCGTTGGCGGCAGGTTTGGTGGTCGTGGCCGTGCGCGCGCTAGGCTTAGTCAGGAGGATGAGGCTGATATCGATAAGCCATCCTTGGCGCGGCGTCAACGGACGGGCAGGGCACACGAAGTACTCGTTCGTGTGCAGTCATTTGCGCAGCAGTCTTGCTGTTGCGTTGCTGTGCCGGCTCAAGACCACGGCCGTCCATTGCCACCACGTCGTCCCCTGACGCCCTCCGCTGACACCCTCCGCTGACGCCCTCCGCTGACACCCTCCACCCGCGAACTCGCTCCTTGAGACTACATACCGAGGGAAACGCAACGTCCCCATAATGCGGGGCGGGAGGACTCAACTGCCCACACAACCAAACGCTATGCAACATTACCGCTGGCCACAAGACAAGGGCACGGGAGGAGGGTGGCTTGGAAGAGAAGCTGGCAGCGACATACTCTGGCTCCCGCTTTCTTCGCTCGAGCTGCAGCATGTGTGGGCACCATGTCTCGTCTCGCTGCCTTGCTGGAAACGCAGACCCACGGTCCCCTTCGTTGCTTTTTGGCAAAGAACTTGTCTCAGAACGTTGCTGCCCGGAAAGGTTTTGGGCTGCAAGAGAGCTCGCGACGTTGCTGACCAGCAACAGAATGGAGCAAAGCATCACGCTCACTGCCGACCTGTTCTTCCGTCCTTCTTGGCACGACAATGTCAACCAAGAGGAAGGAGGATCTATCGCAGCTCGATATTGGCCAACAGAGCTTTCGAAGCAGTACGGTTTACTTGTGTTAGCAGGCACTTGTAACACTTCTCAATAGATAGAGGACTCTCAGTTTAGCTTTGGAGTCTTTGGAGTATAATAGAGCTTTGCCAACACTGCCGATGCTTCTTGCCCTTTGTGTTGGCCTCGACCCAGCGCCGTTGTCAGGAAAGCGCTCTGAGTTCGGAAGTCGTGCTCGTCCTACCGCCAGCCCTCCTTTTCACGCCTCCTTCCGCCAGCCTCGAGCTGGATAGTCTCGCTACTGGTGCCATGTTGCCCGATTAGAAAGGCTTGAGCGCCGGCGTCAGTGCGTCAGTACGTCAATACCCGTCGCTATCAACGACATCCTTGAAGACTCAGCAGCGACTGTATGACGGTCACGAGTCGCATCAAGCAAGCGCAAGGTGATGTGTATGAGATGGCTCTGGGATTGGAGGTTGCCGCTAGGTAGATTGTATAAAGTGCCGAGAGGAGCGTGAAGATACATCCTTCAAGGCGAAACTTCAGCTGCAAGCTCCCAAAATTCAATACCCCGCATATCCTCACGCGACCGCCTGTCAAGACCCTAGCTGCCCCGCCGACATCAACCTTCGCACGTCCAGTCCACTACGTGTGCCGCCAGCCAACTGTTGGGCGCTCTACACACTCTTTAAGTTTTATAAAGCATCGTCTGTGCAGCGGCTCGTTCAAGCCAGGAAACAGCCGTGGCACCGATCTGTCAGGTGACCGAGTCGCGATCAAGGGTACATACGATTGCAACCTTGGCCCACAGGACACATTCAGAAGGCGCTATCTCACCGTTAGGGCGCAATAGAGGAGCTCTCGCTAGGGCTATGGACTACGGGCTACGGGCTCGGCTATGTATGGCTAAGCAGCGGCGGCTGCTCGTGGGAGCTGCGAAACGGCTGCCACCTACGACACGCGAACTAGTGCAAAGAGAACACAGGACATGCAGCAACGATGGAATTTACAATGGATCGGCGGCGAGCAAGTTCAGCGCAGCGACAGTGGCGTCCAGCGGACGAAGTATAACACCTTTAAAGTCTACAGATCATTACACAATCACAATGCCGCAAGTCTCTGATCCGAGATCAAGCTCAGACTCTGACAACGTTCTGTTATCGTCTTGAACATCAGCGGCTATCACGGCGGAAGAGAAGAAGCAATTGCTGGAAGGTCTGATCCTTGACAAGAGGCAGGCTGCTCCACCACCAGGTTCATCCACAGCTAGGTCCGCAATGCACTGAACCACGACGAGTCTAGCCAAATCAAGGTCAAGGAAGTTACAACGAAAAAGGCAAGCAGAACAACTCAAATTCGGAACGGCGAAACTAAGGGAGCAGCAAAAGATGTCTAGGATTGACAGTCTGAATTGCTTTTCAGCAGCCCCTGCGTAGCAGCCCGATCCCAGAGGAATGCATGAGTATGAGAAGACTACAGGTATGAGGAGCAGGAGAAGGAATTAGCCAAGAAGGATAGCCTGGCGCGTGTGCCGAGCAGAATGACGCTGCCTGGGGCTATGCTAGGCCATCTTCTAACCCAGGATCGCCCCTCCACGACGCGAAGCCAGCGTTGGCGTGCGGCTGACATCGAAGCCGTGCCTACATGGCGACAAGATCATGGAGTTGACCGACCACACCCAGACGACTGGCAGGCTGACCTGGAGACCGCCATGTTGCATTCGTTAGGGAGGCTCGTGAACAACAGCGTCGTCTGCAGCATGACGGCACCACATTACCTTTTCAGACATGCTCTTGAACATGGACACAAGCACCCCTACAGGTGAATTTGGATCTACGAACTCGCTCATATACAGAGACTGCAGCATATGTAATGCTAGGTGCGAGGAAAGGTTGCTAGACGAGGTAGCGCAGGCGATCAAGCCGCAGTTCCAGGACCTAAATAAGGGCAACGGCATGATCAGGTATCTGACCAGGCACCTCGGCAATGATATTTCCATCCAAGAAACTCTACATTTTCAACTAGGAAGTCCAGTGGTCCGTCACCAAAGCACATGAAGATCACCGCCCGCTGCGCTGCATTCTCCAACGCACACTGGTAGCATGACGCAAATTTTTGTTCAGCGCCTGAAGGGCTTCTTGCGGACGCCCTGACCCAGGAAGTATGTGTTGTTTTATAAACAGCAAGCATGTAAGAATGCTTTACCTAGGCTAATGTTCCAGATGTCTGTAAGCGAGGGCGACCGATCGGATATTGTATACATCGCCCCCGTTCACGCCACCCCGCAATCTTGCCGCCTAGATGGTGTTTGCTGTTGTGACTGCCTAGTATTATCTCTTATATTTCCGCCTCACTGCGTCCATACCACAACACAAGCCACAACACAACCACCACCATGTCGCACCTTAAACCTGTGTACATGTACGCTGACGCATTTGCTGCGCTATGCGACGGAACCGACAGCACTCTGCCCGCTAAGCCCATCCCCTCAAGTGGCTCTGAGCTCCGCACCCGCCGCCGTTCGCTCTTTGGCACGCCGCTCCCCTCTTCAGCTGAAGGGAATGCGTTTGCGGACTTGTATAGCGCGGACGGACTGGAGATGACGTTTCGCTCACTTGCTTATGTGTGACACGCCGCTCTCTGCTTCTCCGCAATTTGTAGGACAGCAAGATAAGACCAGTCCAGCTGCAGCGCGTTGCCGGTAATCCGCCTGGTCTTTCACTCGACTTCCCAGGTGAAGTTCCGTATCCGCAGAGGATCGAGCTTAACTTTCCCTGGTGCATTGATGCGCCCGGGCAGCAGCGCGATGTCCACTTCGCCTTCGCTCTTCTTCTCCAGGCTTGTCGCCTACTGCAGTCCTACCGTTAGACATGCAACCTGAGCGCGCTTTCGGCAGAGGAATGTTTGCAAGTACGGTCTGCTTGATGCGTGTGAGGCGCTCATTACTGACATAATCAAAGATGCTGTGCAAGCGGTTCCTTAACTCAACAACAAGAGGGTTCTCGTCGGCATTTGACCATGGGGCCTCCAACGTTCCTGTGAACTCGCGTCGCATGTGATATCGTGGCGATTCGTTGCCACTCTGCTCACGCCAGACCACGAAGAGCTCAACGGTCTTTGTATCGCAGACCAGCGCCCAGTGCATGGTGTCTACAGCATCTGAGCTAACGCCGGCCTGCACGTACAGTCGATGGGTGTATTCGCAAGCAGCTATACTGTTTCGGCCAAGCTGAATTTTGCCTTGCTTGAGGCCAGCGTATGCTTCGAAAGACTTGAACTCGATTGAATACCATGGACAGAGGATGTATTGGTTGATTGGTGGGACGTCCATGTTACCCAGAATCTTCATCTCCTCCTCTTCAGTGAAAGCTGGCCGCAATTTCTGAGCCCTTCCGTGTTGGATGATTCCGCGCGACATGTAGCCCATGGCCTTGTCGACCCTTGGCTGAGGCAACACGAAGTTGGGGATCACGCTGTGCATGACATATTTACGACTGAACTCTGTCTCACTACCCATGTGGTTGAATTGCGCACCACCAGGCTCGTCTGCATTCAAGAAGCCGAGATGCGGTGCAAGGTATCCCATGGCATCCCATTCGTTCAAACGCTGAGCTAATGGCGCCTTCTGGTGCAGCAGCTTTGCGGCTGGCGAGCTAGGGCCGTTTCTAGGTCTCACCACAACGTTCCGTATGAAGTTCTCCAGCTCTGAGGGGTAGGATTCGTAGGAATCCATGACGAATCCATACTGCGCAAGCTGTATTTCGGCATCCCTAATGGTGGCTTTGACAGCCTCGGACGAGTCGTTATTCGAGGAAATAGCTACAGGGAGCTCCTCGCTGGGATTGGTGTGCTGGGTATGCGCACGGAGGTTGTTCTCTGTGAGCGCGTGAATGGGAGGAGGAAGCCAGAGCTCGGGAGGGTTTTGGTGGTTCGGATTGACCAAGTCTACTCGGATCCGCGCTGTTGTGTTCTTCTTGGAGCCTATGTTTTGCGTCAGTACAGCTCTTGGCACCGTGCATCGCGCATCTTGAGTGCGGCTGACTCACCCTGTGCAGTCTTCGGCTTCCTGGGCGTCCGCTGAGTCTTGTTGTTAGCCTTGTGGACGCGGACCACGATCTTCTTGCTGCCGAGGTTGATGCGATTTCGCGGCTGCTGTAGGCGAGCAGACGTATGCCCAGGTGACTCCATAGTGGGGCTGTGTTGAAGTTGCAGGTGAGAGAAGCGTTTGCGCAACGCTGCATTTGGTGAAACCCAATTGCTCACGATAGCAAGCGCAGCGAGGAAGTGCGAGGAACGTTGGCGGTAGCGGCGTCGAATGGTTCCAGGCGATTGCGACGGCGTGAGAGGTTGAAGACACGGGCGACGCTCCGATGTTTTGTCGGAGCTGTGTTTGTGTTGACCCTGGATTTGGATTCTAAGTGACCACCCGTGACGGCACGTAAAACCAACGACGAACTACAACAGACGCACCTTGTCCGTAATTGGTTGCGACGTGCTCCATATCATGGCTGTCAAGCCTGCCGTGTTGGTTTTGACAGGGTGTCCTGTGCATACCTATCGACATTGAATAAGTCCCCCACCAGCAACTTTTTTCCAAGCTGAAAGTATCACAGCCACGTAGACTCGGCTTGGTAGACTGTCTTAACCATACAAGGGACTGACTTGTAAGATTTGGAGTATGGGACTAGGTAGTTGACTGACCTCTCGATTGTTGTCGCCACATAGCAGGTTCGTCGTTTGCTCTTGTAACGCACGCTATGACATTGCTTCTTTAATACGGCCAGACCTACGCTACGTTCCCTGGATTGCAGCAGTTTTCCAGCAGATTATCAAATACACAAGTTGTTCATTCTTTATGGTAGCTTCTTCATTATGCTAAAGCAAACCATCCACATCTATGCTGGCTTAACAAGCGTTCGGTTCTTGAATTTTACCTTGAATTCTACTGGTCTAACAAACCAGCCGTTGCGAAACCGAGGCTCGCGAGATCCCTCGTCTAGTTCAATCTGAACCGACAGTTAGCTTTGAACGAAAACACGTTGCAACTACTTCTTACCTCAAATCTGCGAAGGACTGCTGGAATAAGCTTGTAGACTTCCATCATGCCAATGTGCTTTCCGAGACAAACGCGCGGCCCTTTGCCAAAGCTCATGATGCAGTAGTCCATCTCCTTGATTCTTGCAACTTCCGCATCCCTGTCTTTAGAAGTGTCCACGAGCCAGCGCTCGGGTACGTAGTCTTCAAGATCTTCGCCAAAGATCTCTGGCCGACGGTGGATCACCCATGCATTGCATCCCACAATTGTGCCACCCTTGATGATCTCACCGTTGATATTGACGCCCTCTGGAGGCACGACCCGTTCGAATGGTAGTCCAGGGGCAGGATGCAAACGAAATGCCTCTCGGATACAAGCGTCCAGATATGGCAGGCGCTGACTCTCCGCCCACGTAAGCGCGCCGGTCTCGTTGTCTTTGAACTGGCCTTTCAGCGCTTGGTCATCGAGCTCTTCATACACCTTCGCCAGACATCTAGGGTTTCTCAAAAGCGAAGCAAAGACTCCACTCATGGTTACTGCGGCCGGCTCGGAACCCGCAAATGCCATGGAAACACACATGGTCACCACAAGCTGGTCGTTGAAGAAGTCCGGCCTGTCATGTTTGGCTTGGATAAATTTCGAAAGGAAGTCTTGTGGCATATCCGTCTTCTCCCGTTTCCAGGCGAGGTTATCCTTGGAAAAGACTTCACCGGACGGATGCCGTTCGGCCAGACGGGCTTTTGCAAAACGCGACACTGGGTAAGAAGAGTCGATTAGGCCGTACTTGGAGGCCAGGAGCTTGAGCGGATTTTTCTTCCAGAATTTATCTAGGAGTGGGATTTGTCCGACCTGTTTCTCCAAGTCAGTCGTTGATGAACACTACAGCTGGATCACATACTACTGCTGCATAGTCGAAAAGCGCAGAATTGCCTTTGACAATTCCCTCAATGTCGTGGTTACTCTCCAGGAACCCGTGGCGTCGGGAGTAGACTAGATCACCAATAACGTCGAAGGTGTAGAATTGAAGCCATTGATAGAAATCGCAGTAACTCCCGGTATCTGCAAAGCGCTTCTGTGTCTGTTCAAGGAAGATCTGATTGACAGAGTCGAAGACAGGCTCATATTGCATTTGTGCGGACATGGTAAAAGCGCTATTCACGCTACGCTTCAGTTGCGAGTGGTATTCCTCTGATTGCGTGCTGAATAACGTTGGTAGCCTCTTTCCTTCCTTCGAAGTCGCCATTTGCACGGGATAAAAGTCTGACTAGTACGTGTGAGTATTGAAATTAGATAAGTAGGATAGTAGACGCAGGATAGCAGACGCAGATGCACACCTTCGTGAAGCCTTTGCCTAAGGCGTATATAACTTTGATAGACTTTGGATTGCTAAAGGAGAGGCAGTTAGGTCCAAGGCGCACGATGTCTCCATGTTTGTCGTGCAAGTCGATGTGCCACCTTTCGGGCGTTCTTTGCCAGGCTTTGAAAAATCTGTACCAGTCGGTAAAAGAGCATAAAATGGGCCCTGGGTATTTATTTAATCCCCCTTTCAGGTAGTTGTGGGTTAAGTAGGAGCATATCGCAACGACAACTGCCAGAGGCCAATATCGGCAAAGCGCGACGAGCAAGGTGTTTGCGATCATTGTAGATGACTGTGGCGGCTAAGATAGTCCCTGAGGACGCTTTTATAGTTGCCTGGCTTCTACTATTCGAAGCATATCTACCAACAGTGTGCCCAAAATTAACAACGGGGCGAGTTCTCATATGCCGTCCTCAAAGCCGTACATCGTATCACTACGTGTCGCCAAGGAGGTTTCCCCGCAGCAAGTGTACTTGGAGCGAAGAAGAGACTGGGCGTTTTCAGATCGACTACCGTAAAGACTCGTTGCTTTCGCCCCAAGCTAGCAGGCAGCGGGTATCTATGGGGCTTTCATGAGTGAGCGAGTAGCGAGTGGTAAGTTTTAGGAGGTCTCCACCTGACTGTGACAAGTTTAAAGCTTTCTGGTCTAAGCCTAGTAAACCTCACCTAAGTTATCAAAGTCCGTTAGAGTCTACCCCGTACATACTCGCCCCCTGCTAGCTTAAGGCGGAAGCAACGAGTTTTCACGATATGGCAGTGCTTGGCCATAACATTGCTCATGCTCCACACAACTTCAAGATAAACTACATGCCTTGTGCTTACTGGCTGCAGAATTGGCGCTGATTGTACCCATTCATACTCGTAACTTGCATGCCATGTTGCGTCATAATCTCAATCTCAAACTCTGGGCGTTGGCCTAGCTGCTTGACATCGTATAAGTGCGAGACATTCTCGGCCCGCACGTTTATAGTCCGAGAATTCTCCCTCATGCCCTGTGCCAAGGGCTTTATCCGTATACTCGATTGGAAAAGATCCATGAAGGTCACTTCGTATGGCCAATCTATCTTGAGTCGGGCCGATGCTTCGATGTAGCTCAACCGAGCCCACAGATATTCCAAAGAACCATTGGACGACAGCTCCCAAGAAGTAGGAGATCAGGCCACGGTATCTCTCGATGTTCTTTACCGAGCAGCATTGTTCTCTGCAAAGCAGCAAAGTATCAACTCTAGATCGAGATTGCGTAGCAAGCCTCCAAGCTGTAAAGTACTGTAGAAGTTGACATTGATCGTTTGCATCCTCGGTGTGTATGTAGTCACTGTAGATGACTTGATAATATTTAGAGACTAACACAGATGTAAATGGTGCAGATATGTGAACGACCATTGGTACGGGTAGGGTACTCGATCTGTCAGTGATCCGTGCTTCCTATGCGTCTGAAAAGTCGGGCCGGAATAATCCTACAAACTTGGAGCGTCTAGTTAGAAGACTGTCATATAGATTCATCGTTGTTGATGCATGAGTTATAACAACTAGTGTGTTGGAATCTGTTCGGTTCACGGTATCCACATTTTGTATCCTATGTTCATTGGCCCTTTTAGGATATCCCGAGTAAGCCATCTTTTACACTAGCTAGGAATCTCTAAAATGCGTTCTTGAAATCTTGCAAAGGGGGCTGAACTTCTGGAGCAAGCGGGGTAAACGTCTATTGCAACAGTTGCTCTTATAATCGAAATGCTTTCACTATCTTCTAATGGGATCGTACGGCAAATTGTTAAAGACAAGGAATGAAGTTGAATTCAAGCCATGCTTGGGTAATATATCTAAGTCCAATGCAACACATGGGTGACATGTTACCACACTATCCTCAAACAACCATTTGTTGGTTCGACCAGCATTGTTTCTACCTAGTCGAGAATACGACCCATGCCGAGGCCGTCGAACATGGGTAGAAGGAACGTCTCGAACCTTGGATGTTTTGCCAGAGCTTTGTTGAACTCATCAAGCGAATTGAAATCAGCCGAAGTCCAAGTACGTTCGCCAGGCTGTTTGGGGGCTGTGGTCCATGGATTGTTTGGTGATGAGTCTGCGATCAACCCTCGGCGAAGGACATTATCTGCCAAAATGATCCCTCCTGTTCTCAAAAGCCGGACGTTACCAGATGTGGGATTGGAGAGTGATTCTATAAGTTTGAGATATTTTGGGTATGACGGCTTGTCGGCATCGATGAATATCATGTCGAAAGGCTCCTGTAAGGTATGCGCCAGCTTCATCAGGGATTCTCCAGCGTCTCCAACAATCACTTCAGCGTTCTTCACTCCCTCCCTTTCAAACAGCTCCTGTGCGATCCTGGCATACTCTGGCTCGAATTCCAAAGTAGTGACGTGGCCTGAGGGACCTACTGCATCGGCCCATGCCAGAGTCGAGAACCCGATATACGTTCCAATTTCCAGAACTAAATGGTATTAGGGCTGATGATACCTCGTACGCTTAATCGACTTACTGCGCTTGAATCCCATCGCCTTAGCCAACCATATGTGAAACTGTGCCTGCAATGGCGAGATCATAAAGAAAGACTTCTCTTGTGTCTTCATTCCCCAGTCATGAAAGGCAGATACGTTAGAGGGGAGGACAGATGAATGGTTGAATGCATAATCCCCGACTGCTATTCCAACCTGTTCGTTGGGATAAAGCTGAGTGTGGATCTCACGCATCTTGATTGATTTCGAATGGGACAATGGAAATCGAGAACCGCTGAAGATATAATAAACTTCTAAATATCAGATCCAGAACAAACCACTTCCTTTAAATACATGTTCAGCTCATTGGCAAGACGCATGGCATGATTCAGTCTCTTTCTTGTCTTTCATACATAGACGCCGAAAGGAACCCTTGCTCAATAGAGCTAGCAAGAACATGATGTAGGGGTGATCGGGAGAAGGCCCGACTTTACCCTAGATGCGTCTTCCATTAACCACAGAAATTCAGAGCGCAGGTGTAACAAAACTCATCTCCGGGGCGAGCCGAGCCATTCGGACCTGCTTAATTAACTCTCAAATCCAAGAGCGGAGAATGACCCTATACAGGAGGGTATCGCATTCTCTGGTGACGAGCAACTCGGCTAAGCGCTTTGGGAGCGATTGTCAAGCCAATCGTGCAGCTGCTATAGGCCCATTATGGAGCTGAACAGATGAGATTGCCCCATAATAATCATATGACACCTACGCAATTGGCTCAACAATCGTTTCTAAAGCGCTTAGCCAAGTTGCTTGCCACCAGAGAATGCGATAGCACGTCAGGCTGATATAGTGTGCTGGCGCGGCATGCACGTCAGAAGCTCTAGGAGAGTTTCGTAGCTGTTCTGTATTGGCCAAACTCCCAGCAGGTACCCGTGAGCTAATAACTTGAGGCTGCACCCCGCTGTACTAGTGATCTCGTCACGCTCTGCGGGATGTGTTTCGGTAACTAAGAAACGGACCGTATCCTCTGGTAAACAGATGTTGCAGGGCCAAGAGAAGACAACGCAGCAATGAGACCACATCTGTCTTCGGTCTGACGCACCGATCCTTGTGCGGAACAAAACTCGGCAAATCAAGAAAGGGCCGTATTTCGCGCCGATGGAAAACTATGAAGCTACTGTCCAGCGCTTGTGATGGGAGGAGTTTCTCAATTTCTAAGGTCTCTTACCTACAAACAAACTTCTTCAAATTTACCCACACCTGTTCTTCACATGACAGACACCACAGTCAAGACCGAATCTGCGAACGGAAAACCGGAAGTCTCTATCGACATGGGCACCACTGCTCTCGAGTGGAATGGGCCTGACGACCCAGATAATCCGGTCAACTGGCCTAAGTGGCAGAGATACTGGCACATCGTTCCGCCCGCCATCATTTCGTTCACGGCGTAACGTCTCTTATCGACTGATGTGCCAAGCTCAGCGACTGACACTTTCAGGACCTTAGGATCTTCGATTTATACACCTGCATATCCTATTATCCAGGAAGAATTCAAGCAGAGTTCAACGGTAGCGCTTCTGCCTTTTGCATTGTACGTTCTAGCTTTGGGTTTCGGGCCCTTGATCGCTGCGCCGCTTTCAGAAACCTACGGGAGATATATCGTGTACACTGTCAGTACGCCAATTGCAGCTGTATTCACTGTTGGCGCTGGGTTCTCGCAAAACATTCACTCTCTTTGCGTTCTGAGATTTCTCGCAGGAATGGCCTTTAGCCCTTCACTGGCTATTGGAACAGGAAGCGTTGGTGATCTAACGGTTCCTGAAAAACGTGCTGTTCCATCGGCGCTATATATAATGAGTCCATTCTTGGGTCCAGCATTTGGGTAAGCTGTCCATAGTCGTACCCGTTCATTGCTAATGATTACGAAAGGCCCGTTATTGGCTCGATTGTGACGGTTAAGATGTCCTGGCGCTGGACGCAATGGACTCTAGTGTTTTTTGCCATTCTTTCAATGGCAGTGACTCTCTTGTCCCAGGAGACATACAAACCGATCATTCTGTCTCGAAGGGCGAAGCGGCAAAAGATCTCACTTCCTTCTGGACCTTCCCCCTTGGCAAAGCTCAGCCTTTTCCTGACCATTACACTTATCCGTCCACTACACATGCTTATCACCGAGCCAATTGTGGCCTTATTCAGTCTTTACACCGGTTTCAACTTCTCTATCATATTTGGATTCATGGCGGCCTACCCTTACGTCTTCCGAACTGTGTATGACTTCGACACAATTCCATCAGGATTGATTTTCCTCGCTATCGGGTTCGGCGGATCTTTGGCAGTGCCGACTGTCCTGCTTTGTGATCGCTTCCTTTACCAGCCACGTGTCCGTGAGTCCAAAGCTGCTGGTAGAAGCCGAGCAGTTGCTCCAGAATATCGTCTGTATCCCTCAATGATTGGTTGTTTTGGCCTGCCTTTAGCGCTATTCTGGTTCGCATGGACTGCTCGTCCGTCGGTTTCCTGGTGGTGTCCTGTTGTTGCTTCAATACCTTTTGCTTGGGGGAACTCGACAATCTTCATCTCTGCGACTGCGTACTTGCTTGATACCTATCAATCTCTCTATGGAGCCAGCGCAATGGCGGCTAATGCTCTTGTACGGTACACAATGGGGGCTGCTCTGCCACTTTTTACCTTGCAAATGTACAAGGGCATGGGGATCGACTGGGCTACCAGCCTACTGGGGTTCGTTTCTGTTGTTTGCATTCCGATACCTTGGATTCTTTTCTTTTACGGCCACAAAATCAGATCGAGAAGCGGATATGAGACAGCGAAGTCATCTGTATAACAGTAGAGTTTGTAAATTAGGCAATAGTTGTTTGGGTTTTCGTGCGTCTGATATTCAAGATATTCTTCTATATCGTCAGAGCATTGATTTTGAGAGTTGTGAAAGTGCACTGAGTTGATACATACTGATCTGGAGACTGAGTTCTCCTTCCAGAGAATGCAACCTTACCTGACCTTTGCTATAGACTTCTTCACACAACCTTTGGTGGACGTCCAAAGTCTGCTGTCGGTTCGCGCTTGCGCTGCTTGTGTTAACTAGAAGAAGCCTCATCGTCAACAATTTCGAGCGCCCAATTGTCTCTCGTGCTTGACAAGCGATGGGTAAATAGAGCTATAAGGGTTTTCGAGCAAAAACCCTCCCCTCCGCGCACTTCTGAAGTCGACCATCATCTTCAAATATTCACAGACGGACATAACTCTTCTCAAGGACCCCTTCTCTCTCGCATGTTTTCAAATCTGCATTCCAACCTCCATATAGCTCTAGGACGTCATATCTAGAATTTCTTGAAACACCACGGGTAACATGACTCAATATCCGATGTTGAGCAGTACACTCGGCGCGTCAAACAAGTGATTTTGTCTCACAATGTCAAACGAGTTAGTTTGCCTCACGATATCGAGACAATATCCCTGCGATTGAACCGCGATGAAAGCTCCACTTCAAAGCCGTCCTGGATGTAGCTTTCACGCACAAGCACAGAAAGTGTCCAAATGTTGCTGTTGAGGTTGCCTTCTCTCAGAGCATTGAGGACTCAAAAGAGGAGTCGATGGGATACGTGAACTTGCCCCGAAACCGAGAGTATGTATATGCTGCACTTGCAATCAAGCTGTCTTAGCAGAAATGGTCTGTTCGTAGTAAGAGAAGTGTCTGAAAACGTAATCATGTGTGCGCAATGTACCATGATATTGGTAAGAAGCACAGAGTCCTAGAGATTGAGATTCACTGTACCTAGTTATGGTGTATATACGCAGGACAGCCAACCGACAACCCAAAATACGTGCTGTATTTCTCTAGTTTCTACCCGCCTAGCACTCTTGCACCGCAGGATATCCAAGCAATGCCGATCAGCTCGTCTAATTAGTCAGATGTCACACCAGATAGCAAGAAGGGGACGAGAAAGATACTGTGAAAGAGAGGTATGCACATGACTTCAACTCAGTGATAGCCGAATCAACTATTTCCACGCAGGAGTACTCTACCTGAAGCAACGTCACAGACAGCCAGCCCCCTTTGGTGAATCTGACACCTCAGCGATTCGTTGACGGGCGCCACGACTGCAAACTCCAGCACCGGCATAATAGGTTTACCATCTCTCCGTCATTCTTCCTAGTCCCCTGTCTGTACAGGGCTCTTCGACAACTCTTTCGCTATATCACAGATGGCAGATATTTCTAAGACTTCGCGCCGACGTAGCCAGGCCGTATCATTCTCTGAGATTGCCTGAGCGTGGCTCCGTGAGCCGAACCAGGACCCCCGTGCAGCCACAACGTCAGAATAGTACCCGCAAGGTGCCCACTCGGGTTCATCTGTGATCTGTAGGATGCTAGGCTGTTGAAATAAGTTCGTACGTGCGGGAGGCATGTCGCGTGATACAGTTGAAAAGATGGATTTTAGTAAACAAGCGGAGGGGTGAGTCGAGAATGACTGGGATCGGGAAAACAAGTCGCCATTGGAACAGCTGTGCGATGACAAAGCCACAATTTTGTTGTCTCAACTGTCGATGTCGATAGATGCTTGTTCCGATGCACGGCATCACCGGCAGCAGCCACGACTGAAAAGAGCTGCTAAGCGATTTTGGGCACGTTACCAAGTGGGGTGCCCCTGGCATCCAAACTCAAGCCTCAACACCAACACCCTTGGAATGAAACGCACGTCTCATCTCGGCAATGATATACCTCAATGTTCGATCTGGCGACTGATCTTACTGCGCTTATCATACGCTGACTCGCCCACTCGGCGACAGCGAGCCCTGTAACCTGTCCGTTGTGTCGAAAAACGGAACCCTCACGCCGTCGCTCGCGCATCACCGGCGGCACCCTTCGCTACTTCAAGGTACCAAATTAGTGCTGCCATCTGCGCCACAAGCGATCATTTGCGCGCATGGCCTGCTCAGACCGTCAACGGACGCCAGCACAGCTATTGCAGTGACCGGGCATCCCACACATCATCTGAAGACACAAAAGCGGGCAGCGGTGGCGCAAGCTCAGGGACTAGATAGTTGGGCAGCCTTGGTAGCCGATTGTTGGTTGCGAGGGCGTCTCGGGGCTACGATTGATCTTGCGGTCTGTGGTCCGGATTTTGTATTAGTCGCTGATGTAGTAGACCTTCGAACTGTCGGATTTGCTTTCATGAGTTTCAAAACTGCTACTGCTATCACGTTTCAGTGCAGAGATGATCCTTCCAGAGCATATCAACAATCTCAACCTGCTGGATTGATATGCGAGCACAGGTTAGCTTTGTCCGTTTCCCATTTTTGGAAAATCGAATGCATCGAAGTATTCAGGGCCTCCTTGCCAATCAGTGCAAGAGTACTATTCTTCTCTCTGCTTCATCTTGCGACCAGTAACATTCTCGGGCTAAAGCTTGCGAAGAAATGGCGATATCATGAAAGTTTTCAGTGAAGACAAGGGTAGTCACGTCTGTCTGCAGCGGACTTAGAAGGTATGTGCAATAAGAGCATACTTGACACAACTACATGATTATTGAGGCGGCCCTTCAGAACCGGGAGCCACTTAGGTCAATGCTTTGTTCAAAGATTCAGGGACACTGCAATTGACAGCTCAAAGAGGTTGAAAGAGAAACAGAAGGGGTCACAAAACGACTAGCGAGTATGTACTGCTATGGTCGGCTTGATGTCTTTCCCGTATCTCATGGATTCCGAGGACATTGGCATCGCGGTACATACGAGTCCTTCACACGTTATCCTAATGTCCTGGCCCAGGCCGTACGTGGCCCTAGAGCTTGAAAGGCTTCGGCAGGCGAGTGCGACGTGGGTTCTGCGGCTATATTTTATACTGAAAGTCATAATCAGTCGCAACTGGCTGTTTTCTTTTGAGGTCGGGCAGTAAAGATCGGAGCGACATTGCTCGTTCCTGCGTTTCGCGCGATCTGAAAGGTTACATAATTTACAAAGAAAACATGTGTTAGTTTTGCAAAGCCTCTAGTAGTCGGACCTGGAATCCAGGGGTGATGGCAACGGTTTAGTTCTTTGGCGACGAGACAACAAAACAGCTGACCTCACAATGCAACCTGCCATTACGAATTGTAGAAATTGTGCCGCGGATTTCTTGAAAGCCGCCCGGGCCGATACCACACGAGGCTTCCGCAGCACTGGCACAAAATGAGGCAAGGGATGCTCCAAACTCCAGACGAGGAAACACATGGTAGCAGATGATTGGCGATGATGTGGACTGAGAGCAGCTACTACCAAAGGAAGAAGGGAATTACGTACACGGTGGAGTTGCATTACCTCTAGTCTAACATGAGTCAAAGTACGGGCTAGACGAGCAGTTTCACATCACCCGCCCTCAAAGACGCAGCTTCTGTGGAGTCGAGGCCAGTAACTGCGCTTCAGATTCAATCGTGAAGACTTACCGTTACTGCTTTTCTATTCGAATTGATAAGGAAGTAGTCAGTTTTCGAATTGGTTGACCGGACTCTGCTACATGATGTGTTTTACACGTGTTCGATGTCGTGGCGGGACAAATGGTCCGCTCGAAGTCGGTACAACATTATCGATCTCGACTTCCCTCCCACATAATTGATCCTCCATTAAGAGCCATCTGTTTCCATGACTTGTGTCGTGGTGTGGCTTGGAGCTGTGCTGACTCAGCAACTCCGTCTCTGATTGCAGTTCGCCGAGCTCGCGGTTGCCGGGCGTCCCGTCTGGGGATTAGCCAGGCTGGAAGGCCTCGACGCTTACAAGGGGGGAGCACGAACAGAACGGAATACGAGGTGCCCCACAGAGGTTTCTCGAGGTTTCTGAATAGTTGATACCTACATCTGAGGGACTCTATTGGTTGTTTCCTGATTGACACCCAAGTTCGTATTCCAGTCCGCTCATGTTCCCCCCTTGTACTTCCGCGCCTTGGCATTTCATCGATGTTTCCGAGGATCCTGCCCTCCATCATCGCTCTGCCCACTTTTCGAGATTCCACATCACATCTTAGCTTTGGTGGGCGTGCGGCATGTGGGGACCTCTTGAACGACGAGGACAGTTTATCCAAAGAAGACCAGACCGGAGCATTCCCCTTTACTTTATTACCATTTTATCTCATAGCGCAGTCTCATATCGCTGTCTCACTCTCTGTCTGGGACGCAAGAACAGTAAAGTCGCGCGGACACCTTGATTGCTCGGCGACTGGGGACTTGCTCACCGAAAGACTCTCCCCGAGGCCTAACTGGCGATCATGCTGCATGACGTCCACGGCGCATTGCAGTCGGCCCGTCTCTTGTGTTTCCACGTTCGATGGCTCAACTCGAATTGCCGAAAGAGGCATCTTCGCTTGCGCTGATATGCAGCCGGGGCAGCACTGAACAATACCATGGCCAGTAATCTGCTCGAGCGCTGGAATGTTGATCTTGTTTCAGACCACCATACGTTACGAGCACCGCAGTCGTTGACGCCATTTGTCAACCCCGGTAAGGAGTGAGTAAGCAGCTTACAATAACAATGTTCTCGTAGTAATCTCGAGTCTCTACACATCAGCTTTGAACAGTTGTAGGTGTGCTTCTGCGACGGAGCGCAGTGCCATCCTGTGGAGGTGCTCCGCTATTTATCGAACACGAGCGCAATGTGAAAAGATGCATTTGACGTTGAGCAGCCATCTATCTCCTTATTGCGGAGCGGCGACCAGAATCACTGCTTGAAACAAGGTCGTCCCCCATGCGGGCATCGGATCCTGATAGTCATTTCTAGGTTCGACAAGGTTCGCGTACAAGCGCCGAAACGAATGTTATTGGCCTCGAGAAGGAAAGCGTCGAGCAGCCGTTGCATACGTCACAGATTGCTACCAAGATGTACGCCAACACAGTATGAGAACTTTTCGAGACTGCGCTGATTGCTTTAGGTTATTGGGGACGCTCTGGTCGGGATCACATGCGTGCGAAACCTTCTCCCGCTTGTTGTGCTCTTCTTCTTGACACCCTGGAATGCGGCAATGGGAGTGCAAGCTGTATTCATCATCACGGCCACTTTCTGCTTTGTAATTTTGTTGTTGCCTGTTGCTCTGCTGCTGTGGGGAAAAAAGGTTCGAAGGCTTACAGCCATGAGATATAGGCAGCTCGCTGCGCACTGAGCTATTGTAGAGCGGATAGTGCGGGGCACCGAAGTAATATAATGATTTCCGAGACGTGCGATACCAGCCTCGCAGAACTACGCAATAACACAGGCACTTCTGTCGCCTTGATAGGGTCGCCCGGTATCTCTCTTACATCAAGACAGCTTTAGGGCCCCTAAGCATTGCTACCATGGCCTCCCTCTCCTCACAAAAATCTGTCATGCAGTGTCGTCGGCCACAAATACCTCCAATTCCAGCGACAAGAGAGATAGATGTCATGATGTTTGATGGGGATCTGGTAGCTTGAGTCAAGGGATCCTGCACTGCATCATATTGCGAGTCCCTCTTCGCATGAATCTGCAGATGCTTACCTCTATCCCAAGTCCTTGATCTTCCAGTGAGACAGTGCAGTGTCTAAGCAATTCTTTTCGTTCCCTGGACTGTGCGTTGTCCTATTCTAGTCTTGAAGCAATATTTGGCGAAGCGTTGTCATTGGCCAGAAAGGATTTCCACTACACGAGCGCAGCACGTGAGCTTCCAAGAATGCCACTTCGTTATGCTACCCTTGGGCATCCAGTTCTTGAAACAAAGGCATAACAAGATTGCTTAGTGACAGAACAAGATTGCTTCCTGGCGAAGATTGCGTCGCCAGAAGCACCTCCAGATGTTGGCGCTTGATTTGTGACTGGAAGATAACCTGTGGCTACAATGAGGCGTCAAAATTCGCTTCTCATAGCCCTTCATTGGTTGTGTAGTCACATTCAAAACTCCGTGTGGGATAAGACTGTACAAGAAAACTCGGTTTGCGATTGTGGTATGATGCGCGGTTACGCAGCATGGACGATCTCCTAACCCGAACTCTCTTGCAGATTCTTTTTTCTTACCAAACCCGAATTGCTATGCTAATATATCGAAAATCTTCGCGTTGAAAATCACGTTTTGCGTATGTGCACGAAAAAGCTGAAGTTTCTCTAACCTGGAAGTGCAGAAGCGTTTCCACGACAGACTGCGTTGCGGACTCTGGTTTCAAGTATCTGAGCCTGTGTCGATGTTGCTGCGATGGGGTTGCCACAGTTCCACTGTTCAGGAACAAGCCCGTGTTATTGAATGAGTCAAATGGCAATGACTTTTGCGTTCAACTTCGATCAGCCTGCTGCTGCTCTGGAAGCACAAACGGCCACATGACACGAATGTGTTCTGCAGCAAATAGTTTCCGGTGGCTAGGTGTCACAGTTAAGATCCAATTCTCTCAAAGTGTCTCCAGGCCCACCAAACCTCGCCGTCGAGATCGTTCAGATTCGATTGTTGCAGCTTCATCAAGCACATGGGCGCCGTGAAGGTTGTGCGTTACTTGACACACGCAGTAGCAGCAGCCAGCGTACTCTATCCGGAGCCAGTCCATGTACGTGGCGGCGGATTTCGGGTCGAGAGGAAATGTCCGGCGTGGCAGACTGGGAAGCGTGTACTAGCGATGGAGGAAGTTCGCCGTTGTCGTTGAGCGGATGCGATTTGCCGTCGCCGGCGCAGCTGGTGTGTTGCGATGCGCAGTTCCAGCATGAGCGATGGTGGACCTGCCTTCGAACATGACGCCAGCCACGATCCACCTGCCGAACGGTTTTTCCGCGCCGGGTGGTTGATGTGGCTAGTGTGACTGTTACGGCTGCTGTGGCTGGCGCACAACTATGCCACTGATTGGGTCTTCCTATTCAAGTCTAGCGCAGCACACATTGGCACGAGTCAGATACATCTTATCTCTTATCTTAGTCCAGCCATTTCATCTGGTCATCAAATGTCTCTCAAACTCCGCGACTCCACATCAAGCGCCATCACCAACCGCGAAACCACTCATCAGAAGCAGATTTGGACTTCATTCGAAAGACTTGTCTGGGTGCAATAGGACCTAGCGGGGTCGCCCCTACCAAACCTATTCGCCATCTTACGCTGGTTATCAGTGCATGGCATCAGCGGCCTTTGATTAGCTAATTGTTGCTGAGTAACCTAGCACTATATGCAAGTCAGCAGCAACGCGCATGCACGCTCTTCTAATCATACCTCCAATCCACGCCTACGCTAAGCCTGACATGCCCTATGCGGCTAGATGGCTCAATCTCGGTGCTGGCGATTACCGAGAAGTGCACACGCCAAATGATGGTCCCGCCCCCAAAAACGTGGCCATCATCCCTCGTGGACGCCTTCACCCCACAACACCATGCGGAACACCAGAATTGGCTGGAAAATACCTTCAAAAACGGGCCGGAGCTTCAATGCAGCCTCGTGGTCATGACGTGCAGCAGACCGCAAATAGACGTGAAGTAGACTATTGATCCTCCCAGATCGTGAGCCACGAATCTCTTTTAGAACTCTAGGCGTCCCATACCTCAAGTCCGCCCATGATCACGGAAATTATATCTTAGGCGGTCCAAGTCCTCGCAGATGCTCACGACTTAGATCATATTTGTGACAAGATCGAGGAAAGGATACATATCTGACCCCAAAACGTCTCAGAGTGCCTGCAAACAAGCTGGCAATGCCGCAAAATGCAAGCTTTGTCAGTCAGGGCGACTGCAAGTCGGATTTATTGTTGTGCGTCTAGTATGGTTGATACACAGTCCAACACTAACGTGGTTCCAGTATCTTCGTCGCGTTCGGTGCTGTCGCATTATGGTCAACAGTGCCACTCACCATCCGAGTCTTGACTACACTGAACACCCGGTCAGGCATGTTCTTCTGGTCTCTCATGGCAACTACCTGGGGTCTATGCCTGCGTCAGATCGGGTTCATTGCCAAGTCTGTACCCGGCAAGTGTCCGTGGCCGCTTGCGCAAGCAATGCTGCAAATCGGATGGATCGCGATGGTTTCGGGATTCTCAATGGTCCTGTACAGTCGCCTCAGTATCATCTGCCACAACAGGAACGTGCGGCGCGCAATTCTTTTCATGATCATCTTCAACGGCATAGTCTGGCACAGTTCCATGACCATTATCTCGTTTGGCAAAGTTTGGACTCGGAATGGCAAACGGCATGATCGTAAGATGAACTGGTCGTGCTATCGCATAGCAATGCATAAGCTGACGCAAGCTAGTGCTCAGGATATGGGAGCGGGTCCATAATCCTTTCGAGCGATGTCAGATCATCTTCTTCACCCTTCAAGAGACAATGATCGCATGCTTCTACATCCACACCGCGTACAAGTACCTCAAGAATGGATTCGCTCGTAAGCGACAAAAGCGCACGGCCATCACCTTGCTACTTGTGGTACAGCTCATCATTGTTGCAATCGACGTAGCCATGATCACAATCGATTTCCTCGATTTGATCACGCTCAAAGTCTCGGTCCACTCATTCTCATATGCGATCAAATTGGAGCTGGAGTTTGTGGTCCTTACTCAGCTGGTTGAGCTATCTAAGCTTGGACTAGCAAATAGTCCTACCGGGCAGCGCCAGTCCCGAGATATGGAGCAGGGATTCGACAGACCTGGCTCACATGTTTCCCAGGCACAAACAATTCGAATTTCTCACTCTCGCTGTTCGAAAAGTGGCTCATGGGCATCTTTGACGGCCTCGGAGCAGTCCAGCCTCAAAGTCATTGCCGTGTCAAAGCAGTTTGGTGTCAGTAATAGCAGTGTGCCATAAGAGAGACGAGGTCGCTAGATTGATTCCTATTGCCAGATCCTTCACTTCAATGAGATTGTGGACGACAGATTTCCACACGTGACTGATTGAGTAGTACAGCTGTTGTCGAATCGAGCTTTTAGCCAATCACATAACAATATCGGTATTGCATGCTTCGTTGCTCTCATCAAAGTTCATGTAGACGTGATATAGATACCCGAGATCCTCAACTATCGTGCACAGTGACCCAACGCCCGTTTATCACTAGTTTTAGTTGCATCAAACTAAGGTTATAGAGCTTTACCACGCAAATAGAGAGACTAAATCATTCAGTACAATAACATACAAAACAAACACCAAGACTGCTGTAAAGTTTTAGTCGGTAAACCATGTTATGAATACAACTGTTGAAGATGAGCAAGAAAGTGGAAAAACTAAATCTTACTTTTGACTACGCTATGCAAATCTGGCCTGATTTCTTACTATGTCATCATGTATTCTCTTTTTTGAGTGTAGTATATCTACTAAGCCCTAACTAGGTACTTACCCCGTCACCCCACACCTCTATGCTAACAGACAAGTGGGGCCCCGTCAATGTAGACTTGATCCTTTGCCCCGCCAGCGCCTATCCAGTCGCCAAATGAGCTTACAGGTGAGCTGACCCAGTTTTTGGCACACCAGTTGTCCTTCAAGGTTATCATTGTCCTAAGCACTTCGAGTACCGTCAACGCTATAACCTCTGTAGAGTTCACCACACAATATGGCTAATCGCTTTCAGATCGCTTCGCGAATGTTCGCCACCCAGAACAATTCTCCGCCTCCATTGTTGTTCGCAAGTAGACAATCATGATAGTGTTTCCACAAGACTAGCGAATGCTGGATGCCTTCATCAAACTCATTTGTCTAAGCAGCAGGATAAGGCTTGCCCTCTCATCGTTGTTATGCGATGTCAATCAGCATCCCACGCAATCTATCTCTTCCGTCACATTTCATGCTCACGGGACGGTCCAGTTCAGTGTAAGCCTGAAAAGTTACAATTCGTAGCGGCAGATGATACTTTATTACGCCATCATCTGATCTCGTTGGAAACACTGCAGATTCTCATCCCTGGAAGGATGCAAAAGAATTGCGGAACCCTGTCAGTAGCATTACGCAGAGATGGAAGACTGAGACAACTTCACGGAGCGAGCAAAAGATGTTTGGCAACTCGAGTCTATAGCACGCTCCGACAGAGTGTCGTTACGAATCTAGCGTGTTCGGCAGAATCCCCCAGCTAGTCACGCGGGGACTCCTTGGTCTTCTAGCCTTCTTGTTTCTCTAGCCTTCTTGTTTCATTCCTTTGTCTAGTCCTGACCCCGAATCTTCCCTAATAAATCAAGATTTGGGATTTTGGTTACTGTTTAAAGCTTGGAAGACTGCTTGTCTCATATCAGTCCACCTCTGCAAGTCGGCCTTCGAGCTAGCCACACTGTGCGCTTGATCCAGACGTCCAGATAGCTTGATACTTTCTTTCATCATCGTCTGCGAATAAATGGCTCGCCTAAGATGTTCCAGATCCGAAACCGACTCAGGAAAACAAGTCAAGTCCCACAAAAGATAAGGCGGGGTGCACGGATTCAGCCAAAGCTGATGTCGGATCCATTCGAGCGTCACTTTTTGGTTGTGATCCTTTGGGCTTGTTTTCAGGTTTGGATTGACGCGTTCCCATAGTTTTTCTATCCGGGAAGTTGTGTCTGGGTCCACTTTAGGGTATGAAATGAGTATCGTCTTGAGATTGGGCAGAGAAGAGCAGATCTGTCGCAGAGAGGCTTTGTCTGCCATTTGCCAGGAATCGCGGAGTGAATCCTTGCGAGACTCTTCGGTAGGGAGGATCTGGATCTCGAGCTGCGTGATTCGACGTCCGATCCTAGAGTATGAAAGGCTTGTGTATCGATCTGCGTAGTCCTGTTCGGTGTCGGTTGCAAAGTGGTGCTGTGTTGCTGCGGAGGTTGTGACCCTGCTGGCCTTGATTAAGAGAACGCTTCGGTTGAAGCAGTGGTCGTCAACCTCCTCGTAGATCTGTTTGTTCGTACGCATTATGCTCAGATTTTCTGGTAATGAGCCGTCCCTCCTAGGAAATTTCCGAGAGGATGTCGGAATGTAAGGCACATATGGTACAAGGTAGTCGTATACTTGAAGGCGAAGTTCAGATGGTAGCTGGAGGAACGGAAAGGGTTTGACTTGGTGATGATTAGAACCTTGTTTGGGTGATACTTTCACGAACTTACGATTCTGTTCTGCATTTCGAAACAATTCGTCGAGTGATGTTTCACAAATAACGTCGAGTGCGGGTATTGCGGTGTTGATGGAGGAGAACGTAGGAGCAAACCTGTTAGCGATGGTCTTGGCTCCGATTGGAGGTCTTGGGAGGTATACGTTGGTGAAGTGACGCGAGCAGAGTATCTCTGTGTATGCTCTGACATATACATTGGGAATCTCTTCGGGCCGTAACAATTTCTTAGTGACAAGGTAAAGTTCCTCGGAGCTCTCAACACAAGTGGAAAGCGTGACCTTTTCTAACATCTCATCGAAGTTTAGAAGCTTGTGCTCATCAAAGGGAGTCCGGATCAGAGCATCGTTCAGTGTTTGTAACTTCGTCTTTAAGAGGCCAGCCTCGGCGGCCGTATATGAACCCATGGAGCCAGTTTTTCAGTAGATCGCCCGTGGCTAACTTCGTTATCGGAGTTGCTGGCGTCGTAGGAACCATGTATGGACGGACTCCGTTATCTTGTGTTGGACTGAGGCAATGGCCCAGTTGGATCAGCAAGCGACAAGTCCAAGATTCGGTTTGGGAAGAAGGATTATACTTGAAGAAGATGTCATATACCAAGCATCACTGTCCAACAGGCAGCAATATTACCGGCCCGAATACACAAAATTTGCCTCAACAAAACCTTGTTAGAGAGATGGGAACTTTAGGGCGGATATCATCTCGTATTCTATATACTAGCATTAAGCGAGTTCGTTTATAGGGTCTTAGAGCGGGCGGCGCGACTTGGCTAAGGCTTGAAGCAACACGATAATCGCAAATGGGTCTGGTCTTAGGTTGCAACGCTGCGACGTAATATTTAGCTGATTTATTTGCTCAAACAATTATGCAGCCGTTTTGCAATACCATTTCCAGGAGATCATGCAGAGCGCCCCTTTCATGAGGCGTTCTGCATGGTGTTCTGATTGGCTACACTTATTTGGTTTGAGAGAAGCAACAGTCCGGGAGACATCCTGTAGGGTAATAAAGAGGTTTCTGCTGAAACTCGCGAGCCCCAGCTCCCCTCGCTCTCGTCATAACCCAGCATGTCACGTCCGGAGCCATTGCCTTGATAAGCTTGGTTGCACGTCTCATTATACCGTATGCAGATGCCCACTCTGACAGGTTCGATGGGCGGTCCACACCGATATTTTCCTATTTCGCCTGTCCACCAAGCCTAACCGTCACTATCTGGACAGATTACTCAAGCTCATCTGCACTCTTCACCCCTAGACGTCTTGTTACAGACCTTTCGCATTTTAACAAATCAGCATCCACCTTCGACCTGCCACCGAATACTGATCTAAAACAGGCGATTGGAAATAAGCCATCGCTAGAACGCGCCAAGATCGATACGTGCATCCTTAGCTGGGAACAGATTCGTGCCTGGGTGGCACAAGAACGATGAGCCTGGAAAACCAACCTTTGCGGTGTACAGCGATCATTCGAGTCGTTTGAGTTTTGCGGTTTCGCCGCTTCAAGCCCTTCATTGTAGTACTTCATGAACCTGCGCAGGTCTTGGTTGTTCCCAAATCCTCGTAGGGTTCTTGAAGGATGTCGTAAGCATGCCGCACCGGTTCTCTGAGTGTTTCTCGCCACAACGCCGCGCTTCCTGGGAGCGGCCCATGTCAGCCAAGGCCATCCTTTCTTCTCTCATCTCACTTCTGGTAATTGAACTCGTCACACACAACAAAGACGATATAGTAACGACGACCGTTCCCCTCAAACACTTGGTCGAGATTGTAGCCTGAAAGCGATACGTGGTTCTCGTGCTCCCAGCCGCAGGGCCTGGCGCGCTGCGACATGGCGCCCGGTTTGGGAGCCATGTGCCGTGAGAAGTTGTCTTGTACGACGGGATATCGAATCTAGTCTGGTCGTGGCACGCCATCAACGAGCCAGTATAGTGATGACCATGTTTCCAAGGACTGTTTGGACGTTTCCTGAGCGCAGCTCACCTCGTTCACTAACAATACCCCAAGATGGTTGCCATTCTACACCCAGGCGCTCAAAGGATGAAAAGACTGGATGAAGCTGAGACCGCGCATGCCGGGACTTCCAGGGCGCATACTAAAGCATCGATGTTGCTTGGCCATGACTATCATGCCGACGGACGACGACAGGGTCAAGCGTGTTAAGCTGGGGACGAAGCACCTGCCAAGCGAAAGAATCGTCCAAGGCCGACGGGTCTCAGTCGCCGTATTGAGCCTTCCAGACTTCCGTAGAGCGTGGAAGATAGGCCATACCCTTACTACGGTAGATGAGCCAGCTTCATTTGCAGTTATCCTGGATCTATCATCGGCTTGCAATATAGCGCAACATTCGACAGGTGGAAAGGACTTTTGTAGTCAGAAAATAGTTTGACAGTTTCCTGCAGCGAGACGTGCAGGCTATCTCATCCGCCAAATCGTTTTGTAGAGGTTCGATCTCCTCGCTTGGACCTGGTCACCCAAAAACAGCCGGAACGGTGGTGAGTAGGCGGCGGAAGAAAGGGCTTTGATGCTTCTTTGTCTCTATTTGCACTGTCGCGTATACGGAATTCTGGATTCTTCTGCCACGGTCATTGGAAGTTCGGGTCTGTTCAGGTATATGGTCAAACTTGTGCAGTTCAGTCATGCAAATGCTGTCGCGGACAAATCTGGGTCGTGTGGTACGTCCACCTCAATACATTGCACGCCGCGGGAGATTGGGAGGGCAAATCTCCAGATTGACTTTTGTATCTCAACTGCAAGATTGTCTAAGACTGCTATGGCTAAGGGGAGCGTGTTGTCATTGCACCGAACGTCTGTTCTGCGTCAGAGTCGGGACAAGGCTCCACGGATCCGAAGAGTTTTCTCGATCCGGACTGGGACCGAACTGTAAATTTCTCAGCACGTCGGGGTCGGGGTTAAAGGGTACACCACGTTGCTTGGCTGTCTCGAGCGCGTTCGATGTCTGCGTCTACTCGTCGACTGCGATGTTCGTAAACGGTCTTGGCGCCCCACCTGAGATTCGAACGCACAAATCCGTCTCTATCACAACGCCGCCATCGCAATCTCGACACTTGCATACAGCCACACTGCAGCTATGTCCTTCCCTGGCTTAAAGGGCACGCAGGTGTGGAACACACGTGAAAGGGGCTTCAGAAGGAGAGCCGCGAAGCCTCGCTCGGTGATGCGCATAAGCAACACGGCGAGCACTGCACCTGCAGCATACATTCGGCTACTGCAATAATGTGATCGAAGCCATGAGAGGGCATCTAAGACGGCGATCTGAAGGTGCTAGCAAAGGACCAAAGACTGCGAGTACCATGACGCACGTGAGCGCAAGGACAGCACTCGCCATACATCTGCCGCCTGCACCCAGCCTTTTCAGACAATGGCCAGTTCCCGAAAATCTCTGGCTTTGTCAAGCTCCTCCTGCGCATTGCAAAGCTTACAGTCACCCACAAGGCGATACTTCCCGTTATTGTGCTCGCCATCGCTGATGGGCCGTAGTACAAAAGGTGTCTCCGCAAAGGCGATGAACCGTACCTCGTCACCAGGAGCCGCCAGTGGTGGAGCAAGTATAATATGACCGTTCTGAGTGAAAGCTACTTTCCTTCCCATGGTGTGTCTCGCAAGCTCGTGACCAAATTCTGCGTTGACGGTATACATGCTTTTCATAGCCATTTCCAACTGTGGAGGGGAGATGGCGCTGATATTGTCTGGAAAAAGATCCTGGGCAGCAGACCCACTGGCCGATTTGTTGAGTCGATTGGATGCATCGACAACCTTCATCATTTGCTGTGTGAGCTGACTCGCATCCGCATCTTTAGGTTCGCCCTCTCCGCCCGGCATACGAAATTTCATTGCATAGCTCCCAAACTCATCCTGTTTTATCAAGAGAGCCAGACAGTCATTGTAAAATTCAATCTCATCACGATCTCGCTGTCGATCTTCGAGTAAGACTCTCCATAGTGCATCGTCTCGGCGTATTCCCGTCGGATATGACATGGGAACATACGTGCTAAAGTGCTCTTGGAAATCCGTCCCGGCCCTCGCCATTTCCGACAGTGTATCAGCAGACAGGGATGCAAGAGTAGGTCCAGACTCGGAATCGGAGCCAATCAACAGAGGATAGTCGGTGACCTTGACGATACGATCAACCTTTGCTGAATACACTGACAGTATACAGGAATCCTCCTGGTGACTGGGTCGCAGCCCCGCAACATGAACAGAATGATGTAGCTTTGGCAGATTGGTCTTCTTGATGTCGAGTCCCCAGTTGGGTGTCCAAGATGGCAGCTCCTCATCCAAGATACTCGAGTGCCGGGAATTCAACGAACGCGGCCCCCATCCGATGCCCGCAAAATTGAGGCACCATAGGCTTTCAGTCATCAGCTCGCGGACTGAATTGATGTATAGGTCGACTGGTCGAATGCGATAGTTTGGCTGCAGCGACGGGGGAATGCTCTCGGAACAGAGACCCTGGAACGCAAAGACATTGTCTCTGGGGTCTGTCGCTCGGTACTTGGGGCCACAAGATAGGACGGTGCGGATGTCTAGGCCCCTGCTTTGTTGGAACGAGTCCCTCATCCTTGAGACCTGGAGAAGCATCAGAATCTGCTGGAAAGGGATGTCTACCCCCCTGAGGAAAGTCCCGAAGACATCCAAATTTCCATCGTTTCCTCGGTCCTCGAAAGCTTCCACAAATGGGACAAGCTCATCCCAGCGAAACTCGTTGTCGCCGAAAATCACGACCAGTTCTTTCGCTAGGACAATCTCTTGGACCACCCACGCCCTTCTCCAATACTGGCGCTCGAACAACTTCGCGATAGCCTGCCATCCAGGCGACCCGCGAGCATTGAAATTGTGTTTGCTGAATCTTGCCCACAGGCGATCCAGTCCCCATTGCGGTTGCTGGAGAGATTTGTTGGTCTTCTGCAGATGGTGTGATGCCAAGTCGCAGACATCATAATCAACTGGGCTGGCAGTGTTGAGGAAAGCTGTGACCCGGGTGGCACCAGAGTAAATATCTCCCATCAGTCTCACCTGTGAGGCTCTCTCATCCCTGTCGTTCTGATTGATGCCTAGAAACAGTCTCGTCAGCCAGACGCACAGGTCCGAGACGAGGCCACGAGTGTGAATGACAGACGCGCAGCTCTCAGCGTATACACGAGAAATGAGTCCACTCACAGATGAAGTCGCACCAGAGGTAGATATATCCAGACTGAGGCGCTAGTCCACAGACAACCTGGTAAGCACTTTCGGTGACAGCAAGCTGCTTGTCCCCAATGCGAAGGTTGAATGGCCTGACCTCCGAATTTGGACCCCATTCGTAAGATACGGCGGTGTATTCTGGACACCTGGCATCGTCCTTATCAAACGTCGAAAGACTGCACTCCATAGCTATCATAGCGAATGGGCGTCCGATTTTGAGAAGGCGAAACTGGCGGCCCTCAAGCCCGTCGTATTGGTATCCGTCGAGCCCCTGCACCATCCCTTCGGGCGACTGCTGATTTCGGAATGAATGTCCGAACCTTCTTTCATGTCTCTTGAAGTTCTTGATCAAGAACCCATCATGCGCATGGGAAATCCACACCAAAATTGAGACGAAGGGGCTGTGAGAAAATGCGTTCAAAACTCGGCGAAAGAACCAGGCGAACCGCTTAGCTAAACTAATCCATATGCCGGGCCATGTGATGGAGAGAATCCACACGCAGGCACTCAGAGATATTGTGATATCGAGTCGCGCAAGTACGGCCTTGATGAGCAGCAGCGAGAGTGAGAACAAGCTCATGGAAGTGGTATACCTGTAGACCGCCCATGTCGTAACGCTCCATATCAAGGTCCCCGATCCATCCCACAGCCATTCGAATACAGCTTTGTTCCAGGGAAAGTATCCTCGGGCTGCTAGTACGGAGATCTTGATCATGCGAAGGTTTCCGGGCATGAGTAGAAGAACGAAGAAAGAATGTATCGTCATGATAGCTGCGCGCCACCTTGGGACTAGGAAGCCTGCGAGATGGTATAGGCTGCCTGTATGCCACGAAAAAGCGTTCTGCAATGCTACTGCAGCAAAGACCACGCACCGTCCAACAAACGCTGAGAAGAACTGAAGCGCCTCATATTCGTGGTCAGAGAGGTATAGCAGAGACAGATTTTAGAAAGACATGGCCGGTGTAGCTATCGTATGTTGTGAGAAAAAGTGACACCGGCGTGTTGGGGTAATTTTCAACGCATGTTATGGACTCGACCGGTCAAGGTTGCCTTGTAGGACAGCTGCGCCACGGCGCATAGGCGCGGGGTCGGCATAGTGATTGGTCCATGACAATCAAAAAAGCAAAGCGCGAAGGTACTCTCATGTCCGGAGGCATACCATGATACGAGATACGAAGGCGTCTCAGTCGATGTCTACCTGGTGAAATTGACGGAGCTCGTGGCTGAGTTCGTGTTGCGGATAACCCCGCCCCACGTGCCATGATCACGTGACTCACCAGACCTGTTGAACATGGCGCGCCGTCGTAACTGAGGACCTCCAATCAGTAGCTATTTATATGCAGCGATGTACCAAAATCATGACGCTTCTGCTCGTGATGCAAGAATCGATGTATGGCGCTGCATTAGATCACGGCTTCCGCTATGCCCAGAGCAGTTAGCAACGGTGCTACATACTCTTCTACAAGGCTGTTATAGGTATTTCCGACTCTCACTATGATCAATGTCATCTGAAAAGCGGCTTTACTGATTGCTTGATACGATTTTAGGCTTGTAGAGATGCACATGCCTGTACGAAGCGTTGCATTTTGGATAGCGAATCAGGGTCCGAGATCAGCGACATGTAGATTGTGCTCTATATAAATCCATCGTCAGGTTCACCCACATACGATATACTGCGCTCCCTCCAGAAGCAGAAATACACCAACCTACCCAGCTACCAGCCTCAGCGTCCCGCTCTTCCCCTCCAGACTCACACTAGTCGACTTCGCAACCGCCTTCATGTCTGCTTTCCCAACTGGTCTCTCATTCGTATCAATATCCACTTCACAGAAAATCGCCGCAAGAAACGAGCTCTTCCAAAGACGATCGCTCTCCACCCCGCGATTCTCGAACGCCACCAAAGCGAGAAACAATCCAGTTAGGCTGATCAGAATAGCGGGGAAGGTGATCCAGGGCCACCGGATAGACACACATGTTGTGTTGGTCCAGACAAGGCCCTGTGCGTAGTCAGGAGTATACGTCAGAGTGCCGTCGCCTCCGGCTGTGCGGACCACGGTGGTCATTGCGGTTGCCAGGTTTTTGATTTGCGCATCGATGGTATTGTGTGTTATATTGCCCCCTTGGAACAGAACACGCAGGTGTGCGGCTCCCATCACGCCGCCCTTGCGACTATTGGTGGCCTCCTGGAGGTTAAACACTTCTCCCAAGGTCTCGGCTATGCTGGCGGCTGAGAATCTGTGTAGTGACCAGATACAGTTTCGCGGGTAGTACCACCACTTCCATCCAGCGCTTGGATTGGTATGACCGGTAGAGTTGACATAGGTCGGCTCGTCGCTGCTTTTTGGGAAGTAGACCAGCCCGGATCTGTTTTTGTCAGATCCCTCACATTGCTCCTGCATGCCGTTCCTTGTTGTGAGATTCGTGGCCATCTTGTATGTCCACATGAACTGCATGTTCGACAGATCTATGTCCACCACAGGGGGTGTTACGAATTGTTCGCTAATCGATCGAAGGGGGATGCTTTCGGTAAGATTCTCATCAAGCCTGGCGTCTTTGATGCTAGCTGCATACGTGTTGACGGTTGGATATAGCGAGCAATTGGTCACTTTCCAATCCGTGACGCTGCTGTTTGATCTGAAGAGGAAGTATATCGTGGTCAGATCCGAAGAAGCTGGAGACGATGACGAATCCACCCATGACTTGACTACAATCCCACCCATATCTTCGAGCCATTCAAAGGCTTCGTTGTCGCCATAGTCGATTCCTAAGTACTTGCTATCAGGTGCCGTGGAGGAATTGCGGGTCTCGTTGACGACATGGATTCGTGGGGTAAGATCTTCACATGTATGGCTGATCGCCACGGTAGAGAAAGATGCATTGTTGGCATCAGAGAATGTACAGTTTCCGGTGCTACACCCAGAAGAAAGTGCATTTGTTTGGTCGCCGGTAGGTTGAAGAACGCCAACATTGATCGCAGCCAGCATCTGGGGATACTCGGTGGCAACATTGTTCTGCGCTAGGCCCCCAGTCTGGGAGTAGGAATTGGTTCTTGCTATGTCAGCGAAAGCATCAGCATCCCTCTCTAGGCACCCGTGAAATTGCACAAGCTGTTGAGAGAAGAAGCCGGTGAGTGAGGCTAGAATCATGGTCATTGCGCCCAGTGTAGCGATGTAACTTTGATACGTCAGCTGACGATAGTTTGAAGAAACGTAGATTGGACTAGACTTACTATGCTTGCTTTGGTCTGAAGTGATACAACAAAGTGAACGCGCCCCAAGAACCACGGCTGGCTGAGTCCAGTCGCTCGATATGATCCAACTTTTTCGCTTTCTGATACCAATTCCACTTACACTGGCTGATACCTTTGGACTGTGTCAGAACTGTGCTAACAACTCATGGATATGACATACCTTCAGCCAACACTACGCCCACGCAAGCTCTCATCACCAGGGAAAACAGCGATATAATCGAGTTGATGGTGACGAGCTGTGGCCATTGCGGAAGTGGCTTGTTTTGATGCACCAAGAGTGTAGCTGTGAGTCCTCCAAGGGCTATGATTGAGACAATGTAACTGCATGTCTCTGCTGTCCAGCTCTTTCCCCATAGACCGGTCGCACTCTGATGGTGGCGCTTCGAGTCAGGCCCTAAGCTGCCAGGCGGGCCGGCGAAGTGTGGGCGGTCTGTCCCCATATCGTAGGTCAGGTCTTGTGTTGCAATCGTTGGCGCTTTGATCCCAGGTCGCAAGTGAGCGGAGTCGTGATCTTCAGTTGTTCTGTCGCCGCCAGAATTGGGAAGGGCTGATACTAAACGCTGAGACTGCTCCATCGCAGGAGTTGTAGAGAGTACTTTTGTAGCGCAGTCAAGGATACATTCTGTATATCATCAAGTTCGTTGGTTCAGCGAGCTGTAAGCTCATGTCAGCCGTAAGGTCACTTTTCACTCAACGTGGGGCTCATAGCAGGGCTGAGATGTCTCAGCAGGATCTTATTGGGCGCCAAGTGGGGATAATCTTAATGCTGACATGCACGGCCGGCCCAAAGAGAGTAAAGTGGAGCTTGGTGTAGTAGTGTACACTGACGAGCCATCTTGCTGTTGGTACCTAGCTAGCGCCCGAGGCGAAATTGTACTGTACTTCCTATACACATGCAACTCGACATTTGCTGTAGAACGCACGGAATTGCGCGAGTGCCAAAGAGCATTGCATCTACGCGTAAGTATGTGGGCAGCAGTCCTTTCGCATGCAGACCATGTCGAGAAATGCTGTGGCGCGGACGATGCTGTGCCGAAGACAAGGCGGTGTCGGGAGGCTGAGCGGTGGGCGACGCGGGCGCTAGCAGGCACTCGCGTGCAGGAGTTGCAGCCGCAGCCGCAGCCGAGGCCCAAAGCATGGGGCTCAGCGCTCACAATGGCAGGGTAAGTATTCAATTGGAATCTCGAAACCGCTTGTGTTCTTTTGCGGTATGAACAGACATGCAGCGGCAGGTAAAAATACCTACAAGAGTCAATAATTCCATGAATACCTGTGCGCAGCTGTCCCGTTACCGCTGCTGCGACGCCCGTCGCTCTTGCCTGCTTGGGCTGGCCGCTGATGCACTGCCAACCTTAGCGCCGTACATAAATGGCAAATGCACCTTTCTCTCAGCACGATTTGCTCACTATGTCAATGCATAGTCGACGGCCTGAGCACGCCCATGGTGTACCAATAGGTACAATGTATTCGTTCAAACTACACGAGTCAATGCTAGCAAGCCTGTGAGATGTCTTATCAAGTGAGATCCTCGAAGCAGTCCCCTCGGGTGTTGGCGAGCGGGTCCCTGCCAAGCCCGACGCACGCCAGATCAGCGGCTCGGAATTTCCGCGCAGCCGCAGGCGCCCACCCTTCAACTCGCACCCATCCATTTCACGCCCGACTCTCGTCGCATCGTCGCATCGTCGCATCGTCGCATCGTCGCACTGTCGCATTTTCGCACTGTCGCATCTTCGCATCGCCCCATTGTCAAGCTGCCTACCTCGCTCCGTCAGCATTGTCGCGCCACTCCATCGACGCCCAACAACGTTCTCGATTTGTCTCGACCACCACGCCATCGGCCCCCTTCGGCCTCTGGAGAGACAAAGCTCCCATCGAGTGCTCAAGCGCCGCCCATTCATGCCGTCGCCGTTGTCGTCCGGCCTTGCGAGGACACAACGTGGAAGTCGTGGTGGTGCGAGCGCAGGAGAGCGAGTTGGAGAGATGGAGGATGCAAATGCAGAAGCTAATGTGCATTGCTGGAGAGATGCAGACCATCTGTAATGTGCGTAGTCGCCGGACTAGTCGCTGGACGTATCGCAGGACAGAACACGCCTACGAAATGGGGTAGCTTACAGCAGCATGACAGAATCTATACTCGGCAGCTGCTGACGCCTTGAAGAACCCGGATCAGAACTCGTCTCTGATCCCTCCCTACCACGCGAGCGATTCAGATGCAAATGGACGAGGTGGTGACACCACCTTGCAGTTCCAAAACGTTGGATGGAAGCAATCATACCGACCTCAACACGAGATCCCACTTGCCGCACTTCCAACACAGCTCACAACTCGCCTGCAGCCAATTGTCGTACCTGTCCAGTCTCGACATAAAATTGGCGCAATCAACACTAGATTGACAGAAGCAGCGCATGTCTCTATTCGCAACATGAACAGACCTTCACGGAGCGAAGCCACCCATGCCGTTCTCATTCATCCACTCGAGGAAGTGCCAGTGGCCTGGCATCTTCCAGGCCGTACTGCCGACACTAATCTGCCACCTATAAAGCCACCTACGGCCACCAAGGTACGCGAGAACAAGGTGCTTATAGATGTGTCAGCTGCACGCAACCAACAACCCCCCTACCGGATGTCCCAAACTCTGTGCACTAGGAGTGTCGTTTTGTTCCGGCCTCTAGGATTCCTTCAGGCCGTTTAAATGCTCCTCAAAAGCCTTTTCGTTAAGCGGCCCCACGAAGACCCCTCGAAGTAGGCTATCCTGGTTGCTGGTTTCTCTCGGAATCTGATGTAACAGTAGCTCCCCAAGGCCACAGGAAGGTTTTGTTTGCCTCTCGACTGATAAACGTGTGTATGGGAGCGGAGACTTGTGTATGACCTCAAGTCGAGTTGGAGAATGGTATGCAAGTTCACAGAGCCATGTAACGGTTTTCAGAACTTCTCGATCATACACGATTCCGTCATTGTGGGTGATCGTCATCTCGATAGCTCGTACGTCCCGCGAGTCGTTGTTCCGTGGGCTAAAAGTGTACAGAGGCGAAGAAAGGTCCTGTCGGCTGTGCTGCTGATGCCTCCGTCTGCCACGCCGAGACAGCTTCTCAAGACGGGTGAAGCTCTAATAAGCGCGTAAGCTGCACTATAGTCAACAAGATATCGTATAGGCTAGAGGTTGCAGCGCTCTGTTCGGCATGTAGGGATCTGCGAGCTTCTTTGTTCATAAGGGGACAGGTTGCTAGGATCTTAGCTGCAAACCCAGTGTGCAGTCTACCGAGGGCCAGGCAAGAATCGCACACCATGTCTGCTTCCTTTCTTCACACCTTTTCGCTGCTTCGCCACTTCTCCACTCGTCTCGTTTCCACCTCCCAATCCCTAACAAGCCCTGCGCTTTTGATCTCGAATCCGATAACCTCGGCGCGATAGACTTGATACAAGCGCTGATAATCAGGGTCAGAGCTCGACACGTCTGCCGAATGGGCAGGTTGGTGCGCGATGATCTGTAACGAAGTAGGTCCTTGAGTTTTCGCGAAATGGATGCCACGATACGCCCATACATACAGCCATGACTAGATTTGTAGCTGTATCTGTTCCTTGTCGCATATAATATCTTGAAACTATCCATGGCCACTCTCACATTCCGCCATAAGCATCCGGTCTCATCAATGGGTCATCGTCCTGCTTCCAGGTCGAATACTTACACCTCCCGGCACTCACCCTCCGCGCAGCCCAGCTCATTGGCAACAGCTCCATGTTAACTGCTATCCATCATTGATACCACGACCGCGCCTCAATGCCCGCTATGCTTGACTTGTAAAGCTGGACCAGACCCGCATCACTCACCGTCAAGGCGCGACTAGTGTCCGAAACGGTTTAGCTACTTATGGCAAGACTAGCGCTGTTGCAGCAATCTTGCTTCACTCGCAGCCAGTTCGATCTTGTAAAAACTTTCACTGAACGCGCAATCGTGAAGCTCAATAGCATCCCGCGCCTCTCACTTCAACCTCTCAACAACCAACCAGATTCTCGCAATGTCTCGTCAAGTCCACCATCGCAGCCAGAATCTTGATCCAGCGACTCTAGCGGCCCCACCTCCCACTCCTCTTAGTACGCTCGGCATTGAATGCGCGGCTTCGTCGCTGACACTTTTCAGACAATCAATCGGTCTTTGTAGCCAACCACTTCGAGAAGCTCGCCATCGAGCTCACCAAGCGGCTGCTCGATGTCACCAGAGGCTCGCATGGGTGCGGTAACGGTGCCACAGATAGCGAAGGGCAGTGAGGGAGTCTCACGAGGCGCTTGGCGGGCGTGAGTCGAATCTCAACGCTGAACATCGCACAACGACGGTCAACATGAGCGAGAGCTGCAAAGGCGGAGATATGCTCGGGAGGAGATTGGGTGGCGCAGTTGGATTTCGCAACTGCTCTGCAACACAACGAATCTTCCAAGTCTCATGCTGATATTGGTCAGTTACAATGCATTGGAATGTATGAGAAACCTCACTGAGTAAAAGTGTACAGGTTGGACGCTGAAAATCACCGCCCGTCAAGTGATCCGCTTCCAGTGATGGTGATCGGGAGCGTACCAGCGTCTAGTCGCCAACGTTTCTTTGCAATCCGCTACACCTTACCTTCCGTAGTTCGAATGGACAATCAGCCCGATGCCTTACAACTTTCACTCGGTGAAATTCTGATGCACCCGACATCATGGAGACCAAGTGCCGCTACCTCTCGTGTGAATCCAGATCGCCAGAACACGCCCGTCGTGTTCAAGATCTGCGGCTCGCCGAGAAGCTCCAGAAAGCGCTCGAACTACTTACTCATCATCGACGCTAAGGCTCCACACGAATCTCCCCATGAAGCGTCTGGTGAGCTAATAGCAGTCAATACACCATCAGATGTCTCTTGTGCTCGACTTGCTCCCAGTAGACACGGAAGTAGGACCGCTAAAAGGTTAGGTAGATTTCAGCGAGGAGGATAGCACTGACAATCAAGCGACCCACGAAGACACTGGCCAAAGAATTAATCTCACAGGCAACGATACGGATTCCCGCATCGGAGCATACGTTGTGCAGTCATCCACCTAGAACAACACAGACACAAACAGACGTCGAAGAACAGGGATTGATGATATCAAGTCAAGTTCTGGTGACGTCTCTTAGTGGGAAATCTGGATTGGAGGACATCCATAGGTATGTGGGACTCTTGTGCACGAGTCATGGAAAACGTTATCAAGACAAGCTCCTCAGCATGCATGCAAGACCTTCTCGAGAGTTTCGGGGGTGACAAACGTCTCTCTACAACTGGGTGCATCTATTCTTCCTGAGACCTTACTCAGTGTCGTCAGTGACCGTAACGAAGATCTGTGAGGTGGTGGAATGGTACCGCGTGATCGCGAGAAACCGGTGTCTTCTGCTGCTAACTCCAAGTGCATGCCTGCATACTGAGTCGCTTGTATCTAGGCTTCGGCCTGCTTTACTGGATCGAGGTGCACTCGAAGTAGCCACCTCTTCTCCTCTACCATGCTGCTCCTGAACGGGCAACATAGCAACTGTCGGAAACCTGGAATTGAGATTGGTTTTGTCGAGAAATTTTTCACATACGACCATAGGACGTTGAAAACAAGGCTTCCCGTTCGCTCAGCCCTATTTAAGCAACGTACCGGCAGATTAGTACTCAGGTGGGTGACCACTGGGGAATACCTGCTGTTGTATGTTTTTGTTGATGCATACGGTTGACAATTACGTTTTTGTACCTAGAGGGTAAGTAAGCCTGTGGGTAGATGCGTGTGTGGGCGGCAGCCATAAGAACGCCCGTGATGCTAGTGTCCATTCCTACATACAGATCATCTTGTGCAATAAAAAGATACTCAGCTGGAGGGCCAGTGCAGGTGGTGCACACGGCATTTTCTAATATATGCGTCAGGTGTACCTCGTGGTTGTTGTGAACAATCTCAAGCGCCGTATCATAGCAACATCGAGCCACCAAGCTGCAAGTGGCCGCCCTTCTACCTCCGCTCACGCATCTCAGGACCTCTCATCGTATTGTCTAGCCGCGGCAGTCACATTATCATCCACCATCCGCTATCATTGCCTTGCATACCCATCGCAACCGTCAATTGCCCGCTAAAGCTACTGCAAACCATGCTGCCGCATGGCCTATCTATCGAAGATACCCGAGACGTGTCTTAGCCATATCTTGTGACTGAGCTGTGCGAAGTGTCTATGCGCAATGCGTGGTGAGTTCGCATCTGCCTAATTGTTATGGTCTGTGGTTGGGATCAGTTTTTCAATCGTGGGACACAGAGTCACGTGATCGAGTGAGACTGTGTGGTTGTCAATGAATGCCTGGGTCAAGTACGAGTCACTGGAATTCACGGTATTATTCGCAGAAAAGTAATCGTATCCATGATGTCCAAGAAGATAGTGAAGCTTGAGCTGGGGCTGAGCAGGCTCTCAAAGTCTGCAGACTACTTACTATCAATAGTCTTCGTTACGAGAGTCTGTAATCAACGTCATTCTGGTCAAGATTGTACGAGAAATGGGATTCCCGGTTCGGTTGGCTCATGATTGATGGAACGGGCACCGTACAACACCTCGGCAGACAGTAGCCAATCAGAACGAACACGATCATCGTACAACGATTGGCCCTAGCTCTCAACGCTTCGCATGCAACTTCGGTCACAAAGCTAGATCCGAACGTCTCGTCCTAGTCCCAATAACTGAATGTTCACAAGGCATTAAATGGTAGGCACCCTGTCTGCAGTGCTAACATCCGCGAGCTTCCGCAGATCTAGACACCGGACCATCTCCAGGTCCAATCAGATCCTGAAAGTTCTCCACGACCATTGCAGTCTGAATTTGCGGGGTATGGGGTCATCGTACAACGACTTCACTCTTATCTAAACTACGTATCAAGTCAAGAATGCTTAAAGCAAAAAGGGACGCCGATTGAATTCGGGACATCGCCATGGCTGCTTCATCACTGCCACTTTTGGCTCTCCTCAGTGCGCTACTTCTTTTAGTTCTGAACAAATTTCGACAGAGGTTCTATGACATAGGCAAATTACCCTTACCGCCAAAACCATCTGGTCTACCCCTCTTGGGCAACGCTATTGACGTGATCCGATCGACAAAAGCGAGTTCGCAACACCTATTGTTTGAGCGATATGCTCGCGAGCTGGGCGAAATTGTACAAGTTCAAGTTGGGCCCTTCACCCAGTACTTTGTCAACAGTGATGAGGCAGTAAAAGCTATCTTTGATAAAGCCTCTGCAAGCTCATCCGGACGCCCGCGCTGGATTGTCAGCAACGAGCAAATCTGCGACCAGAAAAACGTTCTTTTGCTTAGTGCAAGCCATCCTCGATGGAAACAGCAGCGGAAGACCATTCTGCAAGGCCTGACTAGTGTCCCACGTGCGGACGCTGGAATCAAATACTTGCATTATGAAACTGCCAAATTCCTGCACCAGGTCGCAAATGATAGCCAATTGGCCAACAACAGCGTTGATCTCTTTAACGAGATAGGGAGATATACATACAGCAGCTTTTCCAGCCAGACGTTTGGCATGGAGATTGCGGATGAGAATGACCCAGCAATCGAGTACATCTTCCGGAGTGGTTTGGAGCAGATTCTCGGTACGCTTCCTGGATCGTACCTTGTCGACGTAATCCCTGCACTCGACCGGTTGCCCCTGGCTCTCAAGCCATGGGAAAGAAAGGGAAGAGCCCTGTTCCAGGACAACAAAAAGTGGTGCGATGAACGCATGCATCGTGTACAGATGGCCATCGACGCGGGTACAGCGAATGACTCATTCCTGGGGCGCATCTTACAAGACGAGAAAAGCATGAGCCTTGAAGAGCGCTCCGAAGCAGCGTATCTGGCTTTCATGCTCATCATTGGTGCTGCAGATACGTCGAAAATGTCATCATGGTCATTCCTCGAAGCTATGATGCGCTTTCCAGAGGTCCAGAAAAAGGCTTTGGAAGAGATTGAAGCTGTTGTGGGGGTCGCCGACCGACTTCCCGTTTACGAGGATCTGGAGTCTATTCCATACGTCCGTTACATGATGAAGGAACTCTGGCGATGGCGGCCACCTGTTGCACTTGGTCATCCGCACATAACGACACGTGAACTGGTTCACAATGGCGTCCGTATTCCGGTGGGATCTCGCATCCAACTCAATGCATGGGCGATAGGCCATGATCCTAATCGCCACGCTGACCCGGAACGCTTCTGGCCTGAGCGTTACGAGGGGGATCTCACGAATAGCGAGCAAAGCAAAAACTCAGCCAATGTCAAGGATCGTGACCACTTCGCCTTTGGTTCTGGAAGACGCATTTGCCCAGGGTATCATGTTGCAGAGCGCTCCCTGGCAATCGCGATCATGAGGGTAGTCTGGGCCTTCGAGATCACGCCGTCGCCAAATGCGAAGCTTCCACTAGACTCGAGGGACTATCCAGGGGAGATGCCGGGAAATCCAGGGGAGCACATGCCAGTTACACTGAAGGTGCGAAGTAGTACAAAGAGAGATGTCATCAACGCGGACTATAGTGAACTAAGGGCAAGCACCTTCTCGCTGGAGCCTTTAACTCTAAAAGCGCAATCGACGTAGCTGAATCCTAGCCTTTATCTTGTTAGTAATCCCCCGCTCCTGTTTAAGAAGACAATTGCAGGCACTTCTGTCTGTCTATGTTCCTACGGACTTCAGTCCGAAGCAGACGCAACTGAGATATAAGAGATCTGAGGACCTTGTAACATCCTTGTCATTGCACAAGCATGAGCGCTTACAATTGCCGGATCCGCTTGTATTGTTGCTTAGTATATGTAGAAGCATCCCCAGTTGCTCGACCTTCGCTATCTACCCACGACTTCACCGCACTATATCTATCATCGGAGGTGGCCATCACCTAACACACAAATGAAAATGGCACAATGTTTTTCTTGGAGGTATGAAGACTAGATGCAGCGTACGATAGCTGGCGCCCTCTCCGAGGGAGTGTCTGCTCGAAAGGAGTGAATCAGCAGTAAGCAAATTCGTTGAAGGTTGATCGGGCTTCTCTATCAAGATCTGACTTGTTACGACCGTGCTGTTCCTCTTTTCCAAACTGTGTTGCGTAGGATGGAAGTAAATTCCGAGAAGGTTTGACCACTTAAAGGCGATGAACTAGCGCCGGGTTGCGGCATGGGAGCTAGTGAAATATTGCAATGACCAACCAAAGGGAGGAAGAAGTTGTCGTTACCAGATCTCTGGAGCTGTCAAGTCTTCTCCTACCGAAGCCTCATCATGATCGATCCTCGGCTCCAGGCTGGATCGTCAATCTCCAACGGTTGTGAGAGTACGGCCATATTAAGGACTGGAGCGAATCTGTGTTCTCTAGCAAAGTTTCCGAGCTTGAATAGATCAACGCGATGCTTCTGCCCCTGTATTAAGCATGTTTGAGTCTTTGTCAAAGGATCAGAAGCCTGTTCGGCGAGATACAAGTGGTGGTCAAGGGCGTCTTCGCCTACGCATCTCCCAGCTTCGCTTTAGGGTGCGATAAGCTGCAAGGAAAAGACACAGACACTGCTCAGTAGGGAATCACATTTGACTCATGCAAGGAAGTGGCAGCTGCAGGACCAAAGACCTAGGAATGGTTGTGGTGGGCTAAGACTGTTGCAGGCAGGGCGCTGTGCTCCGTGAGGCTTCATATGAACATAGTCTGTGCAGTTGCTAGATGTACATGCTCAACAACACCCACTGCGCTAGGTGAGCTTCATCCGCTGGATGCTACCTGGACCTCAAATCGGAGATAGAGTAGTGATGTTGACAAGGCTGCTGTTTCTGGCAGTTTCACTGCGACAACTTGCGGTAGTGGTTAAGCTGGCTTTATCGTATCCGGAGTGATGAGCAGAACGGTAGGCCGTTGGGTTTGCATGCCGAGCCAGACTGCGCAATAAGTGGGACGAACAGCAGCTAATACACTGCTGTTGCTTTGAGTAGCGCCGATATGTTTTAGCAAGGAGCAGCATGATGTAAGAAGAATGAGAAGCCATGTCAAGAGTGTACAAGATTTAACATGGAGATGCGACTGCAGCGTGATGGTGTCGGATCATGATCTATTTACCTTGACCTTCGCCTTCTGTGCGTCATATTTCAAGCAAAATGTGGCCAAGGTGCGTTCTGGTGGCTTGTTATAGAGCTAGTAACTGCACTTCAGAGCTACAGTGAGTGTGTTGCTTTCGTATCGTCTTCAGTGATGCCTAACAGCTCAGTACACATGGCATCGTCAGTCATCTCCATATCCTTCCGCCGCCAACGAGAGCTTGTAGCAAATCCTGCTTTGATTATAAATTAACTTCGCTTGACGTCTTACTTCGCTACTACCTCTTGGTGGTTCCGAGTCTTATGCTCTTCGGAATCACTCTGGACTGGACGCGCGGAAATCGGGCTTGCGGTTACTCGAATATACTAAACTTGTCCGTGAGTCAATGCATACATGCTCATGTTGTTAATCGTAACATCCTCGCGCGCCTGTCTGTTCATATCACTCTCTCAGATCGCCCAGTATGATGACGCTATCTTGATGTTGTGTTCCATGGGAAACTACATTGCCATTGCACTCAGTTTTCGAGACTAAGTTCTGCATCCAGTTCTGGCGTCTGGCTCGCTTATGGGACACGTTACATCACTAGCCACAGTATCCTCCCAAATTGTCCTAGTATCCAAATTCTTTATTTCTCACCTGTGGAATTTGGAGACGCTTCTTCTTACGTCATTAATAGACACGTTCTTGATCCTCCATTCTATTCAAGTGTCAATGTTGACCTTACACAGCTTGTGCTAATCTCACTAGGCAAAATACTCGGACAATAGAGAACAAATGCCAAGCTATACTCAGAGCGACAAATTGCTCCCAGGCCGAGGATTGCTTGGCGTGTCTGCGATATGCCTCTGAGGAATCATTAGATTTCATATTCTTTACGAAGGATTGGGGCACCCCGGAATATGTCGCCGACGACGCAATTCTCAAGCCGAACACTTCAGTGCGTGACTGAGATTTTGTGCGGGTACCCCTACTCACTGGTACCAACCGTGCCGAAGAAACGACATTCATGCTCCAGGCCGGTTTCCAGGCAAATTCGTCTGTTGATGTTGCCGACTTCTTAGCTCAAAGAGCCGGCAGAGCATCCAACAGAACGATTGATAGGCTCGTTAAGGCCTATGGTCTCATGAATGTGACAAAAGAATTCGGTACCGTGTCCTCCGATGCATATGGAGATCTGTTCGGTGTGGCTTCATTCACCATGGCGGATGTCTTATTCGATGCGCCGAGAAGGCTGTGGGTCGAATTGTGTGATCGATATGGTTTGCCCGCCTACAGCTACCGCTTTAGTACTATCTCTGCGAGTGTTTCACCGGACAAGCTCGGTGCGACGCATTTCCAAGAGATCCCTTTATGTTCTGTGGAACATCTGGCTTGGGTCATGTCGTTAATCCATTTGCAGTCAAGCCTGAGGATAGGAAAAAAGGATATGGAAATTTCTCTGAGCTGACGGCTCGTATGTGGATTAGTTTCGTAAATACTTTGTCACCTAGCATTAACGGAAGTAAGTAGCCTGATCTCCAGCTGTGTTACTATCTTACTGACTCATGCCTAGTACTGGATCTTTCGGAGTAGTGACCGTCCTACTCGGAGACGAACCCAGTCAACATTGTCTTTTGTACCCATCGATTGCTGTATGAATAGAGACAAAAGATGCTGATTCCAAATTTTGGCATGCAGTCCACTGCCTATCTACCACCCCATCATACGTAACAGAGACGGCATAATCCCTTTGATATGACTGCATCCTAGCGATAAAGCCCATAAATTAGATTTGATGTGCTACAGTGGCATGCAAGTAGATTGAGTATGACGTGCAACTGATTTGATTATATACAGCCAGACGAGAGAGCCCCAAGAGGGTAGTGCCTATCCCGCATGCTAAACAATGTTGAAGTAGTACTACGTCAATGTTTCCGAAATAGCTACCTAATTGTACCGCACTACCGATTTGGTGCCTTACCAATAGCAGTCCAGCCAAGAGATGTCCATTCAGAACCATCGAAAGCTTTGAAGATTTGCTTAGGTTTCAAAAGTCTGTTCGCACAGACGCCTATGCCACCGCAGAATATATGGACCTTGACTTTGAGGCATGACAACTCTACACAACGTAGACCATTTAGACAATATCAAGATAGAATTTACAGTAATATGTCTAAATGGAGTGTGGTAGCATTGCCGTTGTCGTACGGTGTCCAGGCATCGTAGCATGAAGCTGGTCAGTCGGTCGATAAGTAAATTAGGTATGCCAGCCCATGCCTCGTGCAACCCCTGGACAAATGCCTCGCACTCGGCTTTGAAGTGTTTCAGAGAGTCAAACTCGGGTGCAGCTCGCGGGAAGTTCTTTTGAGTTCCCACCAGGTGCGTTCAATAGGGGGCAGATTAACATTTTGAAACACGTCAACGGAGGTAACACGATGAATCTCCAACCAATCTCTTAATGCCAGTGCAATGTGGCTAGGTATCTCATCTTGCATGAATGACTCGCCTGGCTTGTAATACGGTAGAAGCGCTTCTTCGTCGTTCTGTAGCTCCATCCAATTCAACACCATGAGTGGACTGTGTGTAAAAGTCGATCTCCTGAAATAGATTCCGCAGCTTACCAGCAGTAGAAACTTTGTCCACCATCATGGAAGCCAGTTTTTCACCGGGCCATTGCTATACCCAGGCTTAGTTGTGACCACTACACTCGTCGCTACATCTGAACACCTGTCGAGCCCGGTTGGGGCCCAGTTGAAGCAGAATGACGAGTGAGGAAGATCTAAGCAAATGTTCGCTGGGCAGCTACTCTGACTTTTCGTAGTCTTTCGGTAGCCATTACTTCATGTACCGCTTTCACGAAAAGGGAATGAATGTCAGTCATTCTGTTCTGTCTCCAAATCGAGCCTTTACTGAATCATATTGTCGTCCATACTTTGACTGAATCAAACTTGGTGTTGAACTGTACAATACCATATAGTTCAATGTGCACATAATGAACTACATCACCGTGCACATGTCTAGAAACATGCCAAGTCCGACTCTTGTATCCATAGATGCCTGAATGAATACCACCTCATAAACCATGTTCAAAAAGTCCAGAGAGCTGTAGTTAAGGCTTCGATTCAAGACGTGACCTGCATCTACAAGTTGTCTGTCATCAATGCAGACATTTTGCAATCAATAATCGAACTCTTGGCCAACTAGCTTCTCACTGAGCTTCCAGAGTTTGTCAATGTCTTCAGGGTTTGTGGCGGTGGGCTGCAGGCGATCGGAGACATTGCCGTCTTCAAGATAGGCGCCGTTGTATGCTGAAGGCGTTAGGACAAGCTAAGATTATATGGTTCGAGAGATACCTACGCTTCAATCTCGGATCAAATGCAGCAGCCACGTGTGTTGCAGCGCATTCATCGAGGTCTTTCATATCGAAATCCTCAGTCCAACCAAGCTTCTTGTTCATTGCCTCTAGAAGTTGCGTTAGGTCATAATTTACCTCGAAGCTTTGGTGGAAGGCCGTGCTTACCCAACTCAGCTATATCTTCCTTTGAAAAACCTCCTTCTACGGCACCCGAGAGAGAAGTCTCCAAATTTACGCCCGGATGAAGGCTGTACGACTGCAGGCCTCTTGAGCCCAGTTTTCTAGCCAGCGCCTTGGAAAAGAGAACATTGCCCGTCTTGCTCTGTCCATATGCAACCCATTGATTGTAGGTCTTTCCGTCCTCGAAGTTCCAGTCTTCGAACCGGATGCCGCCGTATCGGTGACCGCCACTGCTCACGTTCACTACGCGTGGATGCTTGGCCGCGAGAAGCTTGGGCATGATCAAATTTGTGAACAACCAATGTCCGAGATAGTTTGAACCAAATTGCAATTCTATCCCTTCTTCTGTTTTTCTGTATGGTCCACCCATCAATCCAGCAGAGTTCACGAGTACATCGATGCACTGTTCTGAGCTTTCTAACACTTCTTTTGCCGCATTCCGAACGTTTTGCTGGGATGAGAGGTCCAACACCAGGGCTTTTGTTTGCACGTTGATGGTTTCCTCACTGTTCCTAAGCTTGTCGATTACAGATTGGATCTTGGAGGCATTACGGCCGGCAAGAATAAGCAGGGCGGGATTGTACTTTGCGATTTCGAAAACGAAGGTTGCTCCTAAACCACCAAGGGTAACTCCAGTCGTCAGGATAACCTTGCCGGTGATGTGCGCGGCATTATCGGATGCTATCCGGGACGCCAGCGCGGTCTGACGATTGTAGGGAAGAGGTTTAGACATGACGAGTATAAGTCAGGCGAAATAAATGTCTGAATGTAACTGTTGTTTGAACGACCAAGGACAAGATTTAATTGTCGTGCGCTTTGGTCCAGGCGTGCTGCTGACACTTATCTCCGACGTTGTGCGTGCAAGAATGCAGCGTGATCGTCATGAAAGCGCACGATTTGCCGATCTTTTTCATACCCGTATCCACAAAAGACGGCTTGCAAGGTTGCGTTTTGCGGAGACTATGAGCACGGTCTTCTACTTGGTCGGAGCAGGCTTTCGACAACGCCACGCAGATTCTTGCCTCCTAAATCCTTGCTTAACGCCGTTCAATGCCAATTCCCTGACTCTTGGCATGAAGTGCTTAGCGAAACACCGATAAATATCGGAGGTTACGTCAGTTGATCTTTGGCCTAACATGCGCCTAGTAAGATTACAACAGGGCCGGAGCTGAGATTTGCGTTCCGGTATCGGTCCCTGGTCGGGCCTGATCGAGCTTGACATCATCTGCCACATGTTCGACATCCCTGCTGACGGGCGAGCCACTCACGATTGCCAGACCAAGGCCTATTGTATCTACTTTGCAATGCTGCGGAGCCACGGAGCGGAGGGCCTCTTGGGTGCTGTTTGTGTTGGCTTGTGATTCTTGGGCTTTCTGTGATGACTGGTCCAAACGGCGAAGGCGCGCAGACGGCCTTGGGTGAATAGTATAGAGCGGTGAGGTAGGCTCAAGACAGGTGGGAACGGGTCTGAGGTGACTAGATGCATTGGTAGGTTCAATACGTTGAGACTTACTGTAGAAGGTTGACGGGAGGGAAGGCCGCACAAGCACCGCAGGCGTTCGAGTCGCAGGTTGGCATATTTGATGGTAGTACGACGCTGACTTACCACGCGCGAGGTCACAACCTCGTCCCGTTCGAGACCCGTCGTGACGCCGTCGAGCGCGTAGGCGTAGCTGAGGGCAGTCTCGCGATCCACAGCACGTCTGACAGAGCCGAGGGCAGGCGGTTGATCGCGAGGCTCCTACTCGTGGCGTGGCGGACGAGCGATTGCGGTGGGATAGGAGGCGAGTGGATCTGAGTACCAAGGACTGCGGATTTGGGGTGTGTGGGCGTGGGCGCTGACACATGGAACTCAGGCTTGGGGAGCGCAGGATTGGTATGGTCGATTATCTGCGGCGTTGTGTGCTCACCTTGTCCGCGCCGCTATCTGTCCGCCTTGTTCGTCTACCATGATTACCGGCTGCAGGATTGCGGAGACGGCGTGGCTGCAGCTGGTAACGTTAAAAGCGCCATTCATTCTCTGCGTCCGCACCCCGACGACCGGATGTGTGGTCCTCGACCCGTCACGGTGCTTCTACCGCTGCAAACTGACGGTGGTGCGACAAGGACAGGGCGGCATGCGGTGGCGGGGCGGCAGTTGTGCAGATATACGGGTCGCGCGCCCAGGTCCGGCAGCGGCAATAGCAGTGTCTTGAGCATTGAGTAGATATCTCAGACCAACCAAGACCTGTGGTTAGTCTGACACACGAATCGTGATCTTTCCCTGGACTGGACTCTGCGAGAACGCTCTGGTTTGTGCTATTGAGCATCTCGGATCACGCAATTTTTGCTAGGTTGAGACACATGCCAACAGCTGCTGCAAATCGACTGCACAGCAAGGCAAGGCACAGCACAGGCGAAGAGAACGTCTGACACCGAGCAAGAGTCGTAGCAGGGCTTCCTTCGACCAAGAGCTGTAGCTAGTCTCAAACCGAGTAAGGGTTGTAGCAGCTCTCTCATCAATCAAGAGTTGTAGTTGCTCTCACACAGAGTCACACTAACCAATTGTTGTAATCGGTCTCATACCGACCAAGAGTTGTCTTCAATCTCGCACGAGCCAAGACTTGAAGCTGGTCTGAGCTACGCATCTATGAGCGCATAACGCATGCCAATCGGCACAGATGCGCGTGCGGCTCGAGGATGCAGCGGTGCGGCGGCGCAGCGGCGCGCAGTCACAAGGACCGAGTGCGGCAGGAGCAGGATGCGAGAGGCTTAGCGGCGCCTTGCGTGTGAATGTGCGCGGATGTGGAGGACACGGGCGCTTGTGATGCGCGCAGCCTGTAGGAGGACGTCGCTGGCCTGGTTGCTGGGCGGCGAAGGGCTGAAAAACGACAGGCTGTCGCAGCGCAACAGCAGCCGACGATCAGCTCATCGCAACTGTCGCGAACTTCTGCGCCAGCCCTGACGACCCAACTCGCGCATCATCTCCTGCGTCAAGCTCTCCGCCAACCGCAGATGACGCAGCCCCGACAGTCCATCTGCCTTGTCGCGCGCGTGCTGGAGGGTCTCTCGTGCTCGGGTCATTGAGCCGGACCACGGTCGACCTGCAGCCTGCAGCGACCGTTGTCGCGGGACAGCGTACGTGGTCACGGGTCAGTACCCACGTCCAGGCTCACTATCGCCGCCAGATTTCAGCCTCATCGCCGGTGTTCTGGCGGCGTGGCCGGTCCACGCGTGGCCTAGCGAAGCTCTCGCTTTTGACGGGAAGGCGCGGCCCGCCACGGCGCGGCCCGCCCCGACGATGCCCCGCCCGATATCTAGTCTGCGAGTCAAACGAGGACGTGTGCCGTCGGGGTCTGCTGGTAAGATTGACGAACGGGGGCACAGATGGTATATGCGAGCCGGGCTCTGGAATCGTGGATGCTATTCTGGGAACGCATGCACGCCGTAGCTCACCCAGCGCAGCTAGCCAAGTACAAGCATTTCTATAACTTCATGTCGCCTCTATGAGTCCTTTGCTGGATGTATTCATACATCAAGCGTTGTTCTGGCCGGTTCTCCGAGCCTTCCCATTCGCTCGCTCGAGAGATGTCGCAGACTCTTGGCCAGCGACTGACCACCCAATTCATGATACCTTCATCCATGCCAGGTCTTCTGTGGCCTTCTTGTGTTCCCATCCAGGAATCAATATGCGGGCGATAAGTTGGTCGAACAACTTGACAACTCGATCTCGGTGTCATTTGGACATTCCGTATGAAGACTTCATCGCCACGCTCTGTCCACGAGATGCTGAACTCTTTGACAAAACGAGTGCGTTCAGGTCAAGGATAGATTTGAAGCGTCTACATGGCCTGTCTGCACTACTTTCAAGGTCAGGGTGCAGGTAATCTGCAGATTCTCACTCAAGTCAACCCTGCACCTCCATCTCCAACCTTCACCTGCAATGCATATATCCCTGTACCACTGACGATCACAAACGGTAGTTTCGGTCTTGTCAGCAGAGACCAAATAGAGTGTTGCTGTCGTCGCTAAAGCCAAGATCCTCAAAGCGATCGCTTCACTTCGTCGCATCGTTCCCCACTCCCACTACAACACCATCGATCGCGCCACTATCGCCCACCTCCTTCAATCAGACAATTTCTCGCCCCGTCCAACATCCAATTCCATAATGTCCACCCACGCCACCCACGGCACCACATCTCCCACCTTCCCTCCTGCCCCACCTCCAAGCCCAACGGGTACGTGCGCCCCCAAGTCGACATGCCACCATACCAACCCCACCGTTAACACTCACCAGCCGCTTACTCCCGCGATATCCCCACCGAGCTCACCCGCCGTCTACAGCTCCTCCGCGCCGGTGGCTCTCCCCCTCAATTTCCCAACAAGTCTGCCGACGCGCTCACCCGCACCAATGAAGACGTCGCCATGGAGCTTGTACGGCGCTTGAAGCTCCTCCATGACGGACCCCCGCAGGTCTCCGCCAAGTCTATCTACGCGCTCGCCGGTAAGAGAGGTTGCCACGACGCTACCGACCCCCCGCTGTCTCGGCTCCGGTGCGCGGCGCTCCGACAGCGCGTTAAGCGTATCGAGTGTTCCTCGCCTCCATTCAAAGGCGCATTTCGCGCTCGAGCCTGGCAAAGCAGCGCGGAGGCGTCGACTGGAAGGGGGCATTCTGCGGTGTAGATGGGGAGTGAGGTGTTGTGGACCGTTGCTGATGTTTCTGGGGAGGCCTTGAGTAGTGGTGCGCTGAAGTGCTTGATGATGTTGGCAGAGTCGGGCGGGCTGCCTGTGTGCTAGGTGAAGAGACTCTTTGGTGCAGAAGCTTTTGTTTTGTTAATTGATGGCGTCACGGACTGGCGGTACGAAAGTCAAGCTGGGCTCTCTTTTGATTTAGGAGTCGGCTCTCATGGACTCATGCCATTTGCTGCCCTGTGACGAGCCTTTACCTTGCGTAGCCATCATTTGGTCTTCACTAGCTTCTGATCTTGGAGGTCACTAAAAGATTATCATCCTCCAACTCCTTTTGTAGTTGAGTCCATTGGTGATAGACGCGAAACTGAACATTTCCTCCCAAGAGCTCAGGATCGCTAAATCCCTTCCCGCGCGGCCAGACACCGAGTACACATGCATCAATCTCCCGCACACGATTCTCCGGCTCCCGGACTATTTGCTGGCCCCTACCGCGCTGCGGTGAAGTGAAAGGTCCGCGTATAGCGTGGCAGCGCCCGACACTACTCTCGCCCAACACCGCTCTCACCCTCTCACCCGCGCCCACATTTCTTCTCACAGCTAGCAACCATGCTGCCCGCTCCTAAAGCGACCCAGATCAATCGCAAGTCCCGGAAGACCAGTACGTCTACCCACCCCACGCATTCGCGGCGGCGCTGGTGGAGCGGAGCCGCAGCTAGTTGCTAACTACCACTAGACGAACCCACGTACACTCACTACTACTCTTCTACTCCCGACATCGATTCCCTGTACCATGTCCAACAGCCCTGTAGTGGGCGCGGTAGTACGTCCATGGCGTCGCTCGTCGTCGAGACCGTGTCATCCAAATCCGCCGAAAGCGCTCACAGCTCAAGAATCGCTGCCCGCGGAGTCGAAGCGTCTCGCAAGGCTAACGGCGGGAACATCACGGCCTGTAATCTCCCAACTTGTGTCGAGGAGACTGTGCTTGACCGTTGGGCTCAGGAGCCGGAGGAGAACGAGCTTGCGGCCCTCAGCGCGCTTCCGCGCAGTGGCTCAGCTGCGCCGCTCGCCCCCACCAGCGCACAGAGCGAGGTCGGTGGCGCCGAGTTTCCAAGGTGTATGTTCTGTCGCTCTTGCTTGAGCGTATTGGATACACTAACTTTCGTATCATAGTAACCCCCAACATCAAGCCATCAAGTCGCCTACCCCCGCCCCGAGACGTCGACACCGCCCACACCTCCCACATCGTCGGCCTGGTTCCATGCACGGGTAATGTCTCGCCATCGATGGAATCGTTCGACGGTGGGATCTGGCTCGTCTCTGAGGACATTTCTTCAACGCCAGTAGGCAGGGCCTCTGCAGGTGCCGAACGAGTGGGTGGAGGCGAACAGCAGTCCGCGAGCGGTGTCAGCGCGAGGTGGCTTCGCCTGCTCTGATCCAGGGATGGAGGGTTGATACGAGTGGCTCCGGGCGAAGTCTTTGTGGAATGTTGCTGACTGCGTTGGAGAGGGAAGAGACACTGGGGTTCGTATCGTCGATGGCAGGCTGCGCCATAAGACAGTAACTTTGCTCGAAGTTTCGCACAATTACAGAATTGTCCCTTTTTAAGCTTGTGGTTTGGCATGTGGTTTAGCATGAGAGGATTGGTTAGACTGGACGATGGCATCGGTCTGAGAGGGAGAGAATCTTGGTGGCGCATGCCTATGACACTGATGGAGTAGAGCTGTTAGTGGACCATGATACTTTGTCGCGAGCAAATTCATGAGAGGACGTTCAAGCATTATCACCGCGTCGAACAAACAAAACAACAACAGTTGTGTTTCTTCACTTATTGTCTACCTTCCGCTTGTTCGATCAAGCAACGACTTGTTTGTCACTCGCCCGTGTATAGGTAGCTGTTTCTAATCCTTTCGTTATCTGTTCTATCAATAAAATATCGCCTCCGTCGAGCATGTGGTATCTATCATAGCGGATGGAGGTAAGGGTTCGCTCTTTCCCCACAAGTGAACAGACCCCTAACATTGCTAGTATCTTACTGCAGGTCTTGGAGGCACATTCCAGCCTCCAGCGTTAATCGCACTTTCATTTGTATTCACACCGCTTCAACTACCTCATCTACGTCCCCGTTGAAATTCTACCCACGCTCAGGTGTTATTGTATCGCAAAGCCGCGTACCCAGTCATTCTCAGCTCTGGTCTACTGTCTCTATATCACGAAGCAGGGCCGCCATACGCGAAAAAGGTACGGCGAAGAAGGCCCGATGTAGCGCTCGTTTAACATCCAATGAAACAAATCGCCTGAGACTTTTTTATCCGAGGCAAGCCTAGCAAATGGTGTGTATATTGCGCTCAGAAGCCAGAAAGGCCTCAGCAAAAGGTGGCCAGTAGTGTGGAAGGCCGGCTAGAATTAGCCAGCCTGGACATTCGGAATACACTACCTCGCAGACCAAGGTGAGACCTGCGGATGTTCTAGCTTTCCTCTGTTGTCAGGGATGTTAAGAACTCCGAAGATGAGGTTGCTGTGTGCGATCTCGTCGACGATTGGGCTATCAGAATCCAAGCATGTCCCAGCGGAACAAACAAATATTGATCTCTGATCTCCTTTGACACCCGGTTCATTTGACCCTATTCTAGCCATGCAGAAGACACACTTCGCTCAAGCAGATGAAGCTTTAGGCACTACTTTCAACGTCAAATATCTCCTTGAGCCGTATCTTGGTATTAAAATTGTGCGCCGAGGATAAACAATCAATATTCAAAGCATTCTGGACTTTGGATCCGTCTTTCTATGCACAAGACCTACCCGCCACACTCAAACCTTGCCAATCACACCACCAGCACTCATTTTTCAGCTTCGAACGCGACTTCAACCTTGGAAGACTTCCAAATCTACTCAACCAATTCTTGTTAATCATTTTTCGTTATTCAACTTGCGAACCCTCATCATGCCGGAAGAACGATCCCAGACACCACAAACCCAAGCGGTCGACCCTATTATTACCCAGTTCCTGCACAACTTTCAGATTCAGCTCGTCAATCTCACCTGGATTGTGGCTTTTGCGGTCTTTTTGTGGCCTCGACGGCTCTAGAGACCGCGTTCGAATCCAGCACTGAAGGCCGCGATAATCTTGCACCGATGGAAATTAGTCACCACGCAATCTCCATCACGTTTAAACTCGGTCTTGCAGCCGGTATCAGCTACATTGTTGTGAACTGTGCGCAGCCAAGGCTGCCACCGGGCGCGCAATCGAAGATGCTGTGTATCGGAACACTGTCAAGGAGCGCGTGATTTAAGACGCCATCGAGCAGAACTCTGCTAAGCACGAGGCAGCCCGTAGATAGATTAAGACCTGGTACCAAGCCCTCCTAGCTTCGACAAATGCTACGCACAAAACTCTCGTGAATTGCTCGGACTAGGACCATGAGTGGGCAGCGAAGGAGCTCCAGGCAGAACTCAATAAACGCCAGCGATGCAGTGCACAGGCAGAGAGCGACGGTAGGATTCGTACGGCGGAACTATAAAACCAGATTCAGCACCTAAGAGATCAGCTATGGTCAAACAAGGAGGTAACCGAGCAGAGATAGAACGCTGATGATGTCGACGCCAAATCTGAAGGCTTGAAGAATTCCTGGCTCGATTTTGGTTGGGAGACTGATGAATGTCGCGTATTGGTTGGATATATCCATTACTAGTATGCCACTAACATCTGACAGACCATGTATTTGCAGCTATGGATGATGTTCCTTTTGAGTCAAGTCTAGACGGAAACTGTTTCAAGTGAGTGAACAACGCAGTTGACGAGGCGCCTAGTTAGAACAGTCCTTTTCTTCAACCCTGATCGAATGGTTCAAATACGAGCCCTGAGTCTATGGGGATATACTGTTTACGTGGTTTGTGGTTCATGAAACTACCTTTTCTGTTGCACACTCTTCGGCTTCGATGACAGGCTTGAGTGACGCCGTGACTTAGCTAACATGTTTTTGTAGAAGAGAGTTCTGAGGGCAAGATTGCACGTGGAAGCCAATTCGGCGCGACCCTACTGCTCATACTACCTTGCTTTCTTACATTCTTCTCTGTGCTCACAACTATCTTGTGGAAGGCTAGACGGCTCATGTGGCTGACCAATGTAAAAACAAGTGACAGAACGCATCCAATAATATACTCCACTCTATGTGTGCCTGCACACACGCCTTTTACTCAAGTTAACTCAGCGTACTGTTCTAATTAGTCACTCTGGCCCACTTAAATTCTTTAATGCTCACGAAGTAGTGATCCGTCGAAGCTGTAGACCATATCGATACTTTTGGACACCCTCCAGGCTCGCAAGGTCGTTGAAATACTCAATCAGCGCGCCCGATCACAAACTGGATAACTTCGATTGCTACCACTGTCATCACGGCGCAGATGACCGGCCCAGGCTGCGATCTGGCGCAGCGCCGAGCGGTCATCGCTTGCGTAACTCCCTCTTCCGTCCTCCATCATTCTGTCCGAGCATAAGAGTAAGCCATCTCCATCCGACCGCCCGTTGCGACTGCCCTTCCTGCGTACACCCGCTCGAAGTGCCAAGCACGGGCAAGACATGGATTTGTAAGCGTCGCGCTATCCTTGAGCCTACTCGTCAACTTGGCGCAGCCGGCAGTCAGCTACAGATTGATGGCGGTGCACACGGAGCCCAACACACCAGCACCAAGATCTGAATATCCCTGCAACGCCCGAGGTGCCGAGTTTCTGAATGCATATGTCAGAAAGAGGCCGTCGATACGCTTGGTGACCCACACAATGCCGGATCGCGATCTGCCGAGCGTCATCACGGGTTTTTGGCCTTGCGCTCCACCGCCATGAGTAACCAACGTTCAAAGTGAGTGGTGCACGCCAAGTCCAATAAGGTAGTCCTCTACGATAGAAATTTTCGATCTCCATTCTCTCAACGTGTCTCGATGGGTATCTAGACTGCTCGCATGTGCCGCCTTCACCTTCTCGAGACACCTTCGACCCAAGATGTACTACTGCCCCTTTATCTACAACGACGCTTCTCTCCTGCCTCGAACGTGGAGCCAACCGCTCCACAGCATTGCTGGACCGCTTCTAATGCTGCCGACCACGCTCTGTCACGCTGCATCTGCAAACCCACGCGCCACGTAAACACAGTCTCCACGCAGCCTTCCCACTTCGGTGTTGAACCCCTCTGTGGCCAGATGGTCAGTGCGGTCGTAAGAAACCCATGGCGTGCAAGGAGGCACCATGCATGTCGACGGTGGACGCATGTCTAGTCCTTCTCTTGCCTCTCGGCTTCTACTACTGACTCCTCTCTCGCCCCTCCAACGTACCTGGACCAAACCGCTCCAAGCGTGTAAGGAGCCGGTGCACGGCAACCTTAGATTGCTTCTTCACGTGACCAACCAATCTCTGGCACCGTGACTCTGCACTGCCACGAGCAGCGACACGAACATACGCTTCATGCAGGATATCCTCTTCTTCAGTATCGTATGGGTCTGCAGTCAGTTAGTACAATGTTTTCTCAAGGACTCCATGCATTAAGAATGGCGCACCAAAATGCAAGGCGGTGACGGATTCGTAAGCGTGGGAGTAAACAGAGCGGACTCGCACCGTAGCCTCAGCAGCTTGGGCGTGGAGTTGAAGCTATGCATCGCGGTCTCGCGCTTCACTTATTCGCTGCTGTGTGTCTGCGCGCCAAGCTGGCCATGCGGTTTGGCGTGCATGGCTGTGCAAAGTAGAGTGTGTAGGCGGGGATGTGGGTGATAGCTCAGTGGCGTTTCGGGCGGGCGAATCGCGCAATGGGGAGTGTCTGTTGCGCCTGTGCCCTCTAGGATCGTTTGCGCGCCAAGCCAAAGAAGACGTTCGCGGCGGGTGTTGTGGCATCGCTGGCGAAACTGACGACGTGTGCGAGACGTTTTCGGGTCTTTGAGCGAGCTGGTCGTGGAGTTTGCAATGCCTGTTGCGCTTGTGTCCTCGAGGATTGGTGTCGCTGATGCGATAATCAAAAGACGGCGGATCTGGTGTTTTATTAGCGGTTTGCCGCCAGTGTTGGTGTATGTAGATCAAGCGAGGTCATACCGATACTTGTCCCTGTGACCACTGGCGAGTAGGTGTGTACCATGGCGGTAGAGATGGTGAAGTGGTTGAATTGGTAGCTTTGAGGTATCGATGGCACGATCAGGCGTAGGCTTAAGACATCAATGCGCGTGATCTGTGGCTTAGACTATATAGGCAGCAGGGCAGACTGTGTTTCCGTCTTCACTTCCACTGTGGATGCTGCTAGGTTCGCGTTTGATTGCATACCTGATCGCGGTTCTTATTGCCATCAAGACTGCGGCCACGGGTAGAAAGTATGACAAGTGCGACGGTCGACGTCAGAACAGCAACAGTCACTGCGACACGACGACTATTGCAAGAAGCCAACGGTGCTCATGCTGGCAGAAGTGGATGGTGCGAGCAGGTTCACGACTGCGTCGTGGTTCTACGTCCTCTTGCAACTTCTCAGCCTTGACGGTGTATTTTTAGAATAGAATGCTACTAATGAGTTCTGAGCTTAGTCAGTAGCGCTATCGTGAAGGCAACAGACCGTGTTGGATTCATTGGATGTCTACACGAGGCTAAACTATACTTTTCTTTCAAAGAATTAGCTATATTAGCTATATTTAAAAGCTAAGAAAAATACTTTTACTAAACTTTCTTAAGTATATAGTTAGTTATTATTTTTTTTTTATATTACTTAGGTTCTATAAGTTAGCTATAGTATTATTTTACAAAGGTTATATAGTATATCTATTATATAGAGTTACTTATATTTTATTATAGATATATATAGTATATTACTTAGTAAGCTTAAAGATTTATTTAGTTTATTTAAATAGATCTATTATTAAAGTATTAGTATTAGAAGAGAGTTTTAGTATAGTCTTAGTAGATACTTATAATTTGCTTAGGTAGATAACTTACTTATAGAGTAAAGTACTAATAAAACTATATTTAAAGCTACTAAATAGCTATTTAAGTAGTATATAGTTATTATAATACTAGTATTAGTTTACTACTGTCTTAAGTTTACTAAGTAATATTAGCTACTACTAGTGTACTTAGTAAAATTTGTCTTAAAATCTAGGGGGGGGGTGGGGTAGGATCACGAAATTAGAACATAAAATATAACCTAGGGGTAATCAGGCCCCAGGCTAGATACTCTGTAGCCTTATGTTTATAGTAGGCGTGAAGGCCTAGAGTAAGCGTTTGGGGTCTCTAGGCGTTCGGTGTCCGTGCACGGTAATCGTCGCATGTTAGTGCGGCTGTCCCTTAGCCGAGTGGCATGGGATATCTCACACATCCGGCCGCTAATACAAACAGCTAAGCTTTGCAATCAGACTGGGGTGCAAGTATAAATGTAAAAGTGTAAAAGTAGGCGTGCAAATGCGAGTGCAAAAATGTCGGCATTATCTCGGTGTGATGATGAATTGTCAAATATTTGTCATTATCTCTAGCATCAGCGAAAGGATTGTTTACCAATCTAAGCTGGAGAAAAAACATGCAGAGCAACTACATATAGGGTGCGAATACTAGCCAGAATGTTGGGAGCAAGTCCTATATCATCAGCCTTGATCATCGGTCTTGAACACCAGCCATACTTTTGATACTCAAATCTCACTACCTACCCTCTTATCTTTTCCACTTCATCGTTTAAACAAACGCTCTCGAAAATGTCAGCCTTTGATTTCTCATCTACCGGGTCTGAAGTAGTCGCTGCTCTCCCAGAGCGAGTCTCAGGAAAGACCTGTATGTGTATTCTGCTCTGAACAGACTGAGTTCTGCTCTTGCGCACAATCGGATAATCCTTCAACTGAAAATAGCTGACGAGATTTTAGTTGTTATCACCGGAGCCAGCTATGGTGGACTTGGCGCGCATACAGCTCTCTTCCTTGCAGCTGCAAAGCCTGCTGAGGTCATACTTCTTGGGCGTTCTGAAGACAAGATTGCTCCTGTTTTAAAGGAAATGAAGGAGAAGAGCCCTTCTACTGCAGCACGATTCGTCAAAATTGACCTCTTGTCCTGCGCCTCAGTCCGAGCTGCAGCGGCGGAAGTCAATTCACTTGTCTCTAAGATTGATGTTCTTATCAACAACGCAGGCATCATGGCTGTCCCATTCGCCCTCACCCCTGAGAATGTGGAGAGTCATCTGGGTGCAAACCACATTGGTCACTTCCTACTTACAAATCTTCTCGTTCCGAAACTTGAAGCCGCAGGCGGTGCACGGGTTGTCAACGTGTCCAGTGCCATGTACCAGTTCAGTCCTGTGCTCTTTGACAACTACAACTACTCTAATGGCAAAACGTACAATGCTTGGGAGGCCTATGGACAGTCCAAGACGGCAAATATCTTGTTTTCTGTATCACTGGCGAAGAAACTGGATGTTAAGGGAATCAAGTCCTTTTCGTTGCATCCTGGTGTCATAGCAGCAACAGGCCTGGTATCTGGGGTAGATCCGTCAGCGTGGGCCATTGTAGGGCCTATGGTTGAGAGCAAGAAGATGGAGATGCCAAAAGACAAGACTATCGAGCAAGGGTGTGCAACCTCACTTGCTGCTGCCTTGGACCCATCGCTTGACAGTAAGTACACTGCTTATTGTTTTTTACTGTTAGAACAGACACTTACAAGGCTTTCTAGATTATTCGGGTTCGTACCTTGACGACTGTAAGCCAAAGGAGGTCCAGGGCTACGCCTCTAGCGACTCGAACGCAGAGAAGCTTTGGACCCTGAGCGAGGAAATTGTTGGAGAGAAGTTCACCTACTAGTCTACAAGCAAAGATGACAAAGATAATCAAAATAAATAAGCAGGGTAGAGTCTAAATTACAGTAGACATATGTGGTTGCACCGTATATATGTACGTAGCTTAGCTCTTTACTTAGCTTATTCTTAACTTCGTCTCACCTTTGATCTTCTTGCCATCTCCCCGTTGTACCATTTTCTACATGCTGGTTCGAGTGGTACTTTGGAAGCCACGGCTTCATAATCGTTATTAGTAACTAGTGTAGTCAATAGTCACCACCGGTATCTGTCGCAGTGGTGCGATCCGCATCAATGATGTTTTAGCTGAAAGGAGGACTAGATCAAGCGCAATCTAGGACGAATCTTAGGGGCAGAGCCTAGATGCGATAATTTGAAGGATAGTTAGAAGAAAAGAATAGTGTGTAAAACTTATAGCGAGTTATATTATCTCTAACTATGTGCTGATGCTCTAGCAAATCGCAGTCTGCAAGGCATATGCGTTTACTTTGAAGATAAAGCAAGCGTTACCTAGTATACAATGCTCTAGTAATTTAGCCCCTTAAACATCGCATATACTTGATTGGCATATACTTGATTGCAGTCTGCAGCCCTCCAACGTCTGTTCCATTGCGGTTGCATCGGGCTTCACATCTATGCAATCGTTTCAGCTCCCTGCTCCTGGTTTCTCTTCGAGTACTTCCGTACCGAACGTTCGCCGCCTACCAAGGTTCAGGCGTTCGTCCTAAATCTTGTCCTGGGAGTAGGTATGGTCGCGCTTTCTGACCTTGGAAGCGCGATCGTGCTGCTTGCTACTGCTGAGTTCTTTGATAAGCTCGTGCAATCTATCTGGATGTAGGCACGTAAGTCTGCTAGCGAAAAAGTCAATGGTTGTCTGGAAACAGACGCGAGAGGTTTTGTCATGTAAGACAACAATACTGTTCATCGTCGTTGTGCTCACTAGATTAAAAAAATGATCTGTCTCAGTTCTACTATTGAAGTCCCCTTGACGACGATAGCCATCTTCATCTCCTACGCCATGACTACATGTGTAGCTATGGTAAGATAGATGGTGAGTTGTCCTGGGTGTTTGATCTTTGCTAGCGCTCACTCATCCGTCGAAGGTAATCGTCCACTGATGGAACAGTAACCGACGCCCTCTTCACTCTCGCAGGAACGCACAAGTCATTACTAGAAAGAGAAATTGGGCTGAAAACTCGGCGTGAAGGCATCTCTATAGCACTGAAGTCAGCGCAACCATTTCTCCACCATAATGAGGTGGTTCGACAACGAAGCGACATCACTGCCTAGACGTGCCCGAGAGGAAGCCGCTATATGACATGGACGGCTATTCTTATCCAGGAAACAGAGCTTGATAGACGCTGTATTCGAACAATGTTTTGGAAGTGCTTCTTCCTTGATGATCTCGACAGCTACCTGCAGGGCTCTGGTAAAAAAAAGCGAGAATAGAAGGATGAAAGAGTAGGGTTGTGTGTTGTAGTCGGGGTTCTTGGATGTAGAGCAGGTAAGGCGCATTCTCCATGCCTTTATTGCAGCCTGGACGCCCCCAAAAGGATGAGAAGAACAGAAATAAGCTATCTGTGACGTGCCGCTGGCTTGTTGGCAGGGATTGTGAGTATTTATTGCAGATTCACGAGCATGACGAGTACCGTAATAACCACTTATGTTTGCGTAGGACTGGTCACACGATGATGGCGAAAAGAACAAAACGCGCTGGTGGTGAGGTGTACCTAAGTATTCTAGAATCGTCAAGCTGGGTATGGACGATGGGATGACTTGGCCGCACACCGGGAAAAGTATCTTCGTCAATGCACGTGCTAAGGGCGACATAGGCTGCAGTACTACGAAGAATAGCGAAACTGACTCGGAGGAGGCAGCCGCGCGCTGGAGACACGAAAGTGGGATGGACTAAGTTAGGCACAACGTTCCTTTTGTGAACACTGAGGTTACTACAACAAAAGCCGTTCAAAGCCATGCAACAGGGCACAGCTTGGTGAAGCAAAGACGAGTCTCGTTGGTAATGCTCGTTGACTGCAGTAACATTTGGGTGTGCGCTCGACAGTACACTGTGAGCTTCGTCAAACCCTGCTGGAGTGTCTAAGAACGGCCAGCCCTTCCATGTACTTGCTTTTCGCTGCAGCCTATCCATCGACATGCCACGCCTCGAGGGTCAGGTCAGTAATATAGGCACCATGGGTGGAGCTTGTTTGCCAGTTCACCCCGTCAACTGATCGTCGCGATATTCTCGTTCGCCACAAAGGCCTCGACCCGGCCAACTGCCAATGCTGGTTATAGTGCAGTAGCAGAAGTTGAACAGAACGTCTTAGACAGTTGGTTGCACGTGCGAGAAGGTCGGTTGCACCCATCTCTTGAGCTCTATGACTCATTATTATCATTATCGAACTCGACGGCGTTTGAACTTGGCGGTCCCAGATGAGCGCCGCCTCAATACCCGATCCAACGATTTCCCTGAGATGAGATCAGTGAAAGACAACAATGTTGCTTTTAATTGGTTCTAAATATTTGGCTGTTACAAATGCACAAATGGTAGTTAGCCAAAATGAGGGTGCCGGGGTATGGCATAAGCTTAGGTGTTTTCTCGAGTTCTTCTTTTCGCGCTATAGGTTCAGCACTATGAAAAAAAGTGATAATAGTAAGGCACTAATAACTCCGGTTCAGATGGCGCTCTTAAAGGAACCAGTCTCTATTTTCTATATCACCTTGTTTCTGGCTCACGGCTGTCCAAATGTGGGAAAGAGCGGGTAGCTGTTGTCCTGCATACGGCAGCTGGATTACAAAACACGCTGTAGCACGTAGTGCTCCCAATTTGTTGCTGTCCGCAGATTGGCGTACAGATCGTACTGGTCTGCGATCTTTCCCTAGATCGAGGACCTTCGTTCTACATGTGTGAGATGTAACTCAAGGCTTGTTTCTATAGCCAGGTCAACCACAGCGTGCTTAACGCGCGCTGCACGCTGTACAATCCTTCCGCAGAACACTGGCTTGTGGATTGCCCAGTCCAACATTCGGCAGGCTGTGCTGCAGTGCACGGTGCGACGGTATTATCCACACCAACTAAAAGCGTTTGTCTCTGTCGCTTCGCAAGTGTTATATTCGCTGGACGCAAAGCCCTATACTATAGTACAAAAGCGGTGTAAAAAACACCGCCGAAGTGTAGTTACGCAGTGTGCTAGGTAAACAGGGCTATTTACCTATTATATAGTAAAATTACCTAAAATTGCGGTGTTTTTTACCTAATGCCTAGTTCTATAGTAGGTACGTAGCTAGGTACCTCCTTTAGCTTATAGCCTACTACCTCTCCATTACCCCTCTTCTTGTCGTTATATCGCTCTCCTCTCTCTCTCTCCTCTCTCTTTCCTCACGCTCTCTCTCTCCACCCCCTACTGTCCCTCCCCCTACTGTCCCTCCCCCTACAGCTCCCTCTTCTCCTTTACACCCCCCCGCCTCCTCTTCCTCTAATAGATAGATAGATTTTAGACAGAATAATCAACCCGTGTAAAAAAACTGCTATGACGTGAAAAGACACTGCTTAAACAGGTAAAATACACCTCCGCTGTGGTGCTTTTGACGGACCTTCTTCTGTGAATTGTACCCATCAAAAGTGCAGTGTTTTTTACCCAATTTCATACCATAGTGCTAGTTTCTGGTGCATGAGTTAATAAGAGATGCTTTGGCCCGATAGAGCTCTGTCGCTTACGCGTGCGTTGAGGACATAAAGCGGTAGATGATACTTCAAGAGCCGAGGGTGGTGTGAGAGGGTAGTGGCTCGGTGAAGTGAAAAGAACCATCGGCAGAGGACGCCGCTTGACGCGCGATTTGGGCAGCGATTGCGGCGGACAATATAGCGTAAAAAAGGGCCGTACTAGTGGTGCGTATGTGATAGGCAGGTGGTATTAGTTTGAAGTGAGGACTACTGATCTGATCTCAGCGGTCGCGCAGATGCAGTTTTAGGTGTTGCGCAACCACCTTTCCAACAGCCTGCTAGTCAGTTCTCCGGATGAGCCTCGCTCTTGCACCGTACTGAAGAGAATAGGCGTGACCCATTGACAACACAAATGTGCAGCAGCATGGCTACGCCCATTATACGATATACACTAGAGAAAGGTAGAGTAAAAGCTGAATATGTAAAGAGAACTAGTTCACGGCATTTCATTGACGAACTCTGTGGTTCAATCAGCCCTGACTGGGCAGAGTGAGCGCTGAAATGCAGTGAATTCAGGGCGATGGAAGCGAGTAGTTGAAGTACGATACCTACGTGCAGGTAACATGCGCAGTATTGTTCTCACTGGTGGTCTCTTTAGAGTTGATTTCGACTGTTCCTCAGATGTGCGAGGCGGATATGGGAGCCTCCAAGAATTGAGACAAAACCAGAACAGGAACAGCTAAAATGGACCAAATGAGAACGCTTTTAGGTGGCTGGCCTTTCAGATACTCACGCTGTGTTGTATGGACATCTGAGACACGCACATTTCGAGAGGCAGGAAGGTCGAAGTCCGATTACAGGCCGCCCCAGCCACCCAGACCCACCATTTTCGCATGGCTCGACGCATCACAACCGTTGTATGACACCGCGTATCGAACATCACATGCGTGTGCGAGACCCGACCGCCGCGCGCGCACAACTACGACGGCAACCTTCGTCATCACTTGTGTACAATCGCCGCCCGCCATGCCGGAGTTCCATCTCTCGTGCATAATAGCGACTCGCCCGGCAGCGGTTAATCACTGCATCCATCCCGTATACAGGTGCTGCTCGCGCCCCAGCTCCGGAGCCTACCACATTCTCCGGTACGCCCTTGTACGAGAAGCGCACCCACCCCAGGCTTGTATGCTGTGTGTTACTTGGAGAGGAGGGGAACAAGTACTGTAAGTGCCCGTTCCGGTGGTTTGACACAACTGACCTTTGCAGAATATTGCTATCCCTTGACTACCTACAACCGACCGGTCTACAATCCCCGACGATGCTTCCCGATGGCTATCACGATAGACGTTCTCCTGCTGACACCTGACACTGGTCAGTGCAGCTCCTTGTTGCCGCCAATTGAATGCGGTCTCGACAACTTCGGCGGTTTTATGAGATGGCTGGGGCAGGACTGAGGGCGATATTGGTGGCGCAGGCCGCGGTCAGGGCAGCCAGAAGATATAGCGGCTGACACGCGCCATTGGGGGGGACACCACAGACGGTCATACTTAGGAACGAAGCGTGGATTGCACCGTACGGGCGCCACGCCAGCTTTGTGATAGTTTCGCTGCTATGCTTAGTTGACCCAGTACAATCTTAAACCCTTCAGCATTTGGCCGAGATCGTGTTCGGGACCGGCCTCAACCTTAATTGACGACAGTGAGCACTCATACGTGATACCCCGATCCAAACCATCAACTCTACTTGCGAGTTCCTTGCGACAAATCTGGCACAGAGTGAGGTTCCAGCAGCTTCATACCCAACGACGTCCTTCCCTTCGCCGTGTACTTGTACCGGCCTGTGTAGGCCGATCTCTTAGCCTCGTCGACGTTCTCATAAGCGAATCTTGGGTTTTGTCAGCATCGGTTCCGCGGGCGGATCAAAGTCGCATTAACAGCTTCGCCCACGGCTAGCGTTGGTTCCTGAGGAGATGGAGGCCTCTTCGCTGCGTACCTCTGTCTCTCAGACTTGCGTTCAATCTTCTACCTCAACAACCCCTTTCCAATCTACCTCCCCCGTTCTTGCGTCTTACCTGACGTGTGAACCTGATTACAGCAACGTGATTCACTTGATCTCGTTGCAAAAACCATGAACCGCGATCTAGTCCGGACCCTCCGTATCGCATGTGAGCTATCTGCAATTGGTGGCGGGCGTCTACAGCCAGTGGTGTCCGTGGTCGCGAGGCTGAAGCAACAGTCATCTAAATCATGCGCTAGGCAGTCATACAGCCACGCCACGGCTTTGCTCATGTCTACATACCTATCATTTGTTGACTTTCCTTTCCTAGTCCATCGAAAGTAGCAGCACGGTTGTTGCCGTAGTGAAAAAGGAATCTACTATGTCATCGCTCGCTCTCGCAATGTCCTGCCTCCATGCAAGTAACGCCAGGCATCCCGCCAATCATGCTTTCCGAAGATTTTTATGCGTAGTACAGAGCGCTTAACTCACACCAAAGCCAGTAACACGCACGAAGCCTAGCTCATTCAGAACCATCGCGAGTCTCCAAGAACCCATCCAAAGCTCCCCCACATATCCACAATCATTGGCGCCGGCCTTACCAACGGCCCCGTCCTCCTCGACCAATTCACTCCCGGCGCCGAATAGAGCGCACACTAACTGACCACCTTCGCGCTCGAAGCCTGCGCTGCCCTCTCTGAAGTCGTGACTGACGCTCGCTCCGCGCATCGACTCGCAAACGTTATCGCGCAGTGCTACCACGCTGCAAAGCGCGCTGTCATGCGTGTGCTTAACTAGGCCATGGTCACGCGCGTTGCTCGTCTGGTCCACGCTGTATGCGGTGCTCGCGAGCTACGGGAAGCCCGACGGCAGTCTGCGCTCCAACGCGGGCGGCGGGTTCGACACAGCGCTATTTGAGCGGTGGTATGCGCAGTGGGAGCGGGAGGGGAGGCTCGAGAGCGCGGTGGATGCGCTGTGCTGCTTCGTTGAAGTGGATGCCGCGCTTGAGCGGTGGGCGTGCTACTAGGCTGGCGGGCTGTTGGGACGTGTTCGGTGCGGCATGTCACTCTTGAAGTCGCCTCGTCGCGCCCTCACGCTGTCGCCATGCTAAGTCGCGTCGACGGCCTACCGCCACGAAGCCGTCACGTGCTCCCCACGTCCTGCCACGTCCTGCCACGTCCTGCCACGTCCTGCCACCGAGGCCCTTGCCCCGCCGTCCGCACTCACAGAACCCAGTAGTCCCCTCGTCGCGCCTGCACGCGCTGCGTACTCGTATGTCTCGCCAGAGCCGAGCTGCCTTCTCTCCGTCCTCACGATGCGACACGCTCCACCGAGTGGAAGGAGACGGGGTCATCACACAGCGATGAGGCTGCGGAAAGGCGCGTACTGAGGAGAGGCGCCGCTTCAGATGGATCATTATTGCTGGCAGAATACAAGCCACGTCGTCGATATCGATACGCATCGTTGTAACGCCGGGACACTATTACAAGAACACGGTTGGCCGACTTCGGCACGCATGCACCAAGACGAACTTACCATCGATGAAGCCATGCCTCGCAACTCCAGCTAGACTTATCGTCCTCACGGATCACCAGTCTGCTCCAGATGAGCATCGATTTTGGAGCGCTGGCCGTGCAGTTGCTCTAGTTTGCAGTCCCAGGACACGACGTTGGCCCGACGTCCCACAAGCCACAGTACGCCGCTAGTCCAGATACAGCGCTGGTGCATATGGCACCGTGATTGTTTGCTACTCGTGCTGCACAGCTCAGCTCTCTCTTTCTCTCTCTCCTCAGAATGGCCGTGCGTCAGTGCGTGAGCTGCAGTGGGCATCCCCATCAACGTCTTTTGTGTGCCGCCCACATCTCATCTGTAAGTCACAAATGTTCCTTCTCACTCAAGCAGCGCTGTCAGGCCTCAGCAATTAGCAGAAACTGAGTCTTGCCTTCTAGAACCTACCCTGCTGGAGCGACGAGGCACTAATCATCGAACAGAATCACACTCCCGACCCTATTCATCGGACTTCTTGATCGACCCTCGGAGATGGGAGAAGAATCTCTGTCTCAAGACGCACACCCATGGACGCTCGCGAAGTGCAACACGCGAAGGCACCTATCTACGAGCTGGCAAACGACATCTGGTTCGAAGTCTGCGGGTACCTCTCGCGCGAAGAGAATGACACCCTCGCTCTTGTCAATAAGACGCTGCGCAAGGGATGATTCAATTCTACATTCCACCAAGTCGTCCTGAACGAGTCTAGTCGTCATTTATTTGGTCTCTTCGCAAAGTTGGTCTTCAATGGACAAGACATGGAGCGAGGGCCAGATTGGCCGACGTGCGCAAGCGGATCGATCGATCTGGGCGAAGGGATAAGTACCGAATCCTTTCTGGCCCTTGCACACGAAGTGTTCCTTCCCATACGCAATAGAGGCCATCAAAATAGTGTTTAGCGATAGAACAGACATGTTTTCTGAGTGGAGGGGTATGCCCTCTGGTTCCGCGAACGAAAGAGGCGAGCTCTACGTAGCAATGATGGCGTTCATGGTTCTCACTGTACGTAACCTGAAAACGCTGATCTGCGGTGTACCACCGGCTGGATCTTTCAGCGTGCTGAGATTGGTCCTCACGAGTCCAACCTCATTTGCCATATTCCGCAAGATTACGGGTTCGGAGCTCGACATGCACTACTATGCCAAAGGGAGGACCGTCAGCATAACTCTGGCAAAAACAACGGTCAACATGAAGGTCGTCAATGTTATGGTTCGAAACCCCATTGATCTCAGCTTTAACTGCACACCCGGCAACGGTACGGCACAAGACCCCTTTGGCTCCACCATGGACACACACCCCGAAGAAGTTGATACAGGACAGCCATTGGTGCTACACCTAGAATCACTTGCGATTGAAGGATACTCATCCACAGGCCACCTAGACAAAGTTCTCAAACACGCCACATGTACTCAACTGAGAAATGTTGTTCTAATAGAACAAACGTACCGTACGCTGTTTGACAGCTTTGAGGAGTTCCCTACGCGAGTACAGCAGAAATGCCCCAGTTTAAGTTCCTTCAAGTGGGATGCCTCACGAGAGCCCACACGCCCGTCAGAATGTTGGACCCTTGAAGAACTCAAACCCCTCCAGCAAGTGCGTCATCTTTCCACACTCCGTCCGAAGCTCTCCCTACTTTGGGGGGAAGACCGGGCTCAATTCTTTGTCTCCATTGGCGGGGCTCTTTCCCAATTCCAATGTTTACGCGGTCGGGTGGAGTATGCGACAAATAGTATAGAGCAGATCTATCTGCATTCTGGCGCTGTGTCGTTACGTTCAATGAGGGTCATCATGGAAATGGACCAGCGGGATAGTCCTTCCATGACAGTTTGAAAAAGATACGCATTCAAGGACGTAGACTGCATGGTAGAGTGGTCACCGCCGCCTTGACTCTGAAAATCTACTATCGAGTCATGCACAGCACACAAGAGACGCGCATATTCATCGAAAACGTCGCTGACGATACCTTCTTAGGCCAAGAGCTCCATCGGGGATGACGGGAACGATCAGCAATACCTGATCAGCTTGTTCCCGACGAGAGGCTTGACTGGGAGCACATGAACGCAGGTAGCCATTACATAACGTGTCCATGCCAGGCCGAGATTCCCTAGCATACGCTGTTACTATCATTGTATCAACTCTCTGTTGTTGAAGTCTCACAGACATTGTCATGATCGCCACATCAGCGGTCTGCTAGTTCGGTCTTGTCAAGTCATAACAGTCATTTCAACAATTTTCCTCACACTTACATAGATACCTTGTCCGTATCAAGTAATCCGCATCGTTATCCCAAGTGCAATTACTACTGAGACCAACCTTTAAAAGGTCATAATGAGACGTGAACCCTAGGGTTGACATCTCTAGACAGAGCCTGCGCGGTAGCTCTGCTCACACCCACTGTGTGACCAGCTCTGTTGATGCTACCTCGAAACACCACTCGAACCCGGTTGTGCAGCCCAAACGTGGCACCAGCAGCACCTCGCGCCCCCGCCATCGAGGCTCTGCCTCTCCACGCAGCGCCCAGGACCCAAATCCCTCATACCCTTATAGCGCACGACGTACTGCCCGCCACAGCGTGATATCCGCCGCCCTGCCGACCGTGCCAAAGTTCGAGCTCGGGGTCCTGTCCGGTAAAGGCTGGGTATCGACCGCGAGGCACGACGGTGGAGGGCTGCGAGGCCGCGGCCGTGGGCGGGAGATGGGAGACGATGGTGAACAGTATGCGTCGCACTGCGAGTTTGGATACGCTGACTGGGTGCGCGGGGAAGTTGAGGGAGGCGTGTAAATGGGCTAGAGCAAGCGGTATGTGGCGGGTGTTGTGTGGGTCTGGTGCTGCACGGCTAGCGGCGAAGTTTGTTCGTGGCTGTAGGAGATGTAGGAAGACGTGCCGACGAGGGCGACTGTATCGATCCAGGAACTGGTGTGTAGACTTGATGCGCAGATCTCGAGGGAAAGGCTGGGCGGAGTGGCGAGACGAGGCTGGGGACCGCATCTATAACGCTTCGGCCGTGTTTGCGTCCAACCACTGGGATTGGCTATGTTTTGTTTAGCAGTCTCTCTGGCTTCGGAGGGTCTGGAACAGGATTCCTGATTCACTGCGTTGCGATGTCGGTCGAGTTTTCGCTGCCAATAGCCACCAGGTATCATCGGGCCTACTGGATACATTGGACGACACACACCCCACCCCACCTCTTGAAGTAGTGCCACGCTGCTTTCTCTAGGCAGCCTGAATATTGCCGAGCAAGCTCTGTATCGATTTTCATGAGACCAGATCTGACCTCCGGTGCGAGCGCCATTGGGATAGAACTTGACAGCATCCTGTGTTCAGTGCTAATATGGACTGAGTTGAGAGCAGTTCCAAAATGTTGTCGAAATACGCACTGATAATCAGCCGGCTGCCGGAACTAGTGTAGGGTTGGTAGCTTGGGGAATGCAGCAAGCGATATCCGCTCATCAAAGCGCTGTTCATGTAGCGAGAACGAGATTGACATGGGACGTCGAATTGAGACCAGGCAGGCAACTCGACCCTTGACACATTATTCTATCATCTTCGAATTTACGTACGCGGGACAGCAAGAAAGCGCCCGAACGGGGTTGCTCACGTTGAGTTGGTCAAAGACATATTGACGTTTGCTCATGGAAGTACATGATCCACGATGCATCCCCCAAGTGCTTGCTTGTGGTGACATGGCTGCTCAGTTGTAATATGTACAGCAAACGCTGACACGACCAACAAAATTGTTCCCAGCGACGACGCGCTTCCGCGCAGACCCTTGTGTTTGCCAGTGCAGATACACTGCTGGTCAATGTAGAATCGGAGGATCTCATAGATTCTCGCTCCGCCTGCTTGACGTTAGTATCCAGAGCCATCGGCGAAGACATCACACGTAGTTCTTCGTAAGCGAAGCTTTGTAGGTGTGTTGAAGGTCGCAAGGACGTAGGTTTAGGCAGCTTCATATGCCCGGAAAGGTACATGTTCCCACGTGTGAGCAGGGGTCTGAGACTTGATGGAGTATGTTAGGCTCAGGCGTTTTGATGCCGAGCAGGTGTAATACTCAGTTTACATGTGCGCGTTGTGGCATTGCGACGGACGCGAATTCAGTCAAGATCGATGTTTATGATACGTATCACTGCCTCACGCTGATTTGGCGAAGGCACAGTCATCGTCGTGAAGCTACCATTGCAAATTCCAGCGCAGCCACGAGCAGCGATTATAGTTGGAAATTCTGGATAGCGTAGTTATACGAACGGAATCTCTGGAGTCTTATCCAGGGATTGCCGTTGTTGCAACCCTTTGATTGTAGAAAGTTGGAGGAACAGTCGATGGTGGGTGTCCGTATTCTGGTATGGCGCCGGGGTACGAAAGCCAGTACATCGCTCCTTCCTATCGAATTTGACAACACAGCATTGATCCAGAGTCTTGGATGCAACGTGGGAGATCATGAACGTCTGCGCTGAAAAAGCTGTTGCCGTGGTACTTCCTAGAACCGCGATTATGACCTATGGAGAGGTGAGTGCGGGTGTAACGGGCAACATGACGGGTGGAGTCACTCGGCCTGAAGTAGTAGCGGCTTGACCTCTGGCCTCCTATGTCGTATAGTGGGACGAGTGCAGATTCGAGTACTGAAATCGCCACGGCATGCGTCGAGGACTTTTTTGCTGACCCTGCTTCTGCTCAAAAATAGGCCATATATCATCAGGTTGTAGTGTCTCAATGTCAGAGCGACTCGCGGCGCTCCTAAGCTGAGTATATCTCTCGGTGTTGCCAGTTGGGGTATGGAGACATGTTGCTTGGGCGTGCAATGAAGCCTTGTTGTCCTCTTCCACTCCTCACTATCTAACATTATCCAACGATAGCCGCACACAGTTGTCCTCGGTATTGGCAATACAGCGGACTGTGGTGTATCGGGTATCTCAATCGCGTCAGCAACGGCTCGTGGCAGGCGTCACATCGCATCGACGCTATGAAAGTGTGTCTGAGGCTCGGGGAGACTTGTGTGGGGGCAGTACATCCGCAATGCGGCGGTCTGGTGGTAGATATGGGCGGAACATGTGTAAGCCGTGGGGGCATGCGCGTGACGAGTCGATGCGTCAACGAGGCAGCGAACAGCTATAGAGATCGATGCGTATCGGGAGCTCGACGGCCATGGGCAGAGGTTGCGCCGCATTCTTCGACGTGGTAGCTACCCTTGGCTGTACTCCACGTCAACGAAGACGCCGCAGACCTAAATCGATGGGACAGCGTAGCAGCTCAGCTTATGATTAATGAACGGCGGCCGGCCGTGAACGATAGAAGTTGTTTGTCTCATCAGAGACTCAGAGATGGCAGAGAGCGGCGGCGGGTTAGGTCGACGGCGCGGACTATGTGCCGTTCAGTGCACGCGCAAGTCATTTTCATACAACATCTGGACCTGTTCGTATTGTTCCCTAGAATACCAGAACCGTTGCCATCTTTTGCGCCCGTTCCTAAACCTTATGATGACGTCATACCACTCATTGCCACCTCGGCAGACCCCGATCGCTCCTGTGCACTTCTAGATGCTAGTCGCCAGCCTCCAAAACTCCCGCCGACCGCCAGAACCAATCTCGAACATGGCCAACAGCGAGGTCCAAAGCATTTCCGCGCCAACTCAAGTTTCTCCGTCCTCAGGTCTGGCGAAGCTGTGGTTAAGCTGTGGCGAGGCACACGAAGCCGCACTAGTCTCTCCAGCCTTTGCGTGCAGTCTCAAGCAGATGTTGTGTGGTAGTGAAGATAGTTGAAATTTACGAACGTCTGGTTCAGCAACGTATTGCCTAGCCAGTATCCGAGAAGCTGTGCGCCTTTTTCCATCCGCAGTCCTGCCATCTTACATATGTTTGCCAGTCTTCGCGCCACACTTTCGTGCAGCGCCTTGACTGTGTTCACATTCTTCTGCCGGGGTCGTTCCTTTTCATTCACCATAACCTTGAATCAAATGGTTTACACTAATTCTCACATCGGCACATGCAACTTGTCTGTTCAGTCCCCTTGTTCTCGTCTGCATCGGATGCTGGCGACGACGAAAATGTTATCTCAAAGGCAGGCCACTGATATCAACGACTCTTTGCATAATTTCTTTGCCGAGAACTCGGAAGCACAGGTATACATACTCTCTTGCCTTCATAGATCCCTAAGTCATTGAATAACAAGGTCGAGGATCGCCCTGTTCGTCTATTTCTGTGCCGCACCATCAAGGCTTAAAGACTGTTCTTTGATTCAACTGTTCGCACTGTGAAATCGCAAGCTCGGCCATCCTTTGGATGGTTACAAAGATTCCATAGTCGCGACAGCTTTGGTGAAGATTTGCGACGCGTCTATGCACAGTCTGCGGTTGTTGCTGATGCTCAGGAAGCAAAGCGGACAGTGGAATCTTTTCTGTCAAGTGCCCACCCTTCTCTTGCTGTATCCTTGTTTGTAAGATTCCCATAACGCGCGCATATGGTTGTAAAGAGTCCCCAATTCAAACCACGTGCCACAATCCTGGGAAAGTGATTTCGAAAACGGCTCCAATGCCACCTGAGTATTTAAAGCCAGGCGCAGTTTTGTACTCGATCAGAAGGGTCCGAAAATATTGCGAACACGGAGATCAACCCACCAGACCTCCAAAAGAATGCTCGTGCACTTTACACTGTTGTAATCACAACTGTGCTGTTCTCAGCACTTGAATGATCAGAGAGATTTGCTCACGGACGTAAATAAGTTGACGCGCGGCCCTGAGCCAGTGAAGGTATCTACCCGCAACGCAGCCCACCTTTTGTGGTCACGAAGTCGGGCTCTGACTCGAACATCTCTCCACCCCACTAGGTATCGAGAATTTTCACGGGCCCACCCCTTCACCACCACTCTATCTTCGCTACAACACTAATTTACGAGGAAGTCACCCAGTTGATGATACAGGGAGTTCAAAAGATTGTGCGTGACATGGCAAGAGGGGCTTTGCAAACATCTACTGAGACTGCTGGAATCGATTGCAACGGCCAATCCAGTATCTTATCGCGCAACGAGAAAGGGAACACTGTTAAGAGAATAGCGGACGCCAGCTTCAGATTCGTTGACCAACGTATGGTGCCAATCCTAGTGCTCGGGGGTTGATTATCTCCAAGATGAGACAACCTTGTACTTGTCGATGGCGCAGTATATGGTCGCTTCCAAGGAAGAAGTGGGAACTATCATCGCTACCAAAGTAGGATGACAGAGTCCGGAGGAACGCAAGAAAAGAGAAGCAAGCCATGGTTCTTAAGTTATCCACCGGTGTGGTGGTAGATTCTTGGAATCGTGTGTTTCTGGATGGTAAGCTTCCGAATAGCGGATAGCTAGTCGCATTGTAAATAGATAGTGAGAACTACCTACAGAGATGAGACTAGCCCACTAAATCGCCTTCACACAAGTCTCTGTGAAGTCCCGCCGCAGGAGGTATCCTGACGAAAGTCCTCATCGTGGCTGGTCAGGAAGATGCGATAGAAAACGCACTTTCCGTGTGTCACTGTGGACTCTTATCAGCACCTCGGAATCCCGAAGATTCGAGATCCACGCATAGTCGGTCACATCGAAAGACCCGAGCTCAACAGCAAGATTGCACGCGTACGTGTCTATGACTGAAACGCAAGGGTCTGAAGACTCCGACGCAGACAGGCATCGTGCAGCGCACCATACGAACAGCCTCTGACGTCAGGCCTTCAGCAATGCGCGACTCTGATGCCATACCCCAGCATCAGAAGTACCCCAATGATGTCCTCAAGTTCGTATTCGTGTTTCCAAGTCGCTGGCAAGTGCCGAGAACCTGGCGGCTCGGCGGCTGTCTGGAAGAGGGCGCGTGTGGTGCACTTGGAGTCGACGCGGAGAAGGCGGTCTGTACAGTTGCGCAGCTGGGTTGGTTGAGCGGGAAACTGGGCAAAGTGAGGTAATTTTTTCGGATGCTGTAAGGCGCTTGGCCGGCATGGTCTGGCGGTGCGGGCGTGGCATCGGGCTGGCTCATATAGAAGTGGGACATGTGGAGTGGGACATAGGGCTTGGAAATCTGGCGTAAAGTATCAGCAGGGACAACAGCAGGAACTTCAGCGCCGACTTAAGCATGCCGTGTAGCATGAGATGTGTGGTTCGAATGGGCATTGTCCACCACGAGAGTTGTGATAGAGGAAATCGACACAATCACCGTGGCTCTGTGTGTTTGACCTGTTCTTTGCAGCCCGGAGAACAAAGTCGACAGCTTGAGCTATCCCTTTGAGTCCAAGCTAATGCACGATTATCCCAACCGTCCCCTCACCAGGACCCCAGATATAGTTTCTTGTCCTCCATGGCAATATTGCAATCCATGACTCAAAAAGGTACTCGCAAAGGCCACACTCTCAACGTAATTTCACGGTATGGACGGTCTCTTCAACACTCCGGCATGCCTGACGGCATCTGAGGACTTCGAACTTCTCAACGGTAGGGACAAAATTGGTTGCCTGAGGTTCCACCGGGAGACCGAAATTTGGCTTGAGCGTGGTGGCCGAAAGCTTAGAGTGAAGGACAAGAGAAGGTAAGCGCGATGTGGGAGACAGCCTGCGACTCGGATCCTCGCTCCATAGGCTTGAGCTGATCAGGACAGTTTAGCCGTTGCGAGTGAGCCAATACGAACGCGCCCAGCTGTCGGTACTGATTCAACCGCTAGCTCGCCGGCAGTTGCTTGAAGAAGTCTCTAATTCTTCCTTGCCTGTATCAGTCAGCCAGTCTAAACGATATCGCCTCAAGCTGCCAAGCCCGGCTCCACTGGTCCAAAGCAAGTATCGGATGAGGCGCGTATCCGGTAGCCTACCTTCTATAGGGTCTCAATGCGACGTATGCCGAAGCTCAGAGCGAATTGGTGTCTGCTATCGACGTGTGGTTTGGCATGTCTACACGTCGGGTTGTTGAGTGCGATGCTGCTGAGAACCCAAGATGGTTTTTTTGACGAAAACGAGGCTGGCTAGCGTGGCCAGGGTACGCTCCGCGTCCAATCAAATCAGCGGCCTTCAGCAGCTTCTCGAACGTTGGCTGTGATAATGCGTGTTATCGACCGACGCGCCTTCAGGGCTGCCGTAGCTTTCACCGATGCTACATAGAACCTTTCTGCCGTGCGTCGTAAGCCACCTGTAGTGCGTCACATGGCTCAATCCCGAGGAGAACGAGGCATGGTGCACGAGGCGACCGGCACATCAGCCCTAGACTTGGCGCTGGTAGATCCTTTGATCGCGCGTTGCCCTTTACGCCAGCTCCGTTCACTGAGCGCGTGCATCGATAAGCAATGGGTGCCAAGTTGCCCATCCACTCCGCCCGCACATTTTCATACAAACGTAAACTCTGTCGCTTTGTCACTTCCTCAAGTTGCAGTTCCAATATACTCCTGCTCTGAACACAAGCCGAGACCACACGCCGCAAGTCACACAGAGGCACATGTTGCAGCGAAAAGCCGCCGAAGAGACAAGACCTAGAAGGCATGAGTCAACCGTCGACACACACAAAGGGCGCAGGAACGACCCAAGAGCAAGAACACCGCGACGAGCCATTCTCTAGAGCCCTGGCGCATCTGAGAGCTGCATGACGGTTCCAAACAACATGTCCCAACCGCAACGATCGCGTTTGCTAACATTTGCCGGCTCACTTCCTAAATGGGACAGCGCCTGTCTCCGTTGAAGTTGACCATTTTCGTTCTCTCGCCCATGCGATTGGACAGCCACGAGCCATGCAGCTGTGCAACCACGACCGCGCGCTGTGACGTTATCGCCCTTCGACGCAGCGATACTATCACCGCAACAACGGCCTCGAGGTCGACAATGCACCAAAATAGCGCGCTTGGGGGCAGCATGCCGCATGAACTTGTATCGAGCGCTTGACTAAGCAGCGCGTATCTGCTATCGCCCGACACTTGCGCCTGCCCTTTGAGCCCGGGGCGCAGGCCTCAGCAGCCAAGACGAGAGGATACTGTAGACTGTTCTCCGTTCTGCGCGTCGGCCCTGTCGACGCAGGGGAAGGAGAGCATGTGCTGCCACAAGCTCTTCGGATGAGGCGACATGCCGTATGGAGTCTTTGCCACGGGGAGTATGCAAGCGCCGCGGAGGGAGCCGGGCTAACGGAAGCAGGGAAGAGTCAGGAAGGAGATGTATGTTATCGCGTCATGTCAAGCCATTGCGTTGAACGCTAAAACAGGCAGGGCTGCGTCGTGATACAAGCAATACTTCTGGCAGCTGACAGCGCATCAGAGATGCGGACAACTGAGCGGGAGAACTTGGACGTCAGGACTGTACCGCTGACGGAAGAGGCGCGGTCTGCCTTTCGCCATGATTTTTCGCTTGTACATATAGGGCGGTGTGTTCAGGTTGAGGATGACCGAGTGGAGCCAACACGGTTTACGTTTCTCCGTGAAGACAAAAACGTTGGTGTGAAGTAGAATGTTGCAATTGCGCATGCAGACAGACAAGCAAGTCCACGCGTCGTCAATCAAGTATATGAAAGGTGACCTGTATAGCGATTACCTTATTTGTGTCAATAAAACTCCGAGTCGCCTTGAATCAAGCTGGACATGGAGCTGCTGTACTTAGAGAGACCGCACTGTCTGTCCATTCATGCACACACTCCTGCAGTTATTCCCTGTCGAACACGGCGTCTCTGTGATCCAGCGCAAAAAAAATAGCAAAAGAAACACTACCTGCCTTAGGTCCTCGGTACCGGACGAACAGGGCGTCCCCTGTTCGTCCGGTACCGTGCCGTAGATATGAAGTGTCTGAAAACCCGCGGTTTTATCACGACTCGAACCGGCGACCCTCCACGAGGAAAGTGGAAGGGTTCGGTCGGCCGCTAGGCGGGTATTCCAGCCGGTCCTGGATTGATGGGAATACAACCGTTTAAGTAGATTATATAGAGCAGATTAATGGTTTAGGCGTGGTGAGTGATATAAGCTGCTGTTCCGGGCGTCTGATGTTTTGTTGCGGCTTTGAGAGATGGAGTTGCGAGCGCGGAGCTGCTTTCACCTTGATGACGTCGGCGGGTGGAGCGTTTGTAGCTGAGATGGCGCGTTTGCAGCTTATGGACCGTAGGGGAGATAGCTGATTGATCAAAGCGACCTGACCAACATACATATGCAGGCTTGAGCAGATACCCCACGGATTCAAGAGAAAGCAAATGAATCAGTCGAAACGAACCAGTGATGTAATCATCAGACCCGCATTTTTGCACAAGGACGCAAATCCTGATTAGGATGACTGCGTACATTGCAGCGTCGAGACCAGTTCAACACGCAAACTCCGCTAGACTCATGTTCACTCCACCCACGATCATCGTGCCGACTCTTTTAGCTTTGGCTGCTTGCACAGTGTGCATCTACGGTCGTTCATTTTCCTCTATCTATCCAAGCCATCGACATCTACTCTATCGATGTCTTTCACAAGTCGGGAGCAGGCGAAAATATGACTGCTCTGAATCAGATCACACGAGCTGATCCACTTCAAATTGAATTCTTCCTGTCCACTGCAGACGCCTTGTGACTTTCGTATAGCGGGATCTATTGAGCGTAATGTTGCAGCTATATGAAGTCATTGCGCTCAGTTCTCAGACCAGATCGTGATGTTGAGTGCAGTTATAAATCACATACCCAGTACAAGTAGTGCGCCGAAATTGTGTGACAGTCAACGCACCGTCCAGGTCGCGGACACGGGCAATACTGGCCGTGAATCGTATCAAGGATGCATTTTAGTGGACTGTATGATGATCACGGCCTTCCACGTTCAATGTTAAGCCGCTTGATTTGGATGTAGGTATTCTCTTGTATCGCAGGTACTGGAACATGACAGCAGATATAGGCACGGTGTCGGTTCGTAACAAAAGCAGACCTTTGTGGCTTTAGGGAAGCACGCATCAATCGCCGGTATAAAGCTTCCTTTTAGTCTCGTTCCTCTTTAACACCCAGGAGGAAAGGAGAAATATACACGTAACGCTGTCACAGAGTAGAAGAATGCCATAAACAGGTGTGAAAGGATCGATGCTGATTTCTAGGTTCTGATTTTACTATTAAGATTGGACACCCCTGGGGCGATCGAAATCACTGTGGTGTGGACAGGCTCCTACAGCCAACATCGCGCTGCGCCTTCAGCTGTCTTACCAAGAAACAGTATGACTTGCGGAACTATGACTGATGTTAACCGCCCACTGAGCGCGTCGGTGAGTGTGGGCAAGCAGGTTGCCTCAGTCAGCCTTTTGTCGCTGCTAACATAAAAGAGACTAACACTCAATAATCACACCTATTCAGCTCCCTTAAGCCCCCAGATGCTGTTAGATAGGTATGGTGAGCATGTAAAAGATGTGTAGATCAAAATACTGACCTCCATATTCGCTTGCCTTTTGTGCTATTCTTGGGATAACATTCTCGCAATTCATTACGCAGGTCGTTAGCACAGCCCAGGTGCAGGCGCCGGCTTCCAGGTGCACTGCGGTAGCTACTTTCCCGGCATCTATAAATAGACATTACCCCTCAATTAGCGTCAGTTAACTTTCTATATGGACAAGTTGCTTTAGACCCCTCCTGCGCTCTTGTTCCCTCTTTCTTCTACACGCCTGTACTATTACTAGCCATCTAAGTTGTAATGCCTACACTACAGTGTGCACTATTAATGGCGCCGCTAGAGGTTCGCAATGAGATCTATACCTTGCTTATACCAAGCCAATTTCACATGAGCCTCCAAGGGGATTCCTTCTGCTTAGCACGATGCATAGAGCCGCGTCAAGACAGGGACGATAAAAGCCGTCGACACTTTGTGTACGACCCACCAGACGCACTAATACGAGACGAGGATCACTACCGCATTCGTGCAGACGAAGTTTCTACTCCCCTGTGGGCGCTGCGTCTCGAGTCTACCTGGGGACCACATTGGAAATGCAAAGAGGCTGCTATAAACGGAAGTGTAGAGAGCCGATTTGGTGTTTCTCTTCTTCTCTTGTGCCGGAGAATGTACGTACATAACAGCTACCTGGAGCCTCTCTATACGTGTACTGACTCAAGTAGTCAATTCGAGGTGATAGACCTTCTATGCCGTACCGCCGAAGCCCATGTTACTGATATGGAGACCATCAACTACTTTCATAATCCTACACTCGTGCTGTCAACGATGCCCAGCATACTCCCGTCCTTGTTACAAAGAGTCACGCAACTGAACATCACGCTTCGGCTTCCACTGCCGTTCTTCCAGCGATTAGAGCGCCTGGAGGATGCTCCATCTCCAGATCCAGAACTAGAAAGCCTAGTTCAGGCCTGGCTAAGCCTTGGCTCTAGCCTGCGTCGCTTCCCAAATCTTCGAATAGTTCGGTTCTGGCTTGACCACGATAAACCGGACTGTTGGACGACTGTCAACGAACGAACTCTGCTTTCTCCTCTAGCTCGTCTGTTCCAAGCCCAAAAGATAGACGTCTCCTTTTCCTTGCCGCATCTCCATCCAAAGCGCGAACAAGAGAACCGTCAATTTATCCAGGGAGCTGATCTCCGTTTTGCTCTACACCGAAGGCTGCGACAAAGGTACTTCAGAAGCAGCTCCACCCAAGGGAAGGTAAGAATAATATTCAAAGCGACTTTCCCGTTCCTGGTAGATGCAATTGATCTTGTAGAAATGACCATGGCAGAGATTGAAGAAGAGGAACGGTCTATGTGGGAAGTCGGGTTAGATGTAGAGGACATGATCGCTGGTTTTTTACAGTTGCCAGCAAGCATGCTTGAGTAAATAGAGCCCTGGCCGCGCAATATGTTCATTGTAAGCAGCAATTGTACCTAAATGGCAATGCTAGAAGCCTTAACGATGAACAAGCGCCAGCTTTGCTAATCACTACCTGATGTGCTTCGATGGACAGAATGCCACCTTGTGACGTCACTAGCATATCCCCTCTTAAGTGCCTGCTGTGCCTCTCGCTTGCGGGTTTTGGTGCTTAACAACACTGTGCCGCCGGCTCAGCATACAGTGCTCCCAGTCGCACTATACGGTGTCGATGGCTGCTTTCATCCCTCGCTGTCTTGTTTGTCTCGGTCATTGTGCGGCGGTCGTTGCCAAATGGTCAAGGCCGGTTCAGAGGAAGTCAAAAAAGGGAGACTCTGCCACTGTCCTATCACATCTCATTCTGAATTAAAGAAACAACCTTCCGCAGCATGTACAAAACGACTTTCAACCACTTGTAAAAGTGCCTAACACACAAGCCTATCGAGAAGAAGTGTACTTTAGTCCCTGTTTGTGCAAAGTCCAACTGCTGCTAGAAGGGCCTGGCATGTAGGCGGACTGGCTGTCGTGCCAATTGTTGAATTTTTAGGCAATTGCCTTGCCTCTGTATACTTCTGGCAGCAGATGCATATAATACAACAACTACAGGCAGCGCCTCAAAAGTCTTGTCACGCTACGACTAGCAGCTCCTCCACCAAATCCAAGTTACGATTCGTGGCACGCCCAAGCAGAAATTTTCCATTAGACTGCACCGTACGGCGCCTCCTACATCCGCCAAAGTGTAGTCAATCTGTCAAATACCTGTTGGGCCAGGTCAGCGACTTGAACGTGGTGGGGAGAGGGGATACTGCTGCAGCTTCGACAATTGATTCTACATTCCATTCCGTCTAGACCGCAAATCTGCAAGGCGGTTCACCTTCGACCCTGGAGCGTGCTTGGCTGCTACCACTGCAATCAGTCTTACCAAATCAGGAAGCTCCCTCCGCTAGAGCACTGACCATGGCGGGATTTGAGAGGCAGCAGTAGCTGCTACTCGTGGCTAAGCCCATGGTACAGCACTTTCAATAATAAATATTTGAGAGATGCGGCTATAGGCTACAGGAACCGAGCAGGCCCAGGGCCAACAGTACAAGATAAACAATCAATGGCTGGAAACCTCACAGCTCTGCCGCCTGTGCCTACGGAAGAAGGCAAGTGACGTGTAGCAGAGACACAGCCGTAGCAGGCAGAATGTAGAGTTCAGATCGGCGAGCAACCACATGCACGCTCAGACGTAGGATATGGGCGCACACAGCTGCGCGTCGACATTGGGACCGTAACGATCGGAACCTGAATGATTAAGTTGTGCTTCTGGAGTACGACACGATCTGCAGATGGGCGGGAGACTGCTTCGAGGAACCTGGGGGAACAAACTGCATCTCGATTGGCCTGATGAGCGTAGGCGCTCCACCTCGCCTTGCATACCTAGCGTCAGAGACTAGCGACTTCGATCCTGCTACTGTGATTGGATCGTAGTCATCGCAGAAGAGACCTGTCATAACTCATCACGGATATTTTGTTAACGCGTATTGTAGACAATGCCACGGATGAGATTCCCGCACTCAAATTCGCGGATCGAGCAGCTGCGGGTTGGTTGTCCCGTAAGGTGATTGGAGTGTTGACAGGGTATCGTTAGCAGCCTGATGGGCAGACTACTGGCGGCGCGCAACCTCCAACCAGCCCGCGACCTTCGGCCAGCAAGCGGGCTCCGATCGGCCAGCTACACTCAGCCACACCGCAACATCTGATCCGCTCAGACCTGCGATCGCGTGGAGTATCCCATACCATGTATTTATACCAGTGACGACAGCAGCCGCACGCCACAGGCCGACCTCGCCCCTGCCAAGAGAGGCACCAGGACAGCGCTTCCACACAAGTGCCCACTATCTGACAATATTTGTAGCGAAACACATAGCTCAAGGACTGGCCACCATATCGATCCACATCATGAGCCACATTTTGATGAACTCGTCTACGAGTTCGACGAACAGCGATGGATACAATCACAATCGACAAACTCTCTAGCGCCGAAAATACGCGTTCATTCTTCATACGTCAACTCAAACGCGCCAGTGGCGTAGCAGCCCCCACAACCTCCTACTCCTACTATTCTCTACTCATGTGATCAGGCAATCTCAGCACCTTGGGGAGTACTCGCCATCTGACTCCGACCATCCGTGAGAGCGATAAACATAGGACTCACTGTCAACACTGCAGCACCAAAATGATATCATGACGCGGATACTAGCCTATGACGTACAAGATTGTGGCACAGTGCTCCAAACCTGGTCATTTACGCGCAACTCGGTCATTCTGTGGAACAAAGTGTATTTTAGCTACTTTGTCTCTTAAGGGCCCCCAGTTGGACGTTGTATCGATGATACTTACCTCAAGGGCCATTTATCGCCATGTCTCGTTCATGCTGAAAGTGCTGAAAAAGCTTCACACTGACTGGACTGTCGTACCAAGTCTATCTTGGAAGGACGTTTTTGGAGCGCAAACACTCTAAAGCATCACAATAGCTCTCATTAAGCCCTTGTTGTACGCTTCCGAGACTAAGAAGCACAACTGGAGTCCGCACGTTGTGCAAGGGCAGTGCATCTCTACATCGACTTAGTTACCCAGGGTAAGTCTGTCAAGCCTTTCCTCGAGTTTCTCAACGCGATCAAATGAGTTGTCGCATTTTCTATCTTCTATAGGGCCAATTTCGCTGCACTGAGATTCTAGTTTATAGTTGACCTTGTGGGCATGTACACTACGGCACATAAGAGTGTCCTTCACGCCTAACTTGCATCTCCCTCTACCTCGTACATGTCTCTTGCGCACTTTCAGGTTAGGCCAAGATAAAATGAGTAGAGAGGTCACCTTGAGATGAACCGGTGCAGACAGTAGTGCTGCTTCTCCCTGCTTTCATTTATTGCACAAGTAGTGTGTACGGCTGCCGAACATCTTTAAGCTGGAGCACGTTGGTGGCGCACTCCACTAGTCACTTCCCCATGCAAGACACCCACCCGCCTATTACAAATCTTGCGGTTAGTGATATTGTCAGAGCGCTAGACGTTTTGACGTGAATTCATTGTTTAGCAGCACGAGGCAGGTTATGCGTGTGAGCTTGGTTTGGGCACAACACCGTGTGGTGATTCGTTATCTGCGCTAGCTATTTTAAGTTCATCGCGGGCACGGAAACGTCGGGATCCGTTAGCTCGCCGAATAAGGGTTAGCTCATCACACACAGCCGAAGTGCGGGGCGGGATGTGGGGTCTGACTTTCGCCACGAAGTACAGCTTGTTCCCACCTCTTCAATAGAGCCGGACATTCCCTTTCTTCGTCAAATTGATTACGATCTCGCTTGATACCATAGGAGAATTCAGGGGTCTGCTGAACTAGTCCCAAAGTATGACGGCGAGCAACATTCAGCAAAAAGTCATCTCAATGAGTCCAACCAAACTGTGGTCATGTAAAACGGATGTTGACATGTTGCAAACATGAAGTGACTTCTCTCAGATGATAAGGACCAATGCAGTCGACTGATTTTCGCCTCTCTGGGCAGTCTTTCATACGACTGCATCATGCTTTTTCCTGTGTACAATAGCGGGCAGCGCATCTAGTGCAACGCCTTAGCTTCTCCCCACATTCCGACTGAGTATATAGATCTCCCAGGACTCTCGAAATCGAATGCCGGCTACATTAATAGGCGGTATACAATCCTGTTTTCGGGTCATCATCGATCCACAATGCCGTCGGTTCATCTGGTAGCGGCGATACTGTTGGCCATTGTCGGCTACATGGTCAAGGTGAGCACCGACGACAAGTCTCGCCTCCATTAATGTTAATATGGCTTAGATCTTGCTGGCTGCTCAGCGATCGTCTCTTTCCAAACTGCCTGGCACGTGGCATTCCAGATACACCGACCTCGTTTTGCGTTTCTACACTCTATCAGGTCGCCGAATCTTCTACGTGGACGGTCTACATCAAACATATGGCGACGTCATCCGAATTACCCCTGACCAAGTAGCTGTCGCAGACATTGTTGGCGTGTCGCAGATTCACAAAATTGGCTCTGGGTTCCTGAAGTCGAACTTCTACATGGATCTCACTCCTACGCGCGAGCCTGGCATCTTTGCCATGCAGAATGCTCATGATCACGCTGCACGACGGAAGCTTTTCGCCCGAGCATTCAGTAACTCTGCATTGAAAACAAACTGGGAAGCCGAGATCAGGCGCAAGACTACTCTTGCTGTTAGTCGAATCAAGGATGACGCGACGCAACGAGGAAAGGGAGCTGATGTGCTAAAATGGTGGACGTTAATGGCCACGGATGTGATCACCCATCTGAGCTTCGGTGATAGCTTTGGTATGCTCGAGCAAGGCAAAGTAGGTATCCGACCCCCGCATTTCAAAGTCTGAATCTGATATCCGTTATCAGCAAACGTCCTACATTGATGCACTTCAGGCAGCCCTGCTTGGTGGTGTACTTCGCGCTGAGTTTCCGCTCATGTATACCATTCTTCGATTCATTCCTCTGAAAGGAGTACAGAGAATGGTCACCGCTGACGATATGGTATACGAGCACGGCGCTGTCGCTATCCATAACATGCGCGATGGTCAGGGCAATAACATGAACCTGTTTGGTCAAATGCTGGCCGCGAGTGATGATTACGAGAAAGTCGGGCTCACAGACAAGGCAGTGAGAGAGGAAGCTGGAAACCTTATTGTAGCCGGGTCAGATACCACCGCTGTGACTCTTACATACCTAGTCTACGCCGTTCTCAAAGATCCAGAACTGCAAGCTCGCTTGGAACAAGAGGTAGTCGGGCTCAGCGATCAGCTGAACATGACCGAGCTGGAAAGCGCACCTGTGCTCAACAGTGTGATCGAGGAGACCTTGAGGCTATACGGAGCTGCGCCTGGAGCCCTACCGCGCATCGTACCAAGTCAAGGTTTCGACGTTGCTGGCTATCGAATTCCCCCTGGGATAGAGGTCAGCACACAAGCTTACACACTCCATCGGGACCCCAGAATCTTCCAGGAGCCGCTCCGGTAAGTTGAGATCTGTCTTATGCTCGGAAGTACCCTATCTAATGTGACTTGATAGCTTCGACAGCAATCGTTTTATGGACAAATCGAAGCTTTCTACACAACAGAAGGCTGCATATATGCCTTTCGGAGCCGGGTCGCGAACATGCCTTGGTATTCATCTCGCGTACTTGGAGCTCCGTCTCGCAACAGCCATGTTTTTCAGGGACTGCCGTGGAGCAAGATTGAGCGATTGTATGCGGGACGAGATGATGGAGATGGACAATCGCTTCTTAATCGCCCCAAAGGGTCATTGCTGCTACGTGACCTTTTGTAAATCTTAGTAGGATCTGCCTAGAAAATTTAAGACCCGTATGTCCTGAGACTAGCTTTCCCGACACATTGGCGGAAGTTCAGCGCAATACAAAAACCAAAGCTTTTAGCAGAGATCGAAAGTTCGCAGGGCACATTGATGCGTAATGCAAGGCCTTCTATGGTAATTACAACTAGCAGATAGCTTATGCGGAAAAGAATCTGAACTACTTGACGACATCTCTGGTTCACGTCTGCATAGTGAACGCCAATCTCCCGATCTGGAGCACCCATAAGCGAATCTACAATGCTTTGACCGCAGAAGTGTTGCTTACATGTGTACCGCTCTGATTGCAGCAGCTTCTGTGTACTAGCGAAGTAGAAGGTCTTGATCGGTGCACGTAGATTGAAGCTCTGCAACCTATTGTACTCTGTAGATCTGGCTTCACGTTCCGCTACTTTCGAGACACTTGCAGAGATTCGTGCGCCTTGTGCAATGTGACCGGGGATGAAACATGCGCTGGCAAGCTCCAGAAAGATCAGAAAGCAAGGCCCTTGGCAGTTAACCTGTCAAGGTGGACAACGTCCAAAGCGGCCAAGACACTACAATGACCGGCATAGACAGAATGCTTAGTGTCAACAATTTAGCCGACTTGAGGTGGCTTTCAACCGGCGTTCCGCCAAGACGGCTAGCCAAGAACAGCAGCAGTGTGTCTCTGCGGGTGACATGAGCCCTCGCCATGCCGAGTTGCATGTAGACCCGGAGCCACTGACTGGCAACACAAGACTTGGCTGGGCTAGTAACTCAGGCTCCGCTTCTTCAAAACCAACCATCAAAAAACACTACAAGGTCGGCAACAACTGCGACAGTAATGGTGGCGGTTTGCATGGCGATGGCAATACGGTAGCACCCAGCCTCGCAAAGAGAGAATTGCCGCTCTCGTACTCATGATAGACTCTTGAGGTTCTAGAGGGCGTCTACAATCTTGCGAGTTGTGTGCGCCATGTTTCAAATGACTGATGATCACTCTTGTATCTAGTAAAGATTCAAAGTTGAGATGTGGTGATGAAGATGTGGCATGTGAATTCTGGGCGCTACTCACGACGCTCATCCAGGTTTATACAGAAATTTTCCTGAGCTCCAGACGATGCAATATCAGACCCCAACCCAAGTGAAGTTAAAGCAAGTCCTCACCCTCCTGCCCCAGGTTTGAACCCAGAGAGGGACGCTTTCTGGTTCGTTCCCCAATTCGCGGGGCTGCTTCTCGTATCCCCGGATCCTCACAGACGGTGAGCTCCTGTGTCGTTCCTGCCGTCGTCTCTTTGCCTCGCTTCTTGACTACGCGGTAATGTGCGGTTCGTTAGAGAGTGTGCGCGTGAATCGATCGGGAAGTTTGTGCTCGAGTGCGGGGAAGGTTTCCAACGGCAGGGCAAGCTCCTGTGACGTGGTACGGTCCTCGTGCCTGATCGACAGATATTGATGGCGGAGGTGTAGCCCAATCGGTCGCATTGGAGGGGACAGTCGCGCTTACAGAAGTGCAGTTCGTGGTGTTGTTGACGCGTCAGCGCGTGTCTCGGCCCACAACAGAAGTCGGTCAATGCTCGGGGTCGTCCTCAACACCAAGAGTCGCATCACTACTCACATGCGCAAGTAGAAATCAACGCTCGGCAGACCCCAGAATCTGTCGCGTTGCAGAGTCGTGCGCATCTGAAGCCCATCTCGACGAGATCGACTATAACGCGTTGCCGAATATGCCACATGTCTGCCGCTATTAAAACAGGTGATGCTCCCCTCAATGTTGCTTACAAACGCGCCTTCCTTCACTGAACCCAAGGGGTTGACTGCATCAACAACACCGAAGATCAACCACCACTATTCCCCTCACCTCCCCACTTCACGCAGCATGCCATGACAACAGACACGCCGGTCAACGCCCTCACGCGTGAGCTCGCGCAATACCTCGAGAGCGCTGACGTCAAAGGCACGTCCATAACAGCGCAGCGAAAGCGCTGCAAGGAGATTTTCCAGCGACTGGAACCCTTGCGCGCCACAGCCCTCTCGGCCGAGATCGAAAGTCTTTACAACGTCGGCGCATGGTATCAGTTGTTCGGCTATCCTCCCAAGTTTCCATCCTGGGCGGACCCCAACGACGCCAGAGTCTTCGCCGGCAGTCGCCTCGTCTCCGCTCTTACCAGCTTGAAGAAAGAGTGGAAGCAGATCGACACCGTCCCAAAGGTATGCCACTCACGATCGACATATGACCATGCACTGACTCTGCCAGATACGTGCAGCCGCGCGTGACGAGATTCCACTCCCCACTTGGCCGGGCCGCGACTTTTTGGACAAGCTCGTCAAAATTGCCGGCGCTGGTGCTGCAGGCTACCCACTTGACACTTTCCTACAAGAGTTTCCCCGCTTCCTGCATACCAAGATTGGGGTGACACACAAGCCGCAGTACTTCAGAAAAGAGAGCCGTCGCTGCGTTCTCTGCCCAGAGCTCAACGAGTTCTACGATAACATTGTCCAGCCGTGGATCATTGGTCTCGCGAACCCAACGACATCTTCACGAAAGCGGCGAAAGGCCGATGTGGTCGGCCGATCGATCGATACCAGCTTACAGGCAGGAGACGAGCCACCCGAACCCGAGGCCTTTCTTTGGTCCAACGAACATGAACACGAACTGGGGCAGACGATCCTCGAGTCAAGTCCAGGTCTCCAAAATACAGAGTCCATCCAGCAGTCCTCCAGGTCCCGTCCACAGCACAGTGATCAAGAGTCTACCGAGCACGAAACACAGATCGAAGATCCCGAATTAGAGATAACAATCGATCACTCGCTCCTTGACGACGACTCGGGCCAGCAAATCTCCGACGACTACGACGACCAGATTGGAGTTCAGCTTGAAGCGCAGCAGTCAATACCCAAAGACCACACCAGCAAGGCTCCTCGCAGAGCTAATGGCGCGAAGGCAACTCAAGACGAGAGAGCTCAGAAGGAAGTCGAGGGGGCGTTCGATGTCCTGCTGGAGCTTGATGATGACACTCAATATGGCGCACGATGGTTGGTCGACAATACCAAGCTTCGCATATCACTTCGAAGGCAGATCGAAATCGCAAAGGTATCTGTGGATGCTGCAGCCGATGACTTTGCCAAGACGGGCAGCGAGATTGCCTCCAGACTACCTCCCAATACAAACCTGTCGCAGTCCATTGCGAACACCGAAGCCCGGCTTGCCAAGTTCACAGCTAACGAGGTCCGGTTACTCGAGCAACAGAAGCTGTTGCAGGCGCTTGCTGATGACATGGACGATGACGACATGTGCATCCTCAACACTCGCACGGTAGTTAATCAAGACGCTTTGGTCGCACGGAAAACAGGGATCGAGCACGAGATTGCACTGCTGAAGGGGTGGGAAGCTCAGCTGAACGAGCAGTACAAGTCGCAAGAAAAGAAGAAAAAAGACCTAGAAGAGCTTCAGGTCAGACTCGATGAGCGCAATGAGTCCCTGGAGACCATGGCCCTGTTGTTTCGCTTGGCGACGCAGCCTTCATCATGTGGGGCATTTGAGGTATATGTAGCAGCAAAAGAGACAAAATAAGAAGTATAATATCCGAGGTATTCATTACACGCCGTGCCTCGATAGATGCTTTCTGTGGCACTCCGCTCCAACATTACTGTGATCCTAGACACCAGGGGCTACCTGTCGACCCAACGCAAATTGGCATTGTTGTACAATCATGATTTTACCTTTTTTACTTACTGCTACTTCTAATGTAACCACGACAGTCTGATAGATGCTGACAAGATTAGTTGTACACAGCTACGTCATGCTCAGGTCATACGCAGATCGGCTTTTGCAGTCTTCACGAGCACAGCGCGTGAAACACAGCCGATGCATCGTCCCGCACGGGTTGTGCCTGCACGGGGACTGCACTCCAATCTTGTGCATAGAGCGGGGTCTGAAAGGCAAGCACCACCAGCACGTGCACCGGCAGCTTCATTGCAGGCTGTACACCTGAGACCTCACGGGTAAAAGCGTATAACTGCAATAATGTACGACCAACAAGCCCCCCGGTATGAGATTGGTTCCACTCTGTAATGTCTAGTATGACAAGATCTCATCGTATGACACTTTCTTTCCTCCAGACGGGTCATCTGAGCAAGAGCTAAAGCCGTGTCACAATGCTCGACCCGCCTGGAACGACGAGCAGGATAGCTATAATGATGAAATTGCACGCCAATCTTTGCTGATTCATGCTCAAACCTTGAATGCGCTGCAAGATAATATTCTGTGTTGTCTGAGCGTCTTTCACATGTCTATGTAAGGTCTGAGGATCTTGACCGCCTCGTCAAGATCATTGTGACTTTCTGGGCTGTGAGGAACCTATGAGTCTCTCAAGCCAGATACCATCGAGCCTTGGGGGATCGCTCTGTCGCTGATCAACGGCCATCTCAGTACCCACAGGATAGAACGCACCATATGGTTGCCGTCACAACCAGTTCCGTTCTCAGACTGGTCATCGGCTTCGCCGTGGGTGCAACTCGACCTTTTCAGTCGCTGCAATCGTATCTCTGCTACCCGTCCTCTCCGGCGTGACACGCTTACGATTTGCGGGGGCCCTGACTGCTGCATAGTTGCTGATCGATTGGTGGGAGCGCAGAATATGAATGACAAGAGTAAAGAAGAATTTGAATTGCGACTGAGCAGTTTGTTTGCGTGTTAGCTTTGTCAAGTAGGTCCATGTAACACAAGGGTACCACCATAAGCGATTCACAGATTTACGCGAAAATCATGCACGGCATTCAGGGAAGGCATGTAGATCGCTAGTGGGGATTCACCCTCAAGCTTTCGAGCGTTAGGTACACACTCAATGAATCTCACAAAGACGGCAATACACTCACGTCGTGCAAACTCTTCACTCCAGTGGCGATTTTCCTGAACTGTTCGTATCCTTATAGCAAGCCGTTGTTTAAGGAGGCCAGCCCTACTAGCAGCGACAAAATGACAAAAACGCGACAAGGAAGATGACTACTGCCAACTGGAAACGACAGTATCGCGACTCCCTAGTCCCTCCAGTGATCTCAATAGCCCGATCTTCTATACAGTCTGGGGCTTGCACATCGCCAAAGCCATCATAGCTTTCCTTAGCACGGTTTTGCTTCTTACGGTGACACTCTCCAAACCAGAGATTTGGAAGGCTAGCGTCAATTGCAATGACTCCCTTGTGCCTCGGAACGCCGCTTTAGCTAAATATACAGTCAACATCCAGATCGATACATCTCTCGGAGCTCAAATGAAAGAACCGAGAGATAGCACATTAAGGCTGCGAGGTGGGCATAAAGATGATGCCGCACCAGGTAGTCGTCTCGTGTATGGCTAATACAGCCTGCCTTTCCCGTTCTCTCCGGACTGGCTCGCTCGACTGTGAGTAAGGAGGACGTCAGCTTGCAAGCTGGTTCTGTAGACAAGCTGCTTTTTTCAGACCATCTCTCGGCAATGTGAGTTGATCGAACGGGGATCCAGCACTGGCGCGCTGAACATACCCGAGATCTTGACGTCATAGACAAGATCATGTCACATGCAACGACCCATTGAAAAATACACTGTGACTAGTGGATACTGAAAAGCGGTGAGACACAACTAAACTTAACACTCATGCCTAATGCATTCTGCGCTCTCGCCTAGGAATTGATCAGACTAATTTATTCACATGTTTCCACGTCAACAGCACTATACACAACCTCTGAGCTGCCACCGGGTGCTTCTCCCAGGCTCCATTCGTTTTTTTTGCGCACGTCCTTCTCACTTCTGTAGGCTATGTCTGTGAGATTAGACGGGTCAGGATCCCCTCTCGAATTCTTCTTTTCACATGTTTCGTGAGAACATCCAAGCTGGATGGGACGATCTTTGTCGAACTCGATCAGATACTCGTCTCGACAGGCCGATAGTAACCTCTGAGTGAATAGACGTGACGCGTTCTGCGGGTCGCACGCGCAACAGCGAACGCAGCGGGTCACTATCTTTGAACTAATCGATATGGCATCATCAATAACCTGAATACCTTGTTGGGAATTGCCGGACTATATTAGTTCGTGTGAAGCACTGCAGGCGTTGTTAGATCTGCTCAACCACCCTGTACATTTGACTGAGCACGTCCATCAAAATTGTACCCGTCCGTGACTTGCTTGTTTGGACGAACTCGCCATGAAATCTTTTAGAGAAGACTCAGATGGACTGTCGATATTGATGAGGTCATAGGGCTGCTACAACTTCAAATCCGGCCACGAACTATCTGTCAGTCCAGATCCGAACTACGTACCTCTTCTGTATCGACCACTGCGCGACGACCAATTCTCCCTCCGCGTTGGCACACCAGTTATCTTGACTTCGATTCGCGACCCGATGTCCAACACCACGTTCCCCTCGTCACTCTCATGTATGCACAGGGACCCCTTGCACGGGATTGAAACGCATCTCCAATGCGTCTCGTTGCCACCTGCATGAGCTGAGATGTGTCGCGGTACTAAATAGCAGAAGTTACATCCAGGAGATGCAGATCAAACTACATGCTGCGTCTCCAGACCTGAATCCAGATGATAGCACACTCGTAATCCTGACGAAGGCTTACTCATGTGGGCTCCGACTGCGACTTTTCCAACATTACTGGAGGATGTCTTGTTCCGCGAGTGCGATTTCACGGCATCATTTTCGTACCAATTTACTGTAGACTGGCGTTAGTTCCTCTCTTGATGCCTGCTCTAGCGCGTGCTGCTGACGCTAAAAAACCAGGATCTGATTTCTGAACATCTGTCCAGGGGATCGAAATGGAAATGTGGTTTTGTCGTCGATTCAGCAGAGATTTGCGCAGGAACACTCGATTTCTAGGTCTTGACCTTGCCAGAGCCTTGCCTGCATATGCCCGCGGGGAGGCTTGACACTCAACTATGCCGTGAAGCTGTTGTCGACAATTATCGCACAACTGTGATTCACTGTCAATCTCTTGCCAGTCCCATAATCATCTGTCAGGAGCCATCAATGTATATTATGCACTCAGCAGTATGCGGTACACATCGTCACGCCAACGCCTTCTCAGCAAGCTGTCCCGTCACGATGCAACGGGGCGTTGTACGCCTACTACCCCGCGCGAGAAAACGCCTCGCGAACGTCTCAGTCCAGCGTCCAATAACCCATATTGGAGAGTCGGCGGGGTTCAACTCTCGCTATCCCGTCAGCGTCGGAGAAACTGCCTCTGCTTAGAAGCGCGACCATACGCCTTTCGGCCACCACTGTATCTGGGTCCTGGTCGGCACAACCCGAGATTCCGACTCGCAGCCGCACTGAGAGCGGCAAAGTCGCGCGCGGATCGCCGACTCTAGCGGCTAACTTCTTGTCTCCGAGTGGCAGGGGGCGACGAAACAGTCTGATTAGTTTTTTATGCGACGTCCGCGTACTCATGTTACTGACGCGCGAAGGCCGTGTCCAGCGTTGTCGCCAGCCCGACATACCCAGCCGGTGACGTGGAATCTTCCAAGAGTGTGGGTGTCGCGCAATGGCAACTGGCCCACTGATTTTCGAGACGTGTTTGACATGAAAGGGAATCAAAATCGCAACGCGACGTTGCTGACGTGGCGATAGCAGTGATTCCGCAAAATCATCAGTGCAGTGGTTCCACTGACGGTGTTGTGGAAACACTCGTTTGTCGTCTGACGGGCTGGCGAGTCTTAAAGTGATCTTGAAAGTGCGATTGGTGAGTGTGAAATGCGTGGTCCATCGTTATTTCATCCGAACCTTGGCTGGCGCCTGGGCGAGCGATATATCGAAGAGGGTCGCACAAGTGTGGCTCTCAAGTAGGACACGGAGTGCTACGTACGTATTGAGCATAGTGATGATAGTGCGGCTGCGTGCTAGGGGTTGGCTTAGGTGCTTTCGCAACAGAAGAGCGTGGCGGTTGGAACGATACTGGAGCATTGCAGGCTCTCTTCTATGTTGGCCGTGATCTGTACGTCTCTTATCTTCTCATACGTCTGCACACGTTTATGTCGAACCAGCAGGTCTACTGCTTGTCATTCACGGCCATAAAACGCGGTCATGCTGCAATCAATCTACCAGGCCATCACACTTGTAAGGTTATCCTCCAATGGCGCAATATTTTGAGCGCCCACTCTCTTGATTGTGACCGCCCTGCTGAAGCCACTCCAGCGTGTCCCAGGCCGCTGTTAGAGTGTACTGACGGCTGTGAGTCAAATTCAGCAAAAGAAATCCCACTGAGAGTGCACGACAAAGCTCGCCCGTTGGAGCGATTTGCTCAAAATCCGAACACCGGATTACAACTCCCACATCAACACCGGCGTCTCTATGACCCGCTACGCCGGTATATCAGCCCTGCCGCGTAGCTGGCACAGGTACCAGATTAATGCTTTATGCAGTAAGTTGATCCACACCCTGCCGCCAAATTCAACCTCGCCTAGTCTGACGCCGATGTACCGCAACCGCAACTTTCCTTCCCCTACCTCCGTTTATGCCAGCTTCCCTCACCTTGCTTTTTCACCCGATCAACCATGTCCACGACCCTCGACCTCCTCGCCCCGCCCTCGCCAACCACCGAAACATAATACACCGGTTTCATCACCGCCCTCACCTCAACCGCGCCGTCAGACGCAGCCATTTGCGCCGCATTCGCCGCATACGTGCACATCGACACGTGGGTCCGCAGCGCACAGGCAGAACGCTCGCACGTTACGGTGGCGGCAGGGATCGCGCTAGGCGCTCGCGCAAGCGAGGCGCAGATCGAAGGCATGCTGAAGGGGATGTGGGAACAGCGCGAGGCACTGCTGGGGGCGCATAAGCGGCTTTTGGAGATGCACTGCGAAGTTGGAGCGTTTTGGCGGGAGATGGTGTGGCGCAGGGGGGTTTGAGTGATGTTTAAGGAACTGTGCTGTGAAAGGGTCGTGGCCGAGTCGGACTCGATATAGGAATCGGGGGCGAAGAGTGTGAAAAGTGCTGAGTTTTGTGTCATGCCCGATCTGCATCACCGGCAGTGTACGAGCAATCTCATGTACCGTTCGCACCCTCGGCCTCAGCACAACCAGCCCTGCCCTCCGTGTCTGCCCCCTTCACGGCCCTGTATCTCCTGTCTCACATTCCCACCCTCGTCTCCCCACCCTGGAATGTCGCCACGCCAAGACATGGCCTAAGCTGCTGCCTGTAAAGGACAACGTGTTTCACATCGCCTGCTCTTGTCGGCGCTGATATTCGCCTTGGCCGAGCGGAGGCTGCGGAGGAGCGGCGGTCGGCCGTGGGAAGTCGGAGAGGGCAGCAAACGTAGGTAGGGGCCCTGCGTGCGTCGGTCGGCGGTCGTCGGTGATCGGCTCGGCGGGCGATCGGACTGAACAGATAGAATTGCTGACAAGATTGTCACTGGCCTGCCCTCGGGCCCTACATCCACCGGGCGATTCTTCCTGGCACGCGTCAGAGCGGGCGAGCAGCGGACCGGACAAGACAGATTGGGACAATGGGCAAATGAGCCGAGCCAATGAGGAGAGGCGGCTTACCAAGACAGTCTGCCAAATGCAAACGTTCGCGGTATGCAGCGTCGCAGGTCGTTGCTGTCGCTTGAGGCGATTGTTGAACAGCCACCAGAGGCTTGCGCGCGGCAGGCGCTCCATCCGGTGCGATCATGTCGTCCAGCGGCTTTGCTGCGCCATTTGCTTACGCCGCTGCGCACTCAGCATCGTTCGAACGAGACGCGCATCGTCGCTCCTCATCGAACATGATCTATTTAGGGTGTGCAAGCAAGGTCAGTGCGGGCAGCAGAGCGAAAAGGGAGATGCTGGAATTGAACCGCGCCGTTGCACACGCTGTAGGGTGTTGGTGTGTACCTGAGCCTCACTTTCGCGTAGCACAACGCCTCGGGGCATGCGCCGACCCGTCCAGAACCATGACGTCGCCCGCAACATCTGCGACATGTGCAAAATTTGCGATTTCTGCGACTTCTGCGAGCTCTGCAAGTGCAGCCCGAGACAGCAACGCCACAATAGATGCAGCAGGAGATGACGTAAACACGCAAGGCGGTGGCAACGACTAAGGGCGCTGTCACTGCAGAGACACCCGAGCTGCGTGCGAGTCTGAACACGGGAGGAGATGAGCTAATAGCTCGAGGGGTGGCGGCGCTGTCGTGGCCGGTGGTCGGTCCGTGGCGCGCTGATTGGCTGTGTGCGAGGCGCTGCGAAGGTACGAGGTTGACTGGTTCCCGGAGGGTTGTCCATTGTCACTGTACCTAGTACGGCGCTTCTCCTGCGCATTCACTCGCCTTGCAAATCGCCCGCCGAAGCCACGACGCAGGCTCGCTTTCTGGCTGCCAGCACTGCTGGGAGCTTCTCGTTGATGTGGCCCTCAGCTGAGGTAGCAGGTTCGTACCATCCAAGAACGACTGAGCTGCCACCGACACGGCTGCAAGGGACGAGACAAAGAATCAGTGAACCTTCGTTATGAGCGCAGTCGTGCGTAGACACCGACATTTGGCCTTGACCCACATGCCTCCTAGGTGTATCAAGAAAATTTCAGTCCTCGACAACTGCAAAAAGGCAACTCGATCAGACATGCCTGCGGCGGTACTGCTTGCCCACCGGCCCAGCAGCCAGCTGCGGGTACGGGTGCGACGCCATAAGAATAGCTGCTCAAGCCAATACTCGCGATTCTCCGTCCGTTCGCTCCACGCCTCCTGCAACGAGGACCTTGCTTGTGACTCTTCCCACCTACCACTCTGTTCTACCTTGACAGCGCGCCCGGTATGTATGAGTTGCCTCTTCAATGAATCAGCAGGAAGATCCCCAGATGGAGCCTTCAACAGTCCTGCGTGGTTGCGCGGAAATCATGTCATCTGCCTCGATCACTGTATCGATATCAAGAAGTGATTCTGTCATCACTATAAACTATGAGACCTATAAAACTATACAATCGGCTGTAATGACTGGATATCCACAACGATTCCCGGTAGGGTACTTCAGCGTCGATTCCACCCAAGTCTGCATCGAGACAGCCTTGTGTTGCTCATTCATTTGTCTACGAGAATATAACAATATTCTCGGCTTCAATATCGCAGTTGTAGCGAATTGGCCGAACACGAAGTTACTGTAGGCGCCAAACCGGACCAGTGAAGAGTGTGTCACCGAAAAACACTTTCACTGCTGCGTCGTTCGCTTTCACCATATCTCTGCACTTTTCCGGCGCAATCTGTTGCTTCCAACACTCGACTCTGCCCACTTGCGAACGCTTCACCTACATCATCTACTGCCAAGCTCTCGTTTTGCATGGTTTGTTGAATTACAATTGTTCATCAAGAGCTTGGAATCGTTGACACATCAGCATACTTGTGGTACTTTTGCCATACGTCTTCTCTCTGCCTGTTGGATTTCGCTGGCATGTGCAGAGAGAACGAGGTCAAACTGAGTTGATCCACCCAAGTACAAACCGTGCCAGACTTGATACACCGGCGCCAATGGAAGATCAGCTCCCGTCCCCACCTTCTTCTCCCGGCGATGGGGAATCAGATCACTCACAAGTTGAATCATGTATCTCCAAACCTAGTGCGGCAATATCAATCTCTGGTCTCCCGATCACAGCCTTTGCTGTGCTGATACCAGACAACGCTCCAGCCAAGGTGGCTGCACATCGCGGTTTTGAAAGATCGATAGCATCAATGCCTGATCAGTACGGGAAATTCCGATACTGCGAGCCGGAAATGTACTTCGACCAAGGCGCAGCCGACCTTCTTTCGACGCAACTGGAGCCAGAGTTGAGCCAAGACAGCGCAAACAGTGTGGAAGAGACCGAGGATCGTAAGTCGCGTATGTCCATCTGGGATATCAAGTTTATCTTTGATCTCGCCGCTCTTGACCCGCGCATGTGCTCCATGTGGGCTGGGGGAATGGGCAACCAGCTCGAACAAAGTAACGTCCAGTTCTTACTAATTGACAACAAGCTTTGCCAGGAACACATTGTCTTTCAGCTGTCGCCAAATTCTGGGGGCATCACTATTATCTCTGGCTCAAAGGTCGCCAAAGAGCTCTACGTCAACGGCGATGCGGTCAACGACGGCCAGACAGTCTTGGGTGGAGTCACGCGGATATCTATCCATGGTCTGCAGTTCAGATTGGAATATCTCCCTCATTCGTACACGCCAGAGTGGCATATCCAGCGCGACAACTTTATCAAGGCAGCACACCGGGGCAAGGTCGCCGATACGCTTCATCTGACACGTTCCGCCCCGTCTGAGAGTTGGCGGTGCGCAGGCTGGACTCTTCAGAAAGAGATTGGCCGCGGTGCAGAAGGAGTGGTGTATGCAGCGACTCACAAGGATGACGTTGTCGGTGTGTTCAAACGCGTTGAGCGAACGCCTCGCAATGCTCAGGCAGAGGCCGAAAGGACCGAGATGCTGACTGACTTTTCAGCGGAAGTGGACAAAGCTGTGAGAGGCGGAGTGCGCCACTGCGTCATCAAATTGATTGCAGTTTTCCCGCCCTAGTACGAACAGCTTCACGAAGCGACACTCGAGATCGAGGAGAAAGAGGCATTGTACTATGCGTACAAGGCGCTGTGTAACGAGACACTCCATGATCACACCTTCTCGACTCGCGATCCTTGCATCCTCCGCAAGCGAGCAATGCTTTTCAAGAGTGTCTTGCGAGCACTAGACTTCGTTCAATCGTGCGGATATATCCACCGAGATATCAAGCCCGCAAATATCGGCGTAAAGGACGGCGGTCATGCTGTTCTTCTCGACTTGGACCAGATGATCCTCCAAAAAGGCCATCCCGACATCCCAGCTTCACCCGGCGTTTGCGGAACACTCGCCTACCTGGCACCCGAGAGCGAGATGATCGCGCACAGCTATCTGGTTGATGTGTGGTCCGCAGGCCTCGTGTTGTTTCAGATGATGTACGGCTACCACCCTTGGAAGTTCATGACAAACCCGTTCCGAAGCGATGAGCCTGATGAACTGGTACGCTCGCTATTCGATCGGCAGTACGACGAAATCATCGCGATGCTCAAGAGGTCGAGAAATCCGCTCGACCCGCTTCTCGTCCGTCTGCTGGCCCATGAGTACTCGAACCTCAACCCAGGACCCCGTCCGTCCGCGAAAGAGGCGTTGGCCAATCCAGTATGGATGAATCTAAAGCAGTGGGAGCAGGCAGACGACCTAGACGGCGACGAGCGTCTTCTGGGATTGGCGTGCTTCGACGGTGGTTCGACAACAGTCGAACTGTCGATCGAGAGGAAGATTGCTGTCGAGTGGAATTGCAAACACAACCCTGTTTTTCGAACTGCATAGACCGCTCGGAGTTGTAGGCTACCGTTTTTGCGACGGGCGCTACTCTCGCAGCACAGCGCACGGTGAAAACGGGGCGCATGGCGGGCGCGACAGCCAGCGCGGCGAAGTAGATCGGGAGAAAACTCACGGCGGACGCGATGCCCATGAGCCTGGAGATGATGCTGGAACCGAGTCTGATTCTTGTGGCGGTAAGCAGCACCGAGACCGCTGTGAGCGCCGATCCGCGCCTGGTCAATGATAACTGAGATTACCTTAGCAGAGCGCTCAGCGCAGTACAGAGCCGCACTCGGCCCCTTGGAGGTGGATTGGTTCTTACAGATGGCTTGAGAGTTTTGTTGATGAAGTGATGCATCAGACCACAGATCTTGTGCAGTGGGTGGAGAGTGATAGACCTGTCGAGGCTGTCAGTAGGCAATTGTTTGCGCAGCACAAAAAGCACTGCTGATCCAGACTCCCATTGCGCAGTGCACCGGCCTAGCGCCAGGCATGTCTTCGTCGAGCTGCTCGACACGGTTGTCCCCCAGGCTGCATTGCTGGTGATGGATGGCGCTGTGCTGCGTTTTGCCGCACGCCACCTCTTTGCCATGTCGGTATTTATCCAGTCGTCTGCCTCGTTGCGGACCTCCAGACGCGGTGATTGGCTGAGAGCGAGAGACGTCCAGGCGCACCTCGGCCTGTCGTCAACTGCAGCCCTCAGGATCGCAGACCGCCCAGCGCCAACGCCGACATGCCCTCCAGTGACCCGGCCGGCGCTGAATGCGAAGCTCGGCTGCGTTGCCGCTGCCCGCGCCGCCCAAACGCGTATTCACTGTCGCTGCGTCTGCTGTGCCGCTACGCATGCATTGACACATGGTACAGCCAGTACTGGCGTCAGAGTCAGACACCGGCGCTGCAGTGGCGCTGGCACTTCCAGGCCCTCGAAACTCGTGACCACGCAGAGCCGTGGAAGCGCAGTCTTGCCAGCCGGACAAGCACGCATTCGCGACGGCGATGGCGGCATGACGTGCTGACTGCTTGTAGCGCTGACTGAATTGAGCATGCCCCATCGCCGGGGACCCTTTGAGGACCATGTCAAGAGTACGTAGCTTCATGAGCGTCGAGCTTGAGATCCACTGACCCACGACGCTCTGGGCATACTGGTACTGATCTGCCTCGTACCTGCGACGTCCCCAGCCCGTTCCCGGCCCGTCCCATCCACACCGACGCTCTCGCGCAGACCGTCGCGCGTCGCACCGTGTTGGCACACAATCTATGCGCGATGACACGATCGATACCGCACAGTCGCGCCTACGGGACTCTAGGGATACCATCACTACAGCCGAGAGGAAGACATGACGCCATATCGGCCACGTCGATCGCGTTGATGGAGCCTGGCATGCATGGCAAGATGTATCCCGTTACGGTCAACACCATCCAAATATCAAGGTTTTGGGTGTCACATTAGAGCAGTTATGCAACTCAGGAATTGCCCTGCCGTCTGCACCGTACAGTCCTACCAACGAACCGCAACATGTACATTCAAAGCGTAACGAAGCTCTTCGTTCTCTCGCCTTAGATGTCTGATCTCTCTTCTACCGTTGTAATCGCTCAGTATCTGCATTCGACCTGTTTCCTATCTCTATCTGCCGCTCGGTCCCCTTTAACTCCTTCGCTCATCGAGACGAAATGCGACATATGTTTGGTTTAGTCACAGTCAATCGTTTGACCCACCTGTACATCTGACGACAAGACATGGCTCGTAAACTCCCCGTGCAGTAGTCACGTTGATGATATGCTCATGCCGTGTTCCAAGCTCAGCTCGGTCCGTCATACTACACTGCGAACTCGTGTGCAAATCAGTGCAGTATAAGTGCTGTGCGAATACATAGAGCAGAGTACAGCTTGTTCTCGATGTGTAGCTGTCAAGAGGGTAACAAGCTACGGTGGTGTACGGAGGGTGGCAATCTGCGTGTCATCGACATATTGAGCAAGCAGCGAGGCGACCATCACCGCAGGTGGAAGCACCATGCCAACACCCACCAGCCAAATCAAAGAAAGTGGCACTCACAAAATAAGCACACTCAAGCAGAAGACCAGGATACGCGCTCCAGGCCCGCCGCAAGCAAAAAAAAACGCAAAAAGTACAGCCAACCTCGGACCAGTTTGATCCATTCTCGCCAACTGCTGAAAGCTTGTGCTTTATCCAGGAATCGAACCCAGGACCCCTCAGCAAGTGCTCACGAATCTTACTTGCGAATGGCGCTCACAAAGCCCAGTGTTTGGCCGAAACCCCCAGGCGGTATTTCAACCACTCCTGGATTTGATAGAAATACAACGGATTTGCCACTATATATACGACGTATTATTGTTGTAAACTATACTGCGTGAAAGAAGCTGGGTATCACATGCGGCAGCAGTGCGCGCGCGCAAAAGGTGGGCTGCGCGTGGGCGATGACGCAAGTGAAGGTGAAAATCAGTACGGCGGGAACAGTGTCAAACACGTCCGGGCGCGGCGGTCAACAAGCATACTTGGGGCATCAAGATGGACCTCTGCTTTGTTCGGAGTCGCAGCAATACAAGCAACATCGCGTGTACTGCAAGAGTTTATGCATCTGGTGGTGACTGATCTGTCAAAAAGTGCGGCGTGACTGACCAAAACGAGAGCTTGCTTGTGGTTCTTTGCGTCTGCAACATCTACAAGCTACAGAGGCACGAGACACTGTTGTGTGCTAAAATCGCTTGCAAACGTTGGCACAAACCATAACAATCGCCCACGTGTTTCTGCAGCCACAAAGACAATTGTCGCGGTAGGCGACAAGCAAGCACAAGCCTGTTTAATGATATCGCGTGATCGATATGATCGTCTGGTTCCTATGTAACGGAGCTCGCTTCTACCTGAGCCTTTTCTTTGCTGCCGCATCTCCACCTCCCACACTCCTCCGCTCTTCCCGGACCAGGTATATAAGCATGTGACCTGTTCATCATTTCCCAACGCGTCTATCTTCCTCGTTCTCTTCTTCTCTCTATATGTAGGTATGCGATCTCCCATCACCGTTCTAGCTTAAATGCTAACACATCAGTGTCCAAAATTCGGCTTGCCGGTGCAATGCGTGCACCATAGAAGGCAACTCACAACAGACTGCTGGAACTTCATCTCTATCCTACCAGCCGGGACCAAGCAGCTCAAGGCAGCAAGGTCGAGGACGACCATGCTCTTCTGTATGCGCTATGTGAGTACTGAACATCCCCGCCGCTGCGATCTTTATCACACATACTGACACGCCAATCTTGGAGAACCATTTATGATAGCGCCCACATGCTCTTGAGGATCATGCCTGTGCGCCATTCACAAACCGTCAATTGGTCGATGCTGTAAAAGACACTCAGTATCCAACTCTGCCGAGAGACACATCACTGACGCTGGTGCTGGGCAAAAGGCTGACCTCGTATATAACGCGTCCTCCCCGCACCACACCTCTTCCCATCTCTGCGTTACTCGTCATATCAGCTCTGACTTTCTCGCATCGCACGCCCATCGCTACACGGCAGCTCTCGAACCTTCACCTCCGTACTCAGCTACCCACGAACTGCATAAAGTCTGGCGTTACTGCCAATCTGGTTTAGATATTGGCATCACATGCTCCGCCACAACCCGGATTCCCTATATGTATAAACTCACGGTAAGCAATGCCACTTTCTGATCTTGGAGAAGCTCACCTGCTACAGAAGCTACAAATAAGGACCCTGGCCTTTTGCGTGCTGGCACTCACCGGACGACGAGTACCGGAATTGAAGTCACACTTCAGTCGGCTACTCCCCCGTCCGATATACTACGACAACAGTGGCTGAACGAAGCCCCGCGCTCCATACTCCCCTAGACACACTGCACCTTTTGAAGCCCCGAAACACGATCAGCAGACCAAGTCTGACAACTACAACGAGACTTTAAAGACTCTTCGGCTTGGCTGTTTCATCTTCTGTATCTACACTTTACTTGGTAGGCATCTTGGGGATTGTCTAACATCACGCAACATCTAACGTCTATAGGCACCACAATCCTATTCGACTTCACGAAGGCACTCGATGTGAGATCGCCACGACATTCCCCTGCGAGCCAGAGAACCCCGCCACGAACAAGACCCTCGTGATAGCTTCCATCCATCATCGCTCTACCTTCGAGATATTCGTCCACGCGACTCGTTAAACCGCCCAGTATTTGACACGGGAAGACAACCGCAAAGGAGGGGGCGCAGGTAGATCTGGGCACTGTGCGCGACGTCAGCGACGACGACGACAACGATGATGACCATGACGACGACGACGGCGATCAAGCTGCAAATCACAACGAAGAGGACGACGACAATAACGATGACGATGATGATGAAGAGGACAAACAATAACGATGACGATGAAGACGAAACTTACTGCAGACGACAAGTACAACAATCGCCATAACCCCAGCACTAGCGATAGGCCGAAGCAACGCACTACCGACCCCAGGCCGCTTTAGCTCAAATAAGAGGAGAAGCAGGAGGGTAGAAAGGATAGTTTACTGCGTGGGTCTTGCAAGAACTCCAATCTGTTTCCATGCACCATGAATAAGAGCAAGTCTGAGCTTCGTTTTGTCCCGGGCCTCACGACCTTTCAGATAATTCCACGGCTGGAGATCGTACCTGCATTGTCCTTGACCTTTGTACTTCTGCTTGTGGAGGGAGGTTGTCTTGTTAACGCGAACCAATCTGTTGTGCCGTAAGGAGATCAGCTAGCAGAGCAGCTAGAGGCTGACATAAAACTTGAGGTCGGGCGGCCGAAGCTGAGCAGGCATGATTATGGAAGGGGCCTTCTACTAGACGTCTCAGGTAGTAGCTATCGATCATCTTTGCTTAAAAGAACACAGATCTCACTCTTCACGTTCGTGAGATCAGATTCCGCAATCTGTCAATCCTGATTCGAGGTCTTCTAAGACCAGGTGTCGGATAAAATCAGATCTATCCGCACCGAAGATGGCAGAGATCGCAAAGACGTGGTCCTCACTCTATCTCAACTCTTGAGACCGAGAGTGAGAAAAATCGTGCGACTGCCCCTCTCGTCGCATGGTATGGTATTACCACCTTGGTAATTGGCGCCACCGTCTACCTTGCCGCTAGCCTCCCACAGTTGTGGGTATTAGCGACAGCTTTTCCTCCTCACCACCTTGTCCGCACTGTGTATTCTGACACCCCAAGCGGACGTGAGGGCCGCCCGTGTCTTCGTCAAAGAAGTGCAGACCAAACTTCTTGCTATCGCTAGTAGCAACGTTGACAGGTGTCTTACTTGCATATGTCTTAGTGTAAGTACACGTTAGTTTGTCATGATATCCGCCAAACAGACTATTTCTATAGAATATTGTATCGTTGATCCTTTTTCCTCGCTATTCTACGACCACTCTAGACCTGACTGACAAGCTTCTGCTGGTGACTCTACATAAGGGCGGTCACTGCATTCGATAACTTGGCTACGCACGTATCCCTTCCACCGACCACGATGACCTCGCATAAGTCGCGAACGATACACCGACAGGCTCATAGCTCAATATCAGCGGCGTACCATTTAGCATGTTCGCGCTGTCGGAGGCAAGGGTCGAGAGCAAGATTGCCGCAAGCTTCGTGTAAGCGTGATTTGATTCCAGTAGTGTTCTGCAACGCCAATCGACCGGGTGCAGTGGTTGCAGGTAACGCGATTATATATATCTTATCAGCGTTAAAACCAAGTTCCTCCTTCTACTTAGACCTGACAGTAGCTACATATGCCTCTGACGCGCATCGCAGCGACGCACGCTATGTTCAATAAACGTCACTACAGGTTCGTGAGACAGAGATTATGGAGTCTGGTCAGCGCTAATACTCACCGTATTCGAAGCGAATTCGAGCCCAACATGGGTATACATGGACTAGCCCAATTACCGTGTCGTGCAAGGTATGGCACAAAATAACATTAACGTAATCAACGCATCACGGCTGTCTTATGTCGTGGTCTAACAGATTGGCTTTCTGCAATGCGCCATAACCCAATTCTTCCTTAATTCTGGGCTTAACTGGCAGCTCTCTTGCGACGATCGAGAAGGAGTTTAAAGATACCGTGGTAGACATGACGCAGGATCGAGGAGGAAACAGCAAGAAGCGTGACAGGAACGGCACTGCTCATGCTACTACAGGCGGATGGCAACCATGGTCGAGGACTCAGAGAGTGATCGAGACGGCTGGTTCTTGGAAAGTCATGGACAACAGGGACTTAATCTCTTGATACATGAGCTCGTGTTTGGCGAGCGTGACGGCTATCTACGCTGGGGTTGTAAAAGATTCAGAACGATCAAACCAATCAATGCAGCTGCGCAGCGAGTAAGATTACTGGTAGCATGCACATTTGCGACGCTAGAGCTCATTGCTGAACCAAAACTAGGTACTTTCTAACCGGTGTGACGTCACATCAGTACCGACACCGGTTTTAACAAAGTGTTGGTATAGCTGCACAATCACGACTGCTTGGTAACATCTACACTGGAAGAATAATTGGTATGAGTGAGAACCAATGTTGGGTCCCGGTCTCAGACGCGACTTGATGCTCTAGCTTGTGAATAGCACAAAAGCTTGGATCAAGCTCTTTTGCCGGCGAGCGCAGACTCCCTCAATTCAGGATGTATCGCCGAGCACTGAAGATTTCCCAATCCTTGCAAACTCCATCTTTTACCACCCATAGTCTCGCCAAAGCACTCTCATACAGTTTCCCTTCGATGCCCACTATATGACTCTGAACATTCGAACCATCTCCAATGTGCCCGTCAGGCCAGATGTGTTAATCGTCCTCCTCACCCTCCTCGTTCTTGCGTGCACTCTGAACACCTCACAGGTTTCCCACCCCTTGAACACCACTGACTCTTCGAAATCCACCTGCTAGCACTCTTCGCGATCTGTTGCCTGCTGCTTCCGCCCCAACTCCTGCTCACACCCAATCAAGAGCGCACCAATGCCATCTCACGTCCGCGGCGTTTCTGGAGCGTTTCTGGACTGCCCTGCGGCGGGAGGTGTTGACAGAGGCTTTTCCTTGTCGTCGGTCAAGAGGTAGGTGAACCGCGAGACAGGTCACGCGGTGTAGAAGATGTATCTGCAGGACGTGATGGCTTGAGTCATGGATTCGGCGTTGGGGAAGCGAAAGATGGTGCAAGAGGTGGCGGTCGTATTGAAGTGGTCGGGTGGGAGTGTATTGTAGCGCTGCTGGATGAGTGCGGTGGTGGATCTATCGATCACCGAAGTCAGTCTTGAGAGGATATCGCTCATGTCAGCGGTAGGGTCGTTGTCTGAATCGCGAATTTCGCCAGAGTCTTGTCCGTTGGGAAGTTGTGAGAAGGCTCATCAGTATCGCAGATAGAGAACAACGTATATGTCATTGTACATCCTACGCATAGGCACGGTCCGTCAACAGTTCGATCACTTTGTTAGTATTTGACATTCTATCATAGCTCTCAGACATTGTTGTGCCATTGCATCAAGCCACGCACAGCCACGCGCAGATGTCTCTGGAAGCGTCTTAGTCGGCAAGAAGTCGATAGCTGATAGGGGTTGATACTCATAGCGGTCAAGTACAGAGCCACATGAAGCTGCTGGCCTTGATCGACGTTGGCGTTCCCTGATCCTGGGCTGAATTATTGGCGGAGGTGTTCGAACACCAGAATACTCTGGCAGGTCATCGGGCTTGCGGACTCCTAAAATAGAGCGGAAGTCAGCACAACGTTGCTCAGGAGGTGCTGTGTGTCGCCGTCGTAGATAGTCACGTGAGAGTGATGGAAGCAACGGGTCAGTACTAGCCGGCCTGTGGGTTATCCTCTCGGCACAGAGCGCGTTGGCGGGCCCTCGTGGGTGAAGCAATATGTGGTCTTAGGTACGGCGCACTCGATGGCCTCGTTCCCTTCGAAGGGCTCGGATGTGTTCTGCTATAAGTCAAGTATCTCTTAAGCCTCTCATCTGATGTAACGAGTGTGAGGAAACAATAGCAGGCCGAGGATTCTGATTGGCACCTGGGTTCGACAGGGCCACAACTGAAACCTTCAAGCGTCGTTTCAATGGCACCGCGTGACAGGATGCTAAGGCAGGAAAAGGTGGGCACAAAGGGTATCTTCGCGCAGCTTCTCGTCATTCACGCTATTGTAAGTTCTGCACTGAGAGGCGCAGAGCCGAGGTGGCTGAGCGGGACGCGTGGGCGACAGGGACGCGGACAAATGATGGACTCCGGCACGACAACAGCGCCGCCAGCAGTGACCCAGCAGCGCACACTTTGCCGCTGACACTACTCATGGGGCTGCCGCTACGCCCTCGCCCCCATTGCGCGCCCGCTGCCGCTCACCGCGTCGCAATGCCCATGTGCAGTCACCACAGCGCCACGTGCAGACGTCTGGCGGCCGCAGGCGAGAGCGTCGCTTGAGCCGTGAATCGAGGGCTTCCGCTAGGCCAACTACGGCATCTCCAGTCTGGACAACGTCTCCCCAGCGCTGTCCAACATCTCTGCTATCGTCCTATTTTGGATACAGGGGTGTGATGTCTCGCCGATCGGTGGTTGTTGGCGACTGCGGGCTGGGGTTGGGTGCGTCGCGCCTTCGGTGCGGGTACACAGTAGGAGTAAGGCCAGAGCAGTGCAGGTCATACCAGCCCCAATCAAACCACTCGCTTGGAGACGTCACGCCTGACCATCAGCAGCCACACGTCTAGCACTGAACGCAGCTTCCTGTGTTGCGTAAGTCTTGCATGTCGTAGTATTTGGGCGCACATGTGCTGCAACCATCAGCGTCGTCAACGCCTGCGCCTCCACCTTCGCCTTTACCCTCGCCTACACCGGAAAGAGACGGCTAGCTTACCTTGAGCGAGAACTTGTCACGGCCGCCGTTGGCCTAGAGAACTATACGTGGTCCGTGAGGTAGGAGCGCCAGCGCAGCTTCAAAAGTAGTGATGTCATTTCGAACCCCTTTGCGGCAGAACTCGTCGCTACGTCGGAATACCGCGAGTCCTCGAGACACATGGCGCTATGTCTCCCATACACGCGGCATGATCATATACGAGGCGCTATTGCTGACGACCATATGTCAAGCCACACTGCAGCTGACTCACTTGCCCTCTCGTTCAGTCGTTGTCGATGCCTACGCCCCTGCTCTCGCCCGCGCCAAGTCCAAAATGAACACTCCCAGCCTCGTACCGCCGGGGCCGTCGCAGTTTACAATACAGAGAGCCGTCGAATTGACGTCGAAGCAGGATGTTGCTCCTGAGGATGCATTTCCTTCACCTCCCAGACGCCGAGCCCGGCTCGAAGCGTAGTGCAATTCATACCAGAGCAAGTTGGTAACTTGGAATTTCACACGGGTATGGATATCTTCCAG